AAAAATAATAAAAAAAAATATTTAAAGAAAAAATTTTTTTTTTAATAACAAACTATAAATATTATCTAACTAATACCTGAAAGTGTAGTAACTCAGTTTTAGTAAAAAAAATTTCTCACATATTAAATTGACAAACTTTATAGAAAAATCAGTTTTCATACAATTATTAACAATGACAGATCTTGCTTCATCTTTAAATATGCTTGCAGCAAAATTTAAAATTTTTATAAAATAATAATTTCGCTCATAGTAATCGCCATGTAAGTCCTGTTTTTGCTAACAGAAATTTTTCCAGTGTGTCATCATTCATACTAGATCTAAATTACTAGATTAAATTAGTCCTTATTTAATAAAAACAATGAAAATTACCTTCCTCTCTACATTACTATGGTGAATTGTCAAAATATTCAATATCATTTCGCTATACTTGAACAATTCCATCGGCACATCATAGATTTTTTCCTGCTAGTTCTGTAACTGCTTTTCCTGCTAGTTTTGTTTAACTGTAAATTGAAAAATTGCAATTGCACTTTCACTGATTTTCATCAATATGTTCCTCTGAAAACTAAGTGAAATAAAACAGAAAAAGATGTAGTTGCTAGATTAGAAACTATTACTATTCAACTTATGCTTGTAACATTACTTCAGTGTTAACTGGAAATTTATATAGTATGTAATCATACATTTTTCAGAATTAATTTCTAACATGCAAATAAAACCTCTTTTTATCTTCATCTGGGAGCTCTTTCACTGTTTTGTTAGCTGCAGCCCCTATTAACTAATCTTCATGTTTTTCTTTAATTTTCTATTTTACTATAATGCACATGATGCACAGAACTAGCAGAAGGAAAAAAAAAAAACTTCAAATGATAGCAAAATAGAACGTATAAAGATCAAAATGCTTTATGAAAGTCTGAAAACAAAAGCAACTGTTCTTTGCAAGATAAACTTACATTAAGCTTATATATATTTATAAGAGCAATTTGGGGGAAGGAAGAGAAAGAGATATCTGTTCGTTGCAATCTTCTGAGAAATGCAAATTAAGTTGCTTCCCATTTAAGTATCTTTATTTTTCCTCACACTTATTTTTATTTTTAACAATGGAAGCAGAGGTCACATCTGCATTTATTTTAGATATTTTAATAACTTTCAATACAGCCTGTTAACTCTAAAAACATTTACTTCTACCTTAAAAAATGTAAGACATGGGTTTCAGTGACAGATGATTCTAGATCAGCATCTATCTAAAGAATAACCATACATGTTAAAAATGTTTCTTATTTCAGTATTATGCAGGTGCTGGAATTGTTTAGATTTCCCTTTCCTTTTAGAACTCTTTTCAAGTATGCAACAAACATCAATAACAAATTTATCTATATTTAGTGCTAAAGAAGCAACATTTTTAGCTGCTAAATTTAAAATGTGATAAGCCCACCCCACAGTCTTTTTCCAAGATACTGCAACACCAGTCTTCAAGCTATCATTACCAGTATGTTATCTGCACCAACAGCTAAATAGTTGTCCAGAGGATCTCAATCTTCCTTCAAAGTTTTAATAATTAGCTGTGTTATTTCAAAGCTTGCTGAATATTCTTTCAGAAAGGGAACACAAAGCAAATCACACTTTATTTCCAAAGTTACAAGGTAAAAATGTTACAATTCAATACAGTTTTGCATCGGTACTATTACTTCCATCCATAGAAATGTACTCTTACTGAAATGAAGATTTATTCCATTTATTAATTTTTTATGATCAACAACTGAAGATTTATTTTTGTCCTTCCAACATGAGTATTTCTTAGTGATTTAACTAGCAGGAAAAATTTTTCTGAGGGAAATAAAGAGGTATTCAGCACTAGATTGTAAATTGGTATTAAAAGGGCACTCTGCATTAATAAGCTTTTACATCTTAGTTTCAATACAAAATGATTTCCATCCCCTCCTCCAATTACAACTTATATTTTCCTTGTGTTTTGTCTATGCACAGGGTATGCCAATCCTCCAATGACGTGAAATCGAAAAATCACAATGGCAAATGGTATACATCACAAATGTATTATGTTTTCTTGATGAAATAATACAAAAGTCATCTGTATATGTTTTTTGAAAAGTACACAAGCATTTTACTTTTTTGGCAGACATAACACAGAAAAAGATCACAAATCTTTCAACAACTTCAACAACCACATTAGTTGAAAATAGTTAATTAAAAGAAAGAGCAAACGATTTCAGACATTCAAAATCGCATTTTGAGGTGAAAATAATGCAATATTACGCTAAACTAATAAAATTGTGAGAAATTTTAGGAATAAGAGAAAGTCCAAAGAAATATATTCTAAATCGTATTGGTGGTAATGGGGTCGAAAATCAGGAGTCGCCAGTCTAAATCCTGAGAGATGTTACGTCTGCTCATAATAAAAAAAATTCATTAACCTACAAATGCTGATCAAATGTGGATACTTCCAGCAGTTTGGAAAGTGGGAAAAACTCACTATTCATATTTATATATAAAAGGCAAGGTGTACTAAAGACAACTTACTTCTTAAGAACTGGTATGTCAACTGATTTTAATTATGGCAGAGCTTATGCAAGGAAGAGGAGACCTTTGTATGGGGAAAATAACTAATATTTACATTACACGTGGGAAAAATCACAGAAACATCCATTCCACTAGCTCATTTGCAGGATTTAAACTCAGAATTGCTTTGATGTGTTCTGCAGTTTCATCGATTTAGCCACTGGTAAACTCATTAAAATTGCTTGTTTTTTGAGAGAAGTCAACTTTCTTCCCTCACCATCAATTCCAAATTTATTCACATATTACGAGGGCTATCCAGAAAGTAGATTACGTTTTGGAATAAAAAAATAAACAAAGTATAGGAAACAAATTTTATTATATACAGATGAAAGCCACACTCAAATACTACTTTTCTACATAGTCACCATACAAATTAAGGCATTTATCGTAGCGATGTACGAGCTTGGAAATTCCTTCGTCGAAAAATTCGGCCGCCTGCGCCTTCAACCACTTCGTTACCTCTTCTTGCAGCTGTGCGTCGTCATCAAAACGCTGCATAGCCAGCCACTTCTTCATTGCTGGGAATAGGTGGAAGTCGCTCGGTGCCAGGTCGGGACTGTACGGCGGATGAGGAAACAACTCCCACTTAAAAGATTCAAGAACTTTACGAGTGACATTTGCCGTGTGGGGGCCGGGCGTTGTCGTGAATCAACAAGATCTTAGAGCTCAACATTCCTCTGCGCTTGTTTTGAATTGCTCTTCTGAGTTTTTGGAGAGTTTGGCAATACCTTTGAGAGTTTATTGTAGTGCCTCTTTCCAGGAAGTCCACCAAAATTACACCTTTTCTGTCCCAAAAAACAGTCGCCATCATCTTCCTTGCCGACATTGTTTGCATGCATTTCTTGGGTTTTTGGGGAGAACTTGTGTGCCCCCACTGCATTGATTGCAATTTCGTTTCACAGTTCACATGTTTCACCCACCCATGTTTCGTCACCAGTAACGATGCGATCGAGTAAAGAGTCACCATCCTTATGGTAAGCGTCCAAAAAGTTCAACGCTGCAGCCATTCGCTGATTTTTGTGGTCCTCTGTCAAGATTTTTGGAATCCATCTTGCACAAAACTTGTGGTAACCAAGCTTTTCGCTGATGATTTCGTGCAACAAACTTCGCGAAATTTGTGGAAAACTCAAAGAAAGTTCCGTTATTGTGAAATTTCGATTTTCACGGACTTTAGCATCGACTTTTTCGAGAAGTTCGGCGGTCACTATGCTGGGTCTCCCACTTCGATCTTCGTCGTGAACATTGGTTCGGCCATTTTGAAATCTTATGACCCACTGACGCACTCCACCTTCAGTGATAATGTTGTCCCCATACACTTCACGAAGCTGCCGATAGATTTCTATCGGTTTACAGTTTTTTGCAGTCAGAAACCTTATTACTGAGCGCACCTCGCAGCTCGCGGGATTTTCAATTAACGCAGACATTTCAAACCGTCACAGTATCTGAACGGAGCACAGCACGAACCTCTCACTAGCACGGCTAGATGCAGACTGAGCTGCGCAACGCTCTGACCCCAAGATGGCCGCGCTAGCCCCGCCCCTAGCGGACACAGACGGAAACGTAATCTACTTCCTGGATGGCCCTCGTACTTAACTTTGTTCTCTTGAATAAGAGAAAAATAAACATATGCTCTTTCTCTCTAATCATGCATAAAGGGATATAATAAAAGACATTATATCTAAAACAACACATATCCAAATATGTAGATGGTAACTAAACAACAAAATGCAAAAATTATAAAACAATACAAAATCTGAAAATGACGACCATACAAAATACATAAAGGAAATCATTTTGCAATAAAAAGATTATCATCCTTCACGTCAACATTTTGCATTAAATTTAATTTTATTTTATGAAAAATGAAACAGATTAACTACAGTAGCTTTCTAGAACCTATTGTATTTTGTCACAACAACAGCCTCTATAACTTTTATGAATTGTAAGATGACTGAAAAATTTTCACGTTTTGTGTTTAGCAACAAATTTTTATTTCATAAAGACAAAATTTTCTTCACCAACTGATAACAGCATCACCATTTTCAGTATTTAAAAATAAGCACCTACAGATTTCAAAAACAATATTAAAAAAAAAGTAATAATTTAAAAATTAAAAAACAAAGACACACACAGAGTTTATAAATTACAATTTAGAAATAGTTAACAAATTAGATATTACAAAATTATTATCAGTTATTAAAGCTATGCAGTAACTAATAATCAAGAGGCAATAATTATATCAATGAAAGTGGTGAACTAACAGGAGTATAAATTAAAATTGAGACAAAAGTAAAACAACATAAAATAACAAGTATCTGTTACTTTATTATGTTGATTTATTTTTATCACCACAATAAGAATTTCAGATCAGATCAGAAATATTAGCAATTCAGTATATGAAACAAAATAAGGAAAAATACATATGATTTATTTTAAATATTTTATTATTCAAACTACATTAAAAAATTAACAAAATGGTACAAAGTATGGCATCAAGATTTAGCATTAATATACATATGTGCATCACATGCGCTGCTAATAAAAAAAAAAAAGGAAGACAAAACACATTAAAAATATTAACAACCCATCAGAGTTCATAGCTGCTCTAACAACTTAATGCACAAAATAAAATCCAACAAAAGTAGTGTCATGATGCAGCTGAAGTTGGTCTTTTGTCCATACTAATAGTTTTAAGTCAGACACTGAAATAACAGAGCCAAATGTAAAAAAAAAAAAAAAAGTAATAATTATTAAAAAGCTCTCAGATGATAGACAAGATTCAATTTTTCCAGGCTTTGGTTTTGCAGTATTTCTCTGCCTATTAAAAAATAACATAAAATTAAAAAAATTCTTCATGTACCACTAAAGCACTAAAAATGAATTTACATTAAATACAAAATAAAGAAAAGAAAAACACTAGCCACTAATACCAAATAGCACATCCAATTTTCAATACAGATATGTAGGAAACACCAAACAGCTCTCTTTACTTCTAATTTCATCAAATACAGTACGATGAATTGGATAATTTGATGTATTTACTACAAAATACACAGAAGTTAACTAACAATATACGAAAACAACAAATGCACCTCACTCACTACAAAAACAAAAGAAATTTATGCATCTAAACCAATCAAAATATTTTTTTTTAAATATTAAAAAAATAATATTAAATCAAAGAAAATTTGTCAAGGAACTTTATGACAACACATCATTCATAATATATATTATATTAATCCTATGCTATTTCAAAATGAAACTGAAGATCTATGATTATACTACTGATTAAGTGTTTAATAAATTTAGTTATTTTTTATCACATATAACTAGACAATGTAGTAATTTTAAAATCACACTGTAAAATTTTGGAGTAAATGACTACTTTCTAGAAAAAAAAACTTGGATCTACAGCAGTCTTCTAATGGGCTGATGTTTCTTTAGATGTATTGTGTATTTTTATGAAAATTCTGACTTGAATTCCGCATCTTTTGGAGAAGCATTATCTAAGCATTTTATTTCCTTCTGCGTTTCTGTTTATTTCTCTATTTTATGCACATTTTTCTCCCAAATCATTCACATACTGTTGCCATGAAATAATTGTTTTATCAATTACAACATTAGATTCACCTGCTCTTATTACATGCACTACAATATTTCCAACCATACCTTTTGAAAATAAGTTTTTATTTTTTAAAAATAAATTTTTATGAATTTTCTAAAAAGACTTGCTAAAACAAACAATTATATTTCTAAACAAAGAAGTCAACAACAGCTCATTGACAATTAAAGAGGAGAGCTAGGGCTAGATAAAATTATTTCAATTATGAGGTGAAAATACTTTCTACAAGAAAGATACCTCACTTTCTTTTCTTCTTTTATCTTTCCTCTTCTTTTATCATGAAGTAAATAACTAAATTATAAACATTTTTTAGTTTGACTAGATTGATCTGTATTTTCACTAAATATCTTGAGGAGGTACTTATCGCTTTCGGTAAACACATTTCATATTCTGACATATTCATACAAAAGTATAGTCGAACGCAGAAATGTTTATTGCAAGTTTATATGCAAACAATGCACTGAAATAAATATACACATACCATTTTATCTTATACAGCTTAAATTACTAAGGAAATCAGCAGTTGTTGTAATTACTTAAAACTGTTTTAAGTATGTAACTAAAATCTGCATGCCAAAATCAAATGATAAATTATTCAAGATGTTAGAGTGTACTCTGAAGCTCTAAAGACTACAACTGTTTTTATATATTTTCAAATTTTCCTGACTATTGGAAAAAGTTCAATTCCCCCCCCCCCTGTTGTTGAGGAAGTGATGATCCTCATGGTTTGCTGAACTTTCACAAATGTCTTGTCAGAAACTGATCGTCGCCCACTTCTTCCTATTGTTGTAAATTCTAGTATACCACCTGCAAATTTCTTACACTACTTGCAGATATTTTTGACATTGATGCACAACTTGCTGCACACTTCTGTCAACTGGTGATGAAATTCAATTGGTTTGAATAACTGCGTGAACTTAACACTTGGCAGTAATATCAAGCAGGAGCTTTATACAGTCCTGGTTGCAAATCCAAGACTGAATTTTCAATGAGGTGCATGCAGGTTTATTTGAAAGTGGGGGAAGCAACAAAGACAAGTACTTTCAACAGCCATATGAACAGTTTCCCTTTGTCCCAGCACATTAGAGACATTTTGATTTACTTTTGGGATTACTCTCATACTTTTGCTTTGACAAATTACTACTTTATAACGTAATTTTAATCTTGCAAAATAAACTTCACTAATCACACTTACTTCTTGTATAATAACCCTTTGACGGGCGGTAGGATGCGAGGCGTCCCACCTTTTTTATCAGTTTTTATTTCCCAGATGAAAGCTGCAAAATTCCATTTTGAATACATACAATTATGCCTTTTAGTTTTCTAAATGTATAACAGATGGCAGCACTAGTATTCCTTCATGGAAATAATGTAAAATAAAAATTCTTTGAAAGTCTAATTTTAAGGCAGTTTGATAATGCAAATTTATATTTTTTAATAAATTGCAATAATGTTAAAACTTGAAAAATATTTAGTATTTTTTTCTGAAAGAAATGAAAATATAACCTTGTAACATGAAATATCATTGAATACTGAATGGATATGTGAGTGTGATTCAGCATAGAAGAATATCCTACGCAGAGGAAAAGAGAGGTGAAATGTAAAAAAACATGATGGCCTTTAAAATATCTTACTTTTCAAACCTGTAGCAAAAATCTTCTCTGTTTCAAATCTATTATGAAATCATAAAAAAATATCTAAAAAGTCGTACAGAGAGCGATTTTTTTAAAATTATGTATTTTTTTTTTTTTTTTTTGAAAAATATATTTTCTATTTTGCAAATATGATCATTATTCTCTAGATAATTATTCAAAAATGCTTTTTATACCTTGCATTTTCATTTGGTTGCTAAAACTAGCACTTTAGATAAGCATGTTAGAACTTACGCTGAGGCAAAGATGCCATTTTACTGCTCTAGATGCATGGTGGGACAAGTGGTATCCCACCACATCATGAATTACCTTAAAGGTTCACCTTTTTTTTTTTTTTTTTTCTTCATGAAATAACATTGTAAATATTTTATAACTCAAAATTTTTATGATGAGGTATACAGATGATTAAGGGACATCAACAACAAGAAATTTCATAATTTTGTCTTCTGCACATGACAAACTAGTTCCAAAATTCAAAACACAGTAACCAAAAATACAGTGACAGAATATTTAAAGGCAATTTAAAAAAATAGAAGAAACGTATTAAGACACACTTTGTTCCAAATGCAGTAAGCATGCAAATACTTTGCATTTACACAACAGACAAGAAAACTATATTCAGGCACTTGAAACTAAAGAAATGGTCAAAAGTCTGGATAAACTGGAAATTTGGATTTGGTAAAATAATTCTATTAATTCAGTTGCTTGAGGTAAACAAACAAAACAGTTTTAATTAGTGAATTATTATAACAGCATTACTTTTATAAACATAATATTCACTATAAACAACAGTTTACATACCTTGCAAGCAGCTGCATGAGCTGTTGAACGGCACCAGTATGATGGTCCGAAAGTACATTTATTGCCGCCAATTAGGTGAACATGCCCAGCAGGTGTTGGGCAGAAGTCAATGTCCTAAAATTTTTTTTTAAATAATGTAGTTTATATGCCAAATCACAAAATAATGTACAATTAAAAAATTATTTTTGTGTAAATATAATTAATATAAGAATGGGATGTTTTTAATACTTAAAAAGGCCAGTGCTTCCGAATCTATGGTCCTCAAAGTCTACCTTTTGTCTACTCTTAAATTAAAAAATAATTAATTAATTAACTACATATACAATGATACAGTTGAAAATCTCAAAAGTTTGAAAATAACACATGGCAATCATATATCTCTTTTCCTCCCAAGCCTGACATTTTATGAAAAGTATTGCCAATTATCCTACTTACATACCTCCCCCTCTAGTCTTAGCAACAAAAGAAGGAATTAAAGTGCTGTAACTGTGGTGCAATATATATCCAAACAATATATAATAAATGCAATATTATATAATGCAATAGTATATAATAAGTGCAATATAAAACTTGCCAATATAATATAAAAACAAAGAACAGCTATACAGTCAAAAGTCGTCAATCCGGACTCGTCGGGACTTCGGCGATTCCGGATTATTGATTTTTACGGATTATAGATCATCAGTTTAAATCGCGTAAGATGGCATGCAGAAATTATAAAATTTAAAATATTAAACCGTAATTTATGAAATAAAGAACAATTATGATCTAAAGGGTATCAAAATTTACAAAAAAAGCTTAATATTTATTTGTTTACTTTATTAAACATTTCTTTCAATGTAAGTTGTTTAAGTTGCTTCGTTTTATGTGATAATACTTTCTCTTTAATTCTATAAACAGACATAATTTTTTGTTCAGTTACAAAGTTCCGCTGTTCAAGTCCCGTTAATTGCTGTGCCGAGAATACCGACTAACTTGTCAATCAAAATTTTTTCGTTTTCACTAACCTCTCTGTCACATTCCTCATGTCTTTATCCATTTTTTGCAGCAATTCCACTTTTTGTTTGATGGACATCGAAACATACTTTCGTTTTGTCCGATCCTTTGGGAGCTCCAGAATCGGAAATTCTATTTGACATAATTGAAAGTTCAAGTTTACTTTTATAGTATTGCTCTTACAGTCTGCGAAAAATAATAAGCCGGATCCAATTCGAAAATTAAGGAACAACGCAATCATCAACATTAACTGAAATAGATAATTAGATAATAGCTTATACCGTCTGTTATACATAAAATGCGCACGCGAAAATGTATTCTGCGCTTGCGCACACGCAAATGCGGTTCAAGTTTACTTTTATAGTATTGCTCTTACAGTCTGCGAAAAATAATAAGCCGGATCCAATTCGAAAATTAAGGAACAACGCAATCATCAACATTAACTGAAATAGATAATTAGATAATAGCTTATACCGTCTGTTATACATAAAATGCGCACGTGAAAACGTATTCTGCGCTTGCGCAGTCGAAAGAGGTCTTACGTGCACGTGTAAATGCCTATGCGCATGTGTCAACGTGGCGCATGCGCAGAAAGTTTTTAGCTTTGAGGTCCGGATTATAGATCATTCCGGATTATGGGTCTCCGAATTAACGACTTTTGACTGTACAAGAAATAGCAGGCTCATTCACCTCGTTAATGTGGATATCAACATTTATTTAATTTTTAGTTAAGCTCTCTGAGCAGATGGCTTTTTGGACCTGCTCATGAGGACCTGCATTTACACTGCTTCTATTTGCTAAATATATATAATTTCTTATTTTAGTCTTTGTTTTTGTGAACTATTATTCATTAAGATGATAGTTACATTAATTTAATAAGTCGCCAAAACGTAAAGTAATGTCACTTTATAATGACAGAAAAAAAAATGTAAATACTTTATTTTAATGTTATTCCTTAAATATAATTTAAATACATTACCATTATTTTAGTTAAATTTATCAATGTTGTACTGTTTTAAAAACAATCGTCGAAAAATTCCCAAATTAAAAATTTTCTACAGAAACTAATCTCAAAATCGCCGAAATATTCAAATTTCAAGCTATTTAATAAAAGAATTCACATCCCAAAAGCGGAAAATTGTTTAATAGTTCTTCATTTGAAAAAAATTAAACAATTTTGAAATGCTTATGTTTTATGTAAATATCATTTTAATGAACAAAAGTTTATGAAAACAGAGACTAAAATAATTATACAAATTTAGTCAATAAATGCAGTTTAAATACAGATCTTAATGAGTAGATTCAAAAACAATCCATGCTGCTCAGAGGGTTTAAATACATTTATTTATTATTATTTTAATTATTACAATTTCCCCTCTAGGACTCTTTTTTTTTTTTTTTTTTTTTTCCCCTTTCAGAACAACATGTATACAGCTTATAATTCTAATGAGAAATACTGAAATAGATTAAATGTGCTTTTTATTTCACATTATCACAGTAAATATATAATAACTAAACATATTGATTCTGTTTTATTTCATAAATTTTGTGATCAATATTACAACACATACCAAAATAATACTTAAGTCTGAATAAAACACAAAAAGGCTTAATTTTAATGTATGTATAAAATAACGTTTTTAAAAGAGCATGCAGAATAAAAATTTTAAATACATGCATAGAATATACAATAAATTATGTGTTTTGATGGAAGAAATACCTTAGCTTGTTAAAACCTGTGATAATCAATTCAAAAATTGTTTCATATAATTTTTTTCCCTGCATAAAATTTGCGTACAAGTTCCTACAAGATGCAAAGAAAATTTAAATAAATTAAACTTTAAAAATACATACCTGGCAAACTTGCCTACTATCAGCTAGCTGACCAATCATCTGTAATATGTATGGACCATAAGTTTCAAGCAAAGTAGAACACTTATCTTTATAAGAGGCTGGGACAACTGTACATATTTTTTCTACAATTTTTGTGATTTCCTTATCCACATCATCTTCTTCAAGAAGTTTGTCTAAATAATCGACGACTGTGGTGCAAATTGAACATTCATCCATTTTGAAAGAATTCAAAGGAGCTGAAAGTAAAATTCCATCTATATTAATGCAATTTACAAAATAAACACATACAACTAAAATAAAAGAAGCTTCAAAAGAACATGCAGAATATTAGCAGATGGAAGTGAATTATTGTGACATAATTTAAAAAGTGAAAAATTACTCATTGACAAAGCATAAATACATGCAGCCCTTAAAAAAATGCTCTAAAGAAAAGTATGAGTGCAGCAATAACCATTGTTAAATAAAAATATTGTTGTAACATATTTTCACTAAATTTGTTTAATTCAGTAACATAACTGCTAATGGAAAATATTGTTCAAAAGCTATAAGCACTAAGAAAACATTTAATCTTTAATAAACATATGAAGAATCTTGATTAAAAAATCTGATGTGGACACCACACGACTTCCATTTATGGAATTATACATATTTTTTTCCACATTTCATTTACACTTATTTCCTCGAATTTCATTACAGATATATTTCTCATTCAACTAATTCAGTTCTCCCTTTGCAGCAACGCAAAAATGCATAAAAACTTAAAACATCTTCATTAAAAATTATAAAATACAGAAAAACCTAAAACACCAAATACAGTTAAAACAGATTAAGAAAGAAGAAGAAGAATTTTTACAATTAAAGCTACAGCAGTTCCACTCACTTTCAACAATATGCACAAATTCCTACCTGCAACAAAACTTGTCAGTAGTCAATGCACGAATACCATTTTTATGATTTTGAGAATTTGCATGTAAGACATATTTTTTGATTAACCATTAATTTTTAATTAACCATTTTATACTAACTTAGAATCATAAATATAAAAGGCTGAATAAAGAAAAATATTTCTTGTAAACTATATACATATATAATTAAAAATTTTCATTCCATTACTCAAGCAGATATATCACTAAACCTACTAATATATTATTGAAGTAAATATTTTAAATTACAAATAATTGCAAGAGAAATTAGAATCAATAAACCATATAGCTTTATGAAGTCTTGTATTCTGACTTCCATAGGGAAGTTTTAAATAAATAAACAAATTCTAGCTAGACAAGAAACATACATAAAATCATAACTAAAAATATTCATAATTAATTTACAAATTAAGAATGCAAAGATTTATATATAGTATGTTTAGCAAGCTTGACTTACAGAATTTTTTCTATAACACATAATTCATGCATGTTTACTATTTTTTTGCTATGACAGAATCCATAAACATAATTTTTATAAGCTGCTTCAAAAGGTCCTTAACTAAAATTGGACGGTTGTGTTCAATGGAAATTCTGTGGAATATAAAGCTACCCAGACGGTATAATAGTTAGCAACATTGCCATACTGGGGCCTAGGTTTGAATCTCGGAGAAAGCATGGAGATTTATACCAACATAGTGTCTGTGCGGCATGCAAGCACTCAAAATACATGCAAGCCAAAATCCTCTTTAAGAGGTTGGTGGTAGGAAAAGAGGGCTGGCCCCTGGATAATCTCTCTCAAAATTGGGATGGAAGTATACAGCTGGTGCGGCAGGATTATACCTGTATGACCAATGGTGAAATTTTGGTGTCCAATCCAGATTTGCCTGTGCCTGTAGAATGCAAGTTCTAACTTTCTGGCTTGATAATTTTACTTCCTTATTCTGAGGCAGCATGCCCTTCATTGTAGGGTGCTTAACTGGAAAGATTAACGGTCAGAATCTGCAAGTCTATAATTGGCTAGTTTTCAAAACTAGCAAGACAATCAACTTAACATCAGCGCTTTACCAATCAGTGGATGGTTCTTTTTTGCATACCATTTTCTGTCACCCCCTTCCTGTAAAATACAGAATTTTTTTATATTTCCCATAGTTGAAGTTAAAGAATTTCTACAGAAACTATGGAAAATCCATAGTATTAGGAGTCTATGAATGTATGGTAGTAAATTGAACAATTCTAAACCACTGCTACAAATTATTTTCTTCCAAAATCTCTTAACAGTATTTTTATATGATATAGAATCAAATTTAAAATTAAACAGTTAAATTATTAAGTTTTAAGTGAAACTCTGCATATTTGTAATTATGGATGAAAACTAGTCTGAATGGTCTCCAGTGGGTTTTATTTATTTATTTATTTTTCGTTACAGAAGTCTGTCCAAGATTTAGATGCTGTTTCTGAAGATTCATTTTCTACTGAGCATTTTTGGATTATTTTCTTCTTGTTTTAGTAATTTAACTCCATACAACAAAGATAAAACTTGTATATCTATAATTAAACCTCTTACTGATGATCACTTAAGGTAACACAATATTTTCATCTTTTGTGGAGATGATCATGATTATCAATTTACATAAAAAATATTTATTTAATCCAATGTTTTTGGAGTCTTTTGAAGAAGAACAGCAGCATATCAGTTCATTTATAATCCTTCATATTCATTTTTTTAAAGTATTTACATGAAATTCTGTTTCTTTTTAAAGTGTTTCTTTCTTATATTTTTTAAGCTTGTTTTGTGAATCACATATTTTTAGTATTTTAGAATTGCACTTGAATTATTATTGCATATTTTTGTATAACAAATAGACATTATTTTTATCCTAATTTTATTTTACTTTCAAGCTAACACGAATGTTCATTTTTGCAAATTTAATTCTTTATTAATTAATAACAACTTAGTCTGTATTCTCAGTCTCTCAGTTATCCTTAGATATGATTGCAACTTTCAGACCCACCGACATACAATTTGCTACTTTTATTTTTTTCCCCAATAGTTCATTAATGCAGTAAACCCTTGCCAAACAGGGGAGCCAATGTCATTAATTTCTTGCCCATACGGCAAATTTCTGGTCTGAAAAGTTAATTTTCTATGGGAAAATTGTATTAGCTATAATTTAAATTAATAAATTATGTATAATAAACCTGACTTTCAAAGTATTCACATCTTTTTTGGTGAATATATTGCAAAATCGGAGAGTTTCTATGCCTTTCTTAACGATTCATTTCACTTCTTGTAAGTTAAAGGTGCTTGATCTATTGTCCAGTCAGCTGGTATTGTAACTGTTTATGAAATTTGTACAGTTTCTTTGGCTCCATGTTCAATGAATGGATAGCATTTAATACTGTTGATAACTTCTGGCCAAACCTAACTGATGACAGCAAAAATTCAATATTCATGAATGAGTACTGAACAGAGTATGAATGAAGTTCTACCATCAAGGGGTAAATTAAATGGAAACAATAAACCCTTTCGTGCTGACTGTCATGCATACATGCCAAAAAGAAGTGCACTCATTTCCTAGCTGGCATGCTGGCTCACACACTGTTCACTCACAGCCATTATGCATTTGTGCCACTGGAACGCTTTAAAGACCACTAGATGACAGCCTGTGTCCATTACCTTTGAACTGAATAGAGTTTTAAGATCTTGACCTTCAGTTTGATCATATTCTGTGTAACACTGGTGTCAGCTGTTGAGAGAGAGGAGCATAATATAGATAAACAGAGCCGGTCTCTTTAACCCGCCACGTGAAACACACATTCGTGTTTCTGATATTCCTTTGAATCCTTTTTTGTTCTTATTTTGCTACTATGTAGGGTTCTATTATGCTTTGCATTGCTTTTATCACTTATATTTCACATACTTCCCTTTTTCTTTCAGAAAGCCTTGACTTCAGTTTATTACAGCAAGGAAGAGTCACTTATCAGATGAAGGATACACTTGCATGGTAAATGAACCAATAAGTGACAAGAATGAGAGTGATGATTCATTTCCTAATGAGATAGTGTTATTTCTAGTGATTCTCATATGGATATTTTGTTAGAGACTGAGCTCACAAAGTGTCTGCCTTCGATTTCACATGAAAGATTTTGTTAATTCTTCTTGCAAACAGTTTTTCTTGTATTTTTTAATAATTAAAAAGTTTATTAATATATTTCATCATTTAAAACTTAATAATTTGAATAGCGCTTCCAAAAATTATTTCTCAAAGTAAGCAATTTTATTTTTATATATTTTCACGTAAAAAAAAAAAAAGATTATGAATGTTAATTTTAGCATATACGATAGCTTAAGTAATAATCTAATGTAGTACCAAAAATTCTGACAATAACTGAGATTTTTTTTAAAGGGGAGGTATTTTCTTCTCTGAAATAAGCTTAGCCGATGCAAAATCTCCATTCTGTGGTTTGATTCCTTTAGACTACCATCCGTCCAAGGGAATGTCTTACACAAAAATGCGCCATCTCAAAAGAGTTAAGATAAAGTGTATATGCAAAATCACATTCTGTAAATCTATGTTCTACAAGGTTTTATTGTACTTTAATGTTTTATACTAATAAAATTACAAATTAATCACAAAGATAAATTGAAAATAATATAGATAAAAAATGGGGAACAAAGCTTTTTTTCCCCTCCCACAGAGATTTTTTTAAATGTTTTAAGCAAATAATCTTTTAATAGGGAATAATTTCATGCATAAAGCAAAACTGCACTGAAAATACACATTACAAATTTTATTTAGCAATTTCAAAAACACTCACTATTTATTAAACATTAATAAACTAATAAAGTCTACTTACTTATCTTAATTCAATCCCTTCTTTTTCTACAACAATTTGAACTTCATAAAATAAATCAACCTTTTTATTAATACAAATTACCTACCTACATTTTTACCAAGTTCTCTTATGATAGACTGCCAACATCTTTCTCATTAAATACTAATTGTGTTTCTAAATTTAATGCTTTATGTTTTGCAGACATTCTAAATCCATGGGTTAAGCACTTAAGATTTATGAAATTTAAAATACTAATCTGCAAGTATAAATGCTTGAATTGACAACTCTAAAATAACATACACGAAGGTTCGAGAAGATTTTGATACCCAGTGAAGATATCAGAAAAGAGCTATACTCCGCACTACTTGAATATTAATTTGCATACATTGACAGCTGCACAAAAAGGAAATGAAAAAATTAGTATAAACAATTTAGGAGCCTAATAAATCTTTTATCACGTCATAAAGAGCCTTATAAAATAAATTACACTGGGTTGGGATAAGATTTGTATTTCAGAATTATATAAAAATATTCTGAAGACTAAGAGGATTTTTTGGGGGGAAGGAGAATAGCTACATCTTTTAATTTTTTTACAAGATGAAAATATTTTAAGTTCAGCCTGAAATTAAGGTGCTCTGGTGGTCACAAGTAAATGTATTAAATGGTCCCAGATAGATAAAAGAATTATTTTCCTACATTTTTACCAAGAATTATTCTCTTAGATAAAATTATTACAATTATTATCAATTATTATTTTAATAACATGCGAAATATTGGTTACATTTAGAGGTAATCAATCACGTATGCGATCTAGCTGCCAAGGTGAAACACCTTTGTATGTGTATGCCTATACATGTACACAGAGCTTGTTCCATACTTTTTAACGGGTCTATGCACTGCAGAGCATTCCCACGAGATGGAGAGAGGCTTTAAGAACATAGCAAACAACGTAAGAGTTTGCTCCAAACTCCTGGAGCATCAGAGCATGTAATAGAGTGAACTTCTGTTTGGAAGTGTTAGTGAAGACACAACGAAGAATTCCTGGAGCAGCAAAACAACATCAGATTTCATGTCACACTGGATAAAACCTCAGGAAACACTTAAATAGTGTTGGCCAAATCCCAATTGGACAAATGCTCACACACACAAGATGCTCACAGAAGGCCAAGAGAATGTCAATGATAAAGCCCATTCTGGACGGCTGTGGTGATGATACTGCGTCTCGAGTCTGCAAGTTACTGAATTCTGATCAAAGACTAAGTATTCAATTGTTAGGTAAAATACTACATGTTTTGAAATGGCTGAAACAAAGTATCAACTGCATCAGGAAAGAGATCAAAGATTTGAACTGCATCAAGAAAGAGATCAAGGATTTGTGAATGCTTCACCATGACTATGCTCCTTGCCTCCCTGTCTGTGTCGCATGCAAAGGCTGACCTAGATCGGGGTTACAATGGTTCTGCAACCACTCTACAACCCTGACTTAACCCTCTGATGTGCGGTGGTCGCGCCTTGAAACCACCAATTTTTGAATTTTTTTCTCCTTTTCCTTCCGAAATTTTTGAGTGAAAATCAATTGATTACTGATCTTTTTACCTCTAAACAACATAAAATGACTACAGAATCATACATGTTTTAGGTCTTAGTACTTCAAATCGGATGCCTTTTAAAATTCGTTTTCAATGAGACAAAATAACTTCCTTTTATTAATATAAACAACTTGAAATTTCAAAAGATATTCATCACACACTATGATTTCTATCATAAAGAATAAAAATAGCAATAATGAAGCTGATATATATATATATATATATATATATATATATATATTATATATAAAAAAAAAAAAAAAAACCCGCTATATGTGTGGCATTTGCTTTGTGGTTTCAGGGCGAGACCAGTGCCTTACTAGAGCATTGTGTCACAATGCTCACAATGCTCTAGAGGCTTGGTGGCCGCACCTTGAAATCACTGCTCTTCGCTATGGCGTTTCTTGCTTCTCAAATAGGAATATTTATTTTTACCCGGAAATAGATATGGGGTTTTGAAACCACAGAGCTATTTTATTACTAAACAAAACATGCACCTGCCCAGTAAAAAGGTCTTTCTTTTCCAGAGACTTTTCTATGACCTCAACACACTTGCTCCCCAAGCTAGTATTGTGATTTTATAAATTATTTCCTATAGTTGAAATTTAATGTAAATATACTTTGCTATAATTAAAAATAGAAATTGCTTGAAGTTGTTTTTAAATTTTAAATATTTTCTGAATATTTTGGAAAAGAAATACGAATAAAATAAGTATGAATGGGAAACGAATGATCCGTACCAAAGCCAAAAAGACCAAGTCCCCCCCCCCCAATTCACATAAAAAACCACAAATTTCATGTGCCAGATGAAAAGAAACTAAATAACGCTGGACATATACCAGTGAAATTTAGATCCAGGCAGTGTATGTTTTGTAGCACAAGACGGAAACCTCATAGAAGAAGATACATGTGCGAAATGTGCAATGTGGGTCTATGCATGTACCAAAAAGACAAAACATGCTTTGAACAGTGTCACAAAAAATATTTGTTCTTTGATATTAAAAAATAAATAAATAAATTGAAATTTAAAAAAAAAACTGACAGACTTTTTTTTAATCCTTACTTTACTGAGTTTTTTAATCCATGTTAGCCATAACGTCCTTATTATGTAGGTACTGATATTTTCACTGCTAATAGAAAAATTTCTATAGCAGTAAATGCTTATTTTTAATTTTTTTCTGACGATTTACTTTGTAAAATAATGTAAAAAAATTATATATTATGCATTTCCTACATTTTTTAAAAAATTCAGAAATTTCATCATTTATTGAAAACGCGCACAGAGAAAGGTAAGTTTTTTTCCCCTACTACCCTGGTAAGTTTCAGAGTTCTAGACGTGCAGTGGTTTCACAGTGCGACCACCACTCACAGAACGATGGACAAGAGTAGATTTCTTTAAATTTGTATATTATTTGTCTCTAGGATCATAATATTCAATTTCTAGAGTTTTTAGTTAAAAATATATAAAAATAATATTGCATGCGTCAAAGGGTTAACCTTATCAGTAATAGTTCGCCTTCTAAAAGGTAAAACAAATCCTTGAAAGAACATCACTTGAACACCACTGACAACATCAAAATTACTTCAAAGAGGCTTTTAAACCATAACCCCACTGAGAAAGTCTAGAGGGCATACAATGCACTCCAAGAGGACCATAGTTTGAAGATTATTAAATTATTGTACAATCTGATCAATAAACACTTAAAAATACTTATAATGTATTACTTCAGGGACAATCGTATAAATATACATATATACATACACACATACTGAGGTTTTAACAATAAACTAAATGTAAAAATTTAATGTAAACATAATCTGTTTTTAGACAACTTAAAAAAAGCGCACTTAGAAATAGAATGAAAATCAGAAAAGTCTTACCTAAGGGTAATTTATCAAAAATTTTTGTCTGATTGTCACATAATTTCACTTCATAACATAGGGTACTTGGGTCTATTTCTTGTGCAATTAATACTAAAAGAGCATCACCATATTCTTCTACAAATGCTTCACAGTTAGCAGACAATTTTTCAGGCAAGGCATCACACATTTTCTTCAGAACATTTTTTATTTCTTCCTAGAAAGATATTTTATTGAAATTATGTGCACTGAGATATTTTCAAATTTGGCCATAACATATTTTAGTTCCTTGCATATTATCTTAAACTTAAAATGTGTTATATATATATATATATAATGTACACACATTTATATATATATATGTACACATATTTATATATATATATACTTGAGTAAAGGATGAAACACCTTCGTATTTATTAATTATTGTTCATTGAACAGGAGTTAGTTTGTTCGCATTGAAAAGTCAACTAAAAAACACAATTTTCACTTTAAAACACAATTTTCAGAATTAAACTTCCTACATATGGGTTCACTCTTTTTTGACTAAATTTGACTTTTTCTACTAAATTTATATTAGGAGATAATATACTCAATATTTCTTTAGTAAATAAATTATATATATATACAAATATACATTATAAAGAGAAAATTTACCTGAGTTTCAGAATTCATCAGCTGCTCTTGCACAAAGTGGAGAACATATTGACAACCTTGACATTCCACATCTTTAGCTGAATAAAGCATTACTTATCAGATGTGTATTTTTAATATATGTAAAATTTTACAAAAATAAAAGTTACTAAAAAAATACATGACTTAATACAGGCAATATTTGGTCAGGAAAAGATACCTGAGGAATGGAAATTCGGTGTAACTTGTGAAATACGCAAGAAAGGAGATATACTTGAATATTATAATTATAGAGAAACCAGCTTGCTTTATACAAATTATAAAGTATTCTCAAACATTCTATTTAATAGACTGTACATGTGGAAAGAATAATTGGAGACTATCAAAGTGGCTTTAGAAAGGGAAAGAATAATTGGAGACTATCAAAGTGGCTTTAGAAAGGGAAGATCTACTATAGAGCAAATATTCAACATATGACAGATTATGGAGAAGACAAAAGAATTTGGAATTGATTCTCACCACATCTTTACTGATTTTGAAAGTGCTTATGACAGTATTGAAAGAAAGGCCATCATCCCAGCCTTAAGGGAGCTTAAAATAGCCGAAACATTATTATAGCAAATCACCCTGATACTAGATGAAAGCAAAACTATGGTAAAAATACAGAATGAACTATCAAAGCTGAGTGAAACTAAAAATCGTGTTTGACTGTATCGTTGGCATGCCTTCTCTTCTATGAGGCACTTGAAAAAGTAATAAGAAATTCAAACATCAGTATCAGAGGAAACATCTTTAATAAGTTGATACAGTTATTGGCTTTTGCTGATGACATTACCATTATTGCTAGAACACTAGCAGCACTAAAATGGGTTTTTATATCTCTAGAGAAGGAAGCTCTCAGGATGAGCCTGAAAATTTATGAAAATAAAATAAAAAGATGCCGTGCATTAAAACAGACTTCAAGGACACTCACTTAGAAATTGGAGAATATAAATTTGAAACCATTGACAGCTTCACATGTTTTTAGGCTCCGAAATTAACAACAGAAACTATATTCCTATAGAAATACAAAAGAGAATCACTGCAGCCAATAGATGCTTTAAGTGAATACAAAAATATATGAAATCCAAAGAAAAAAATAGTAAAGTAATCCAAAGAAAAATGTTTTACTGTACAAGACCAATTTTGACATATGCATGTGAAATTTGGACTATGACGTGCACAAATGAGGAAATGTTGGGCATTTTTTAAAGGAAGGTTTTGAGAAGTATTTTTAAAGGAATATAAAAAGACGGTGTGTGGCCTAGAAGATCAAATTTGGAGCTATATTGCTCATAAAATGAACCTGACATCATTAACTTCCTTAAATGCCAAAGAATAATAAAATGGGCAGGCTATATATCAGAATGCATGAAGACCATGCAACAAAAAAAGTCTTCAATGCCAGACCAACAGGCACACGGAAAAAAGGCAGACCAAGTCTAAGATGACTAGACTGCCTAGAAGATGATCTATTGGTTTTATAAACCCAAAACTGGAAAATGCTAGTAGGGAAAGATTGGCACGCAAAAAGCTTCTTGAGAAAGCCAGTGCCCACCCTGCACTGTCAGGCCATTGAGGAAGAAGGAAAATTTTAGAAAGAAAATACAGGTAGGAATTCAACATCTGGATCACTCATGCATACACACATCCATCTTGTTAAATCAGTTAACTTGTACTAACAATAACAGCACATGCAAGCTGCAGTACAGACTAGATTATACCTGGGAATAAGAGTTATCCACATGAAACAGGAAAATTTTAATTTAGATGAACCTGTAATTAATAAAAGAGAGAAAGCAAAAACTATTCAAAAATTCTTTTTACTATTTTAATAAAATTCCACATGTTTGTGTATCACACACAAAGTTCAAGATCAGTTCAATGGTTATCTCCAACAGATTCCATTTAAAAATATGCATATGTCTACAGTAGATTACGACAAACTCAGATCAAATGAAATTTCATAAGATCAATAAAATATAACAAAAAGTACAATTCAGATAAAATAAAATTTAATAACAAAAATTATTTTGAAAATTACTAGGGGTGGGGAAATGGAATTCGCCTAATTTAACTTTCATTAATTCAGTAACTTTCATAAATTGCTGGGAAATATTTTTCTAAAAAATAAAAACCGCGAGATTTGGTGATCTACCAGGAGACATGATGAAAAGTCAGGAGTCGCCTGCTAAAACAAGAGAGTTGGCAGTTATGTAATACCAATGCAGGAATAACATAATTTACCTAATTAAAGAATTACAATTAGGCTCAAAGATGGCTTAGAATTTGTAATCATGTTTTATGTTGCTAAATGCCTAAAAAATGCCTGAAAATACAATCAGGTCTTACACATGTTGAATTTTTAGATAATAGACTGTAGGCAGGACAAGATTTAAGAGGATGGGTTCCAAAATAAAAATTATTCTCTTCCTTTTTGATATTAACTTGATTCTTAATTAAACTAAAATTGACTAACCCTAATTTTACACATAAGATTTCATTTGTTAATTCAATAATATACATACAATATACACATACATAATACATAAGCACATAAAGAACTTGAAGTTCAAGCACAATTTGCACATTTTTTACCCAGAAAAGAAAATCTTTAAAAAACAAAGAATCAAAATTAGAAGGGGGGAAAGGGCATTAAAATATACTTTCTTAAATATGTGTAATTTAGATTATTTATTTTCCTCTCTTAAGTAGCATTTCACATATTACATCCATATAAGACAGGAAAAAATACACTTTAATGAGATATACAAAAACTACACATGCATACATCACAAAGTGAAAAGAGACAGAAAGAGAAAGAAAGAAAAAAACATTATATATATATCAAAATATGTCAGTAAGTTTTTTTTTAAACCAAAACATTTTCATCACAGATCAATATTGTCCATAATGCAAATAATAAAGCTCATGCAAAGGTGGTGTTAGAAAAGTGGCATACTTAATATTTTTAATCGAGTGGTTAGTAGAATTGTTTTTATATTTAAAAAAGTAAAAACCTTTTGAATCCTGCTTGGTAAAAGCCACTTTAGCTAAAAAAAATAAATAAATAAATAAAATAAAAATAAAAATAAATAAACTGATAAATTTAAAACATCCTAAATTAAAGCAATTTTGAAACATTTTAAAGCACAAAATAACTGATCATATAAAATATCAAATCATTTAGCCTTCACAATAATGAGACTGAAATCTTTTCTTTTTACCATTTTTTTTTTTTGGGGGGGGGGGGGGGGGGGGGGTAATAAAAGAACATTTTATGGAATGCAGCATTTAAGCATATTTTCAAAACTTTTACTGTTTAGAAACCAGAACTCAAAATTTTGAATATGATCCCTTTCTTTTTTGACATTAAGGTCAAGGTGAATTTACAAAAACAGAAAACTTTTTTCATTTAACCATAAAAAAAAAAAACCATTTAATTAATTTAAAGCTTTTAATCTTTATTTCCGATACATTAGTTCAAATATATAAATCCTTATCCATAATGCTATGATAACATATAGAAACTTAACAGTATGTAATGAAATATGACATAACTTCAGCTATGAAAATGTTAAAACTGCAGGACATTATGAAGCAATTAGAAAAGCACACATATAACATACAACAAACATTTCAATTATATCCAAAAATGTTTTTATAATTAACTATTATTCTCTAAAAATAGTTTTACAAAACAAATTTAAAATGAGTCTTATAAAACTGTTTATAATATTTTTTCAGAACACACTTGATTTCTATTTTATGAAAAATGCTTGAAAAATATTAACAATTAATAAGCTGAGGATTTTTTAAATAATCCATTTTGTCCTTGCGATGTCAGAAACGTCTTTAGTGCAGCGTTTCTTAAACTGTGGGTCGTCAAAAAATTTAGCAGTTTTGACATTTCTTTAACTTATTATAATAATTTTACAATTACCAAATATTTTTACACAATGTATCTGAAAATAGATAAAGACAAGACAATACAGACAAAGAAAAAAGGAAAAGCTTTTGACACATTCTTTTTATAATAGAAACGTTCATTTTACTTACTTTGCGCGTGACACTGTCATTTCGTTTGTTACTTATTTAAAATTTTCACATTGTTCTATGTCTTAAAATTAGAAATTAAAGTTAATGACCTAAAATTGCAATAGTTATATTACAGTACAAGTGAAAAAATTCACAGTTTCACGCATGTGTGTGTTGGATTTGTGCAATGCTTTTATGGAGTCCCACAAAATTTTCGTAAATATTATGGGGTTCTGGGGGTCACGAAAGAATCTGTGATAAAAAGGGGTCACGATTGAAAAAAGTTTAAGAAACCCTGCTTTTGTGCACCCTCTTTAAATTTCTGAGCCATGACATTATACTACTATACTATCTATCACACGACCTTTGGTAAATATTACTGCTGCAAGAAATATAAGATTTGATTTATCATTATGAGACCATGTAAGTATTGCCACTGTAACACACATAAAATCTTTACCTTCCATGTGTCCCGGCAAATAGCCATGTCTCAGATAGTTGCCATCTGATAGGACATAAGATCTTTATTTGACTTTTAACACTGCTGCTTAACAAATTCTATAGCTAAACAAGTAAATTTTTAATACTGTTGCTCAACAAATTCAGCAGTTTAGAATCAAGAGATGCACTTCTTAAAAACTTGTCTTAGTTTTTAAGAATACATTTCATTGAATTAGTCACAATTTTTCTAAATTATAACATTATGATAATTTGTAGTATTACTGAAATTAAATGCTTCTAATGCATCAAGTTACATACCTGGGTATGTTTTGTTTTGTTTGTTTTGGGAAAGAGAAAACTGTTTATATTATTTTAGACAGAAAATAATGCAAATAACTTTTTTTTATCAATTTTCATAAATTTGTTATAATTCTTTCATACTACTTGAAACAGAATTCTTTATTAAAATAACAACGTAATTGAAATTGAAACTACAGCCACCCATTAAAAAAATTTAATATAATTCTATTACCAACCAGCATTTCTATATCACTGATCTGTGAATTTAGTTTTATAGTATAATTTATTTTACATGACCCAAAAGATGCTTTTGTAGCAGTTTGATATTCTGTACTTCCTTTAGCATTAAAAAATCATCTTTTCAAATTTTATAACCATTTCAGATTTGTTTGTTTTAAACAATTTAAATACTATTCTCCTTTAGTAATCATAACACTGTATCCATTAATATATGAAAAAAAATCTTTGTTCTTTGCTATTAACTACTATATGTTTTCATGTATAAGTCCAGAATTTATTAGCAGTTTTTATTATTTTTATTGGCTACTGAAATTTGAGTATCAGCTTATATGAAGTTCAAAATTATTTACAAATAGTTTTATCACAAAAACTGTAATATACGTTTTATAATTTTTTGAAATATTATTTTCAAACTTATTATTTTAAATTATTCAAAAATATTATAGCTCATCCTGAAGACATAAATCAATTTGTTTAATTAGTATCCAATTCAATATTTTCTGGTAATTCAGTTATTGCTTGAGGTAAGTGCAGATGAATATAATTGCCCACCACTTTACCATTAGCATTGGTGTCATATGCCTCATAGATAATATACTCTTCAGTTCTGTTCATAACTTGTTCGTAAATGCTCAGTAAATGGGACGACTTTTAATTTAAACCTAGCAGAATATGCAGGCTTTTTATCTCTTGAGTATTTTTCACTATAAAACAGAAATAAAGAATAGTTATTTTACTTGTAGAAGTACAATCAAAACCGAGTGGAGGGGATTCTCATCACTGCTTGAGGATAGTTACTACAAATGATATAATCAAAATAAAATTCATAATGTTATTGACAAACTGCCAAATGATGATGAACAAATCCAAAAGTTAAGAGACAAGAGAAGAAGAAACTACTAGTGCCAAAAATGCCCCTTCATTCTATTTTTTAAAAGGAATTTGAAATTGAAATGGACCCTCATCTTTAGCCTGTCTCAGCCAAACAACTCATTATTTACATTTTTTGGCAATATATACGTACCTGGATTTAAGAGATGGTTTTTACATTCAGCCAATACACAAGTTTTCAATTTTGGCAGCAAAATCTTACTTCTCAGCTTATACATGGCTTATAATTGGAAACACACAGTAAGAATTAAAAGATATTTAATCCTAATATCACACTCTATATAACCATTTTACATAACGCATAATTACACAGCACTGTTTTTACAAATAAAAAATTGTAAATTAGTCATAATAATTATGGATAATTTTAAATTACATAAAAGAAAATAATAAATATTATGCAATGAAATTATTTAATTTACAGAATATCGGAAGTATAAATTACCTGGACACACATTCAGAGCAGCACAGATAATTTCAGGATCCACTTCTTGAGTCAGTAAAGTAATTAGTAGGTCTGTGTATTGATTTACAAAATTTTCACACTTTGTCGCAATCGAAGAAGGCAAATAAGAGCATACTTTATCTAAAGCATTCTTGATCTCCTCCTTTTAAATGAGAAACCAAAATTTTAAACTTTCATGGAAATCTTAAAGTAACCAAACTAATTGAATTAATATAATAACAAAAAACATGTATCTTAAATATTGTTACTATAATTAATATTTCAGCAGCTATGTACAGTCGAACCTCCAATTTTCAGACTTTGACAGAATGAAAGCATATGCCCATTTGGAAGTACCTCTTAAATGAGTATTCCTTCCCTCCCCCCAAGCAGGAAATTTTAAAGTTACTCTATAATCAGAATGGAATACAAAAACCATATTAAAAAATAGCTATATGTAATGAATTAAATATGAGTACTGAGCTTTAAAAAACAAAATGTGCAATAAAAAATACAACATATTTTTTGGTTTCAATAAAGAGAATATAGCCCCCCCTGAAAAAAAGCATACTGGCAGAGAAGAACATTAACTGGAATTCATCCTTATGCTTCTCAAACCACTCTAACAAAATTTGAGCCTTGTTGACATGGGGCACTGTCCTGCTGGAAGATTCAATTTCCAGTTGGGAAGACAGATGCCATGTAAGGGTGCAACTGATCTGAAATTATGTTCAGATAGTCCACAGCTTTCATGGTCTGTTCTACCATAACAAACGGTTTCAGAATTGCCCATGAGAACGTCCCTCAATGCATAACACCACTACCAATCTCTGTGTGACCTGCAGTAAAGGAAGGGGGGCAACTATTCGCCTGGAAGATGGCATAGCATGACATGACCATAGATGTGAATGAGAAAGCAACCAGGATCTTCTTGTCTTTCACTTAGTCTCAATGTTCCTGAGCTCTGTAAGCATAGCTGAAAATGACGCTTGGTCAATAGAGGCACACGAGTGGGACATCTGCTATGCAGTCTCATATCCAACAGTGTGTATATTGTGTACCTTACTGTCTGTTCTGAAACATTTGCACTTGGATCTGTGCTGTATTAGACGGACAGCTGAGCCACTGTCTGGTGCCAGTACTGCTGTACCATGCTGGACAGTCTCCGATGTCCTTTTTCTTTGATGATGAGTGGACATCCAACACCTTGGTTTCACCGTCATTTACCCACTTTGCATAAATATTAATAAAGACATATCATGAAAAACCTATCAGTCATGCAGTTTCGGAGATACTAGTCTTGAGTCTTTGGGCCATTACAATCTGCCCTCTATCAAATTTGCTTAGTCTTTCCCACCACCGCAAAAGTGCAAGAATGTTTCCTTACCTTTTTCAAAAGCAGTTAAATACCATTTCCACTTACATGCCCTCCACATCATCCAGACAATTTCATTGAAAAATAAGGGAATGGTAAAAATGTTTTGCCTACTCAGTGCATACGTATATAAATATATATACAAGGTGTGCCCGTAAAGTAACCAGCCAACTTCTTATAAATCAGAAAAAGATTAGCAAACTTCAAATAAATTTATCATTTTTCAAATTAATTCCTCTATAAAATGTGCTTAGATCAGCAGTCTTTCCCATCATTCACAAAAGTAAGTGCAAGAATGATTATTTACCTTCTCCGGCAGCAGTGTTTTAAGACACTTTAAACATGTCGAGAAAAGGAGCAAATCTATTGAGACTTTTGTTAGTTTTAGTTTGAATAGAAAATAGATTACAATTAATACCGTTTGGAGTTTGCTCGACAAAACGTGTTTGCACGTGTTTAATCAACTTGGTTAAAGGCTTCAAGCACTTTTCCCTTCATAAGTTCTGTTTAAAACTTTAAACAAAAAAGATTGACTTTATTATTTCTATGTGTGCATATTTAAATTTTTATTTAGATTAGATACAATTTTTTATGCCGATTAGATTTTTATCACATTTTTTTAATTTGATTTGTCACTTATTTTACATGGAGTTTTAGGAATTTGATAGGATACACAAATGTTTTTAGAACCTCTGCTAGGTTTCAAACCTCCTTTCTTATCAAATCAATTTTTAAATATCAGCAGATAAATGTGCTATTTTTGACCTACATGGTCACTCGGTGTTTAATGCCTTTTCTATTTTTTGCTTATGTATATATACATATATATACACACACAAGATGTGCCCATAAAGTATCCAGTCAGTTTCTTATAAACAAGAAAAAGATTAGCAAACTTCAAATAAACTTATCATTTTTCAAAATAATTTCCAGAGGAGTCTAAACTATTTTTCCAACATTTCTTCAGGTTATTTAACCACTGTTTACAGGCACTAGAACTAGCCATTTACAAAATAAGTGTAACATCTGATTTAATATCCAAGACCTTTTCAAACATCTATCCTTTTATGGCAATCTTAAGCTTTGGAAAAAGGAAAAAAAAAAATGATCCGATGATAAATAAGGAGTATATGAAGATTTAAAATTAAACGTGAATGTTTTAGCAAGATATTGTTCTACAAACATTGTATGGGGTCTAGAATTATCGTGTAAAAGAAATCATTGCCCAGTTTCTCTCTAACTCACCTTATCCTGTTTCGTGATAAAAAAATGCACTTTTCACTTCCTTTTAAAAATATTCAGCAACTAATTGATTTATTGATTTTCAGAGAAACATTCATGGTGAGCAAGTTTTGTAATAATAAATGCAATCAACATCTACTTAATCTTTAATTTCAATATCCGTGTTTTGTTATATAATGGTCCTTTCCACTGTGCACTTTTTGTCTTTTTGTTTCTGGGTCTTACTATAGATACCAGGTCCATCTCCTGCTATGATATGCTTTAAAAAATTGTAATCAGCAAAACTTCACAGCATGCTTTTATGTCTTCTTATTACTGTTCTGTCAAAATCCGAGGCACAAATGAAGCACAAACTTTCCTCTGTTTCAGATTTTCAATTAAAATTAATCTACAGCTTTCTCAGTCTATACCAAGCATGTTTGAAATTTACTGAGTTTTTACACATCTATCAGCTTTTATCAGAGAACAAATTATCTCTTAACATTATTACATTATTTCCATCTTAAAGCAAATTTTTCTGCACAATGTCTTCTCAGTAAATTGAGAATGACTACAGCATTTTGGAAAACGATAAAATAACTAGTTTAATTTGGCTTTAAAAAGAGTCGAGATGTCACTTTTCTTGAACATACATTTATTCTTTTTTATTTTATCATTGGTCCTTTAATCTGTCCAGTTACTTTATTGGTACACCTTATTTATGTGTGTGTAACACCTTATTTATGTGTGTGTAACAATTTAGGAGAGTGAATGTATGTGTTGTATCTCATACATACATACACACACACACGCAAACACAAAGAGCTTAATGATGGTTCACAGCTTTATCGTAGTTACTTTATCGTTCACAGTACCAATTCTTTTACAACAGTTGTGTGGTAGAATGCAAAAAATAAAAAAGGAAACACTTGAATTTCAAAAACGATGGAAAACAAAAAATTATTTCAGTTACAAATATTTAAAAGAAATAATGTTTAAAATTTACAGGAACTGTTCAAATAAATGATAAGCTACTACAATACATGCATCATAATGAAGATGGATGTCATTTACAAGATGCTGATTGATTCTATGGAAGACTTTGTCACCAGAATTAGCATTATTGGTGGAGAAACACATGACAAGCCACATATCAGCCACTTCATCGTCACTGAGGTGAATGTGGTGCAGACAGTGGTTGTTCATTTGAAAAATTCTTGTAAATATTAAACCAGCCTTTTTTTTTAAACTTTTATGGTAAATATCTATGACTAAAATGACTTCCTGGCCTGCTTATTCTTCCCGCTTAAGTCATTTTACATTCACATTTCACAATCCATTAACCATTGTATTACAAAAATCACCATTTTTGCCATGTTCTATCATCCCTTAAAGCTGTGATCACAAATTCTACTACAATTGCTACATAAAAAGAAAACATGATAGACAAATACATTATAAAACACAGTTGAGTTTTTGAAGTGCACAGAATTACTAAAGTTAATACAGATTTAAATTTGCTTATATAAGCATAAAGAAAGTATTTAACATGAGTTTCTCTCATCTTCAGTTACAACACATGAAAGTGTGCAAACATGAAAATAATATGTATGATTCCACTACTAATATTCTTATAATTGCAAATTTTTATAAATTGTCACCTGACTGCAGATGATCAAAATTCATATTATTAAATACTTCCTTTATGCTTATATAAACAAACTTGAAACATTCTGTTACACATTCTACTGTAAACACACATACATATACATGTGGGTATGCAATACAGGTGCCCTAGAGTGATACACCATTTTAAAATTGAATGGTTCATAAGTTGCCAATTTGTTGGCAACTAATTTTTTGTCAAGCTAATGCATGAAAGGCAACTTCCAGTTTCAAAATGGTGGATGGAATGGAATTCCATACAAGAGAAATCAATGGATAAAATTGTAAAGCGAGAAATATTGGTAATTAGGCACTTATATTTTTTTGAGAAATTTTTCTGTAATTTTTTAAATTGCTGCTGTTCGCCCCAGTAACACAGCGATTTGTGCTTCGTTTTAAAAAAATCAAAGAATAGTACAAACTCAGCATTTTACGACACTGGCATATACAAATTAGTGAAAACCGACGTGTGCTATGCATATTCTTGTGTTGCCACACAAATACTTTTTGTTGCCATACAACTATTTTGGCAACATACTGCTTTCTCTCGTGAATACTTCTTGTGACTTTCGGTGGGGGCTGCAGATAATGAGAAAGTACCACTGAATTACCTGCCAAAGCAAAAATTCTGATAAAGCAAATATGAAATCAAAATAAATATGAGAATGGTTTTGAGCTAAAGATGAAAATTAAATGAAATATGGCTGGTTTTGGTTAAATATGATTGCACAGTTTCCTTTGATAAGTTTAAATTTAAATATGTTAGTATAAGATAGAAAATAATAAAGTAAAATCAATAAAAATCTTAATAAATTAACTGAGAAAGAAGCTTTGATTCTAGGCCTTTTGAGATCCTATAATGCTGTTTCTAATTATTTAAAATTTACTAGATTATAATATAGAAAACAAACAAATGTACTTGTTTGTTGTTCATTGCTAGAGTAACAGAAAGTAATTTCATGTCAAATAAGCCATTCAATTACAGGTATCAGAGAAATTCTATCGTTTCTGAATAAAAACAATTCTGAATTTACAATGCATGACATTTTGAGAAAACTATAAAAATGTTTGATATCAAAAAATGAAATGTCATCCGTGTCTAATTAAGAACTTAAAAAAAAAAAAAAAAAAAGGGGGGGGGACAACAAAATCACTTTAGTCTGATTGGACATAATTTAAAAAAAAAAAAAAAATTCACATATGTGGTGATGTTTGACTTAGCCAAATATCACATGGCACGGATTCAAAATTGCATAACACCACTTGGAATGATACATAAAATTTGAATTCATATAATTTCAGTATGGCTACAATCATTATAACTAAAAAAAAGGAGATTTTTTTTATAATGCTTGGTTAGAAAGAATGGCTTGATTTGTTTGAATATGGCAAAATACTTGACAGCTATCTCTGTGTAGGGATGCCTTTGCGGGGAACTTTCTCGTGGAGGCTGGCTCATATACACATTACACATAGGAAAAAAACACGACAACGGTCATTCAACCAGCCCATTGCCCGAGATTCAAACCTAGGAACTAACTAGCAGTGTTCAGCAACGTTACCGTTCAATCGCTGGTCAGTCAATTAGAAAGAATGATTGTTGATTTACAACTAATGACTGTTTTACACTTTTTCAAAATAGATTACACTGAATAGACTTTTACAGGAAGAATATGGAACATACTTACTAATGAATAGCTTATTATGCATCCAATCCTTTTTGATACTCTACTAATATTCAATGTAATTTATTGTTTGCCACTGAACACACTAAATTTTAAATAATCAGAAACAATATAACGGAACTGCTAACAAACATTAAAATGCAACATTTGACAGTTTTAAACATGATTCATTAAAATTCTGGGTAGTACTTGATTTTCATGACCCCGCGATAAATCACCAAATTATGTAAACCACGTGAAATGATAATCTCTTTACAGTTTAAACATCTGTGTAAAAAATGATACTTTCACTTTCGACTTGTATTTGCCAAATTTAATGAACTGCATAATACCTTAATAGTCTTTTTTTTTTTTTTTTTTTTAAATTTAACCTGTTAACTGGGGAATAAGCTTTCAGTAAAATCGTTTCACAATGGGGACTTTTTCTTTTGCAGTAATTTCAGCACATCGCAAGGAATAAATAAAAGAAAATCGTTTTAAAATATTTAATGATATTAAATATTAAAATTAAACATTTTTAATCCGGAAAAACAAATTAATTGAACGAATTTAAACAATTATTTCGTATGATATTCCCTAAAGCAATGCGGCATACACAAAGCAACACTGCAGTCGGGACACCAAAATCTCGATTCTTTCCTAAGACCTTTGGAATAGCATAATTTGCATCTCCTTTGTTACATTTACTCTTGAAGAGTCGGATGGTATATAGTCTGCAAAATGTCTTTCAAAGAGTCGAGATGGTTTTGGTGTCAAAGATGATCGTCCTGTACTAGTAGATGGCAACTGCGATCCGTCTCTATATTTTTCAACACCTTTTCCTACAGTTTTGATAAGGAAATGAAGCCTATCTAGGTGACCGCCATCTTTCTTGCATAAAAGATATGCATTCAAACACACCATGTCTAGTGCATGTAAAAATATCTTACAGTAATACTTTTTTACTTGGTTTCTAGCGATTTCATACGTGTTCATTTGTCCGTCAGCAAGATCAACTCCTCCCATATTTTTGTTGTAGTCAGTGATAACTTCCGGTTTTGATATCGTTTTCCTTCGTTTTTCTATTTCTACAAATTTATTGTCGTGGATAGTACTCAATATAATTACAATCCTTTTTGTCTTTCCACTTCATAATCATTATTTTGTCTCTGTACCTAGCAATGTATGTTCATCTTTTTTCAAAACACAATTTTTTGATATCAGATGGTATTCCCTTTCTATTTTTTCGCATTGTTCCTACAACATCGGTTTTTCTTCTGCACATCTTCTCAGCTAGATCAGTACTAGTATACCAATTATCGAGATATAGCGTATATCCCTTATCCAACAAATCGTGGCACAATTCAAGAACAATACGATTTGGTCCCTGTTCTTCTGGATAGTTCGAATCATACTGCGTGTCTTTACCTGTATATATAATGAAATCACTTATGTATCCGGATTTACTTTCACATATCTTATACAATTTAACACCAAATCGACTTCTTTTCGATGGAATGTACTGTTTCCAAGACAGTCTTCCTTGCCATAGCAAAAGAGACTCATCTACAGATATTTCCTTATCTGGTACGTGAATTTGTTTCTCAAATAGTTCAAAATGGAATCGATTTTGTAGGTTTTTTTGTTGCAGACTTTTAGATCGAAAGCATTGTTATCACTAAAATGTAACAATTTTACTAACAGTTGGAAACTTTTTTCTGACATAGTTTTTATAAAAAAAATGGAGTCTCCAGACTTTCTCGCTTTGTGAATAAAGCTGATAAGAAGGTTTTCCTATTATTCCTCGCAAAATTATTAAAAAAATAAATACTCTCATCTCTCGGTCATCTGTGTCAACCCACGAGAGACATCTTGAACGCGGTTTCATGAAGTATTTTTTTCAAAAAACTGTCCGGCGTATTTGTTTGATTGTTCCACAATAAGTTCTACAAAATTCTCATCGATAAATTTCTCAAAATAAAAAGGCAATCCTTTTCTTCAGGTCCTTCAAATGTAAGTCTTAGATTGAGATAAAAACGGGAAAGGCGATCGCAATATTCTTTCACATTTCCATTCAGGCTGATGTCGGTTGAGTATTTTGGTCTATAACATCATCATCCTTTGATTCAATGTCCGGACCATCAGTAAAGAAGTCGTTATCGCTTTCTTCCGAACTGGTACTTATTCTTAGAATTCGACGTCAGTTTACCAAACCTCCCGGGCAATATTTCATCATCACTTTCAGACAATTCAAAAATATTTTTTGCTTCACAATAATTTTTAGCCATATTTATAAAAAACTAACAATTACTCAAATCAACAAGTTATTACTAATATGTAAAATACTGAAATGCAGACTAAAATTAAATTAAGTTGTGCAAATTAGGAGTGTTATCACAATTTATGAGCGGACAAGTGTTTCCATTGATCGATTTTTCTTGAACAACGGTCAAGTGACAGATTGCAAAAAAATGTAAGAAAAATTTCGTCATGCCCATTGAAATAGTCTTCCCAGCATGACGAAACATTTCATCATGCCCGTTGAAATAGTCTTCCCAGCATGACGAAACATTTCATCATATTCATTGAAATAGTCTTCCCAGCATGACGAAACATTTCGTCATACCCATTGAAATAGTCTTCCCAGCATGACGAAAAATTTCGTCATACCCAATTAACAGATTAAACATTTATGTAAAAAAGCGATACTTTCACTTTCGACTTTATTTGCTGAATTTGAAGAACAGCGTAATATACTGGTATCCCCCCAGTTTAAACATGGTAAAAAGTGCTGACAATTTTTAATTTACCAAGCAGCGAGAAGGATGCCATATTGTTGATATAGTACTTCACAATCGAATGAATGTAAATGTCTATGAAATGAAATTATATGTAAACTAATTATATGTAAATATGTTGAATTGCAACATGAAAAGTTGTAACCAAACAAACAAAAAAAAAAAAAAAAGATCAATGATCCAATAACTGTTTATTGGTTCCAGAATATCATTCCTAACAATGTGCTGCATTTCATCTACTACTGTTGAATAGAGGAACTAATGTCACTTAAGTAGTGTGATAAAGTCACTTAAGTAGCTCAACATGTGTCAAAATACCATAAGATTGACTGGAACAATTTTATGAGAAAGGTTTTTTCACTACATTTACATTGACAACCTAAAGGACGAATGGATGGGCCTGGAAAAATAGTTGAAATTGACGAAAGGTTGTTCGTGCGGTGAAAAAACAATGGCAGGGTACTTGAAAAACAAGGGATATTCGAAGTGGCGAGTCAAAGTTTCTCATTCAGGTTCCAAATCAGGAAGCAAGCACACTGATATCAACAATTTAATTTTGTTGATGCAACACTGAAAGCTCACACCCAAAAGGTGGAAAGATTGTGGGGCTCTGTTAAAAGCGAAACAAAAAAACAAAGCAGTATGGCTCAACAGTCATATTTTTCTGAATCCATATGTTGGAAGTCCTCTGGGAAAGATAAGCCTTTTTATGCTATATTAAAAGAAATTGCAGAGATATGGCAGCCACAAACTATATGCGAGTAGTTTAAACTTGGTGATAATCTTGGTGCTGTTTTGATAACAGGGGTTATGAAAACCAAGTAGTACAATCTTTTTTTAGTCTTGTATGATTATTATTTCCCATATCCCATTTCAACTTTAAAAATGTACAATAAAATTTTAATAAAAGATTATATTATTTTGGAATATTATTTAAGTCAAAATAAAAAAACAAAATGAAAAAAAACTGATAAATTTTAATGCTATGACAATATTTTGAATTAACGGATGAAAAGCATTCCTATATTCATTTTGCCTTCATAGATGCATAATAAGAATATTTGATATGATACAAAAAAAACTCAATTTTAAAAGGGTTCTACAGTTTTAAAATATACTAAATACAAACTTCATATGCAGCTGAGCAATAGCTTAAATAATAGTCTGCCATAAAAGTGCTCATTAATTTTACTGAATAGTTAAAGCTTTCAATAGATAATAATAATAAAATACATAAATTAGATTAAAACAATGTACTTCTGTTTTCTTGTCCTTTATCAAATCTTCAACCTTCTCTATTACTTCTTTGCATAGGTCACATTCTAAATTTTTGAACTTTGTAGGTTTTTCTTTCTTTAGTGAGCCTAAAATGTTAAATTACCATCTCATTATACACATTATCAAATTATCTAAAGCAAATAATATCAAAATAGATTATAGAAATTGCCAAATGGTAGACACATGCTGTCAAGAAAAGAATTAAGTCACCAAACAGCTTGGTTTTTGATTTAAGACTACCATGCACAAAGAAGCCCATTTTTAAAGTTCTAGAAAGATTAACTGGATTAATTAGCATAGCGAATAGTGAAGCAGAATTCAAAGAATGCACTCAAAGCAGAAAAAGGCAGGATTGTTTAACCTTAATTTTTCACGCCAAAATATCTAAAAAATATCTTTCGCTCCAAAATATCAAAAAAAAATTCAAGTCGCAGCATCAATGAAAGAAGACAACATCTCCCAGTAATTTTCTGAAACAAATCCAAGAACATCATGTGATAAACTTTCTCATGAAGAAAACAGGTGAATTGTTCATAAACACTGAGAGGAGAATAGCCCTACAAATAAGAGTTATATTTGTATTAAATTAGTTAAATTCTATTGATATTTTTCTTATCAATTAAGTTATCAACACAGCAGTGGACAAATGTGATCACAATCACGCAGCACCTACTGTGTTAAATATTAAATAAATTATGCAAGTAATATTTCGGTGATTCTAATTTTGGGATTTTAATGACACGTACAAATTATAAAATTAAAAATTTTAAATGGTGAATTATGAAGTAACAAAAGACAAGACAATTAAAATTTATAAAAAAGGGGAGAGGGAATTAATATTTATTTGTTTGCTTTATTAAACATTTCTTTCAATATACGATGTTTACTTTCCTTTGTTTTCTGTACTAACACTTTCTTTTTAATTCTACAGATATATTTTAATTTTTTGTTCAGTTACAAAATTCCACTGTTCATGATCCTGTAACTGCCACATGAGGGATTCCCACTAAACTGTGAATCAAATTTTTTTCCTTCTCAACAATCTCTTTTGCTTTGCTTTGCTTGCTTTCTTCACTACCAGTAGCAATACTTTCTGGATTTATAACAACCATACTTCAGATTTTGGGATCCGTTAGTTGACTGATAATAAAGACATTGTCATCGTAATGAAAAACATGTTATACAATCAAAAGTCATTAATCCGGACTCGTCGGGACTTCGGCGATTCCGGATTATCGATTTTTCCGGATTATAGATCATCAGTCTAAATCTGGTAAGATGGCATGCAGAAATTTAAAATTAAAAATATGAAACCGTAATTATGAAATAAAACAATTATGATCTATAGGGTATCAAATTACAAAAAAAAAAAAAAACTTAATATTTATTTGTTTACTTTATTAACATTTCTTTAATGTAAGTTGTTAAGTTGCTTCGTTTATGTGATAATAACTTTCTCTTAATTCTATAAACAGACAATTTTCTTCAGTTAAAGTTCCACTGTTCAAGTCCTATAATTGCTGTGTCGAGAATACCGACTAATATCAATCGAAATTTTTTGTTTTCAATAACCTCTGTGTCACTTTCTTCACTATCAGAAGCGAATTCTAATGATGAGGAATTTGATTTAAATCATATCAAACACGGAGTACATTGAGATGAAATACTAAATTTAGTATTTCATCTCAATGTACTCCGTGTTTGATATGTACTCCGTGTATATTTGTAAGGAATAATAAGCCAAATAAAATAAAAACATCTGCCCTGAATATAAGGATAGTGCTGACAGATCAAATTCCGATTCATTGCAAGCCGCGGCGTTCCCCCCTTCTTAGAAATACATATTCTTTGATTCTAACCTCCATGGTACTGTATACTAGGATTAAACCAATTTTGTTTTATACAAGAATAAGTATTTTGTTTAGTTCAACAAGAACTGCATATGCACTTGCAATTCTCGAGGTTACTGGAAACCAAATTTACGGGACACTTGCTTTGCCTTTCTAAAAGACAATCTAATTGGAGCTGCGAAAATTGGCTTTATGTCAGCTGCCCGAATGACGCTCACATGATATGTAATTCGCCAAGAAAGTGATCGCTTCCAACATTGACGCAAAACTCGCTTTTTGGGGAAGGGATTGCTGTATGAAATTCCCCAATTTTCCAGATTTTGACTAAAATATTTCAAGTCCCTGAATTTTTTGGTCAAATTTCGAATTTCCTGACTTTTTCTGGTTTTCCAGGTAGCGTGGCAACCCTGTTAAATGTGGTAACAATAGTGTTCTTATCTTTATGGTTTGAAGTATTGCTCAAACGCATGTCTACAGATTGTTTACCTTTTCAGTGAGGCTATTTTAACAACCTTACTTATTACATTGGGTTCAGATAGGACAGAACCTTAGTTAATTAAAACTTAGATAATCAGGATTCTATGACATCTAAATGTTATCCTTTTGGGGATGGGGGAGGTCTTACAACAGCACCTTATTCTATTCTGGTCTATAACAACTTATCTGGTCTTATTCTGGTCTATAACAACAGCACCTTATTCTGCTATAAGTCCCAAGGTCTTAAAAGAGAAGAAGAAAGGATTTAAAAGAAAGGAAATAGGCATCATCTTATCCATACAAATGCTTTATTTATATGCTTATGAATTTAAAATAATAATTTATCTTAAAATTTAAATGAGTTTTCAACTGAAATAGATTTTGCATTCTCAATCATATCACCATAAATGAATTCAACTCATTTAACATATGCATGCATATTATGCAATCATATGTTGAAAAGTGCTTAAATTAAGTTATAAAATTAAAATGCAGTTATGAAGCAGCCTTTCAAAAACCAATTAAAAAAAGATTAAATGGAAATACTTTCTATTAAATCTTGTACTCAATAACCTTATAATGAAGGAGAGAGAAAAGGAAATAAAAGTATATAAAAAAAATAAGTATCACAAGACAACTTTTATTAGCTTAACTTAACAAACACATTTCAAATTTAATAATAATAAAAAAGAAATTCAAACCTGGGCAAATTTTCAGCATTCCACAAACTAAATCAGGATCTAGCTCTTGAATGATAATATTCATAACTGTATCAATATTTTCATCCACAAATGTTTTGCATTCTTCAGCAAGTGAGCTAGGTAATCGAGCACATCCTTCCTCCAAGAAAGTAAGAACCATTGTCTGTAAAATGATTTCAATTTAGATATTCTGTAGTACATCAGATTCACAGAAAGGATTCTTCCTTTTATATTTCTAATAACAATTCATCAAATGCATATATTATATTGAAATTTAACGAACACACTGCGATTTTCTTGACTTGCAAGCCACCAAAGATGTAATTTTTAATTCTAAGAAACTATCAGTTAGGATTTTTTGATATTTTGCCTTTATTCTCAAATTTTAAACTAATGACTTAAATTTATAAAAGTAACTTGCATTGCACCTTATTAAAGTCATCATTTTATAGTGTTCCCCCTCCCTTCTAGAAAAGAGAAACACATTAAAAAAAAAAAAAAAACAAAAAAAAAAAAAAAAAAAAAAAAACTAGATTTATTAAAATTCCCTTTTTTTAAAATATTTTATTCATTAGTATTCTATCAATCACACACAGATGAAAAAGACAGCAATGTTGATGGCATAGAGTATACTGAAGAGAAAATTTGACATTCAAGTATGATTAAAAATTCAACTTATTTCAATTGGCATTTACAGGCACAGTTTACTTGAAGCTGCTTACTAAGAGAAAATTTTACTTCTCAAAATTTTGAGTTCAAAGTTCCTGAATTAGCTATGTCATCAGTGATACGAAGTCATACGAGGTAGACTGATCTAGAAATGATGCAGTCCAGAATAAGGTATTAAACATTTTCAGAATAGACAAGGGAAATTAAGGGCTACTGCTAACTAAAGAAATCATTTTAAGGTGCAGATAGACCTAAATAACAGGACGTGTGTTAAATTTTGTAATCTGTATTTTTTATTTAATTATTTATTTATTATTTTTATGCTTGTAACATCGTCAACTCCCAAGATGGAAGACACTAAGACAGGTTGTATTTTTAGATTTATTTTAAAACTTAAGTGAATTTTGGGTTATAACAAGGTTTGAATTGGTGTACAAAAAAGAAAATTACAGCAATACTATTGCCAGGGTTGCCACTCAAACAGGAGAATGAAATTCCCTGACTTTTCAATGTTTTCCAGGTGTGTTTTAAGAAAATTCCAATCTATCTGTGTAATGCATGTTGGCTGTGCTAAGAGGTAAATTAATTATGGTGTTACCTGAGAACAAAAAGATTAGCCAATTACATATGACTTATATATATATAATCCCCAAACCATTACTATTTTAACTATAATAGGATTTGTTTTCTCCACTGAAGATCGAGATTAGAACGTGCCCAATCTGGATTAAAAAATGTCTTTTTTGGAGACGTTTTGCAGCTAAATGAAAGAAATATATTTGATATTTTAAAATAAATTCAGGTACTTTATATTTATTCAGCAGCATACATAAACAATAAAATATGTGCTTTAAAATTTGTGATGGTAGGTCATCGTACTGCTAGAATTAATTTCAAGATTATGACAGAGAAAATTTTCTGAAATTTGAAAGTATTATTTACTACAGTCAAAAGTCGTTAATCCGGACTCGTCGGGACTTCGGCGATTCCAGATTATGGATTTTTCCGGATTATAGATCATCAGTTTAAATCTGGTAAGATGGCATGCAGAAATTACAAAATTAAAAATATGAAACCGTAATTTATGAAATAAAGAACAATTATGATCTAAAGGGTATCAAAATTTACAAAAAGAAAAAGCTTAATATTTATTTGTTTACTTTATTAAACATTTCCTTCAATGTAAGTTGCTTCGTTTCATGTGATAATACTTTCTCTTTAATTCTATTAAACAGACATAATTTCTTTTTTAGTTACAAAGTTCCGCTGTTCAAGTCCTATAATTGCCTGTGTGAGAATACCGACTAATTTGTCAATCGAAATGTTTTCGTTTTCAATAACCTCTGGGTCACTTTCTTCACTATCGGAAGCGAATTATAATGACGAGGAACTTGATTTAAATCATATCAAAGACGAGTATATCGAGATGAAATACTACACTTAGTACAGAATTATAAACCAAATAAAATAAAAACATCTGCTCTGAAGATAAGGATAGTGCTGACAGATCAACTTCCAATCCGCACTTTTGCTTTGTAGATACAAATTACATATTAGTAAATATATATTGGAAATTCTATTTGACATAATCTTTCTAATCTATCATAATCTAATAATGACGTTTCTGCCCCCCCCCTCTGCCGCAGAGCAGCCGTGAAATTGATAAACAGATTTCGGATTTCAAAACATACTTTCGCTTTGTAGTAAATATATATCGGAAATTCTATTTGACATAATCGAAAGTTCAAGCTTACTTTTATAAAATTGCTCTAACAGTCAGCAAAAAATAATAAGCCGGATTCAATTCGAAGATTAAGGAACAACGCAATCTGCAACATTAACTGAATTAGATAACTTTAGCTTAGCGTATAACTCCGTTACACATTAAACGCGCATGCGCACAAACATATTCGCAGCTGTAAGGGTCTTATGCGCTCTCGTAAACGCCTGTGCGCATGCGTGAACGTGTCGCATGCGCAGAAAGTTTGTATCTTTTGAGGTCCGGATTATAGATCATTCCGGATTATGGGTGTCCGAATTAACGACTTTTGACTGTAATAATAAATAAATTTGGAGGGAAGAAGGAACATTAAATAATACGAATAATATAAAGATAATTACTTAAAAATTGAATTAGAATAATTAACAATATTTTAGCGAATATTTAATTGTTAGCCTAGATGACCGATTACTATTTTTTTGCAAAATATCAAATAAGGCATTTATTAAAAAGAAAAAAAAAAAGGTTTAAAAGATTTTGTGGTAAAATCCTAGTATACGGTAAGGCCTTGGCACGATTTTTAAAATTGTCACCAACACCAAAATGACCCGTTTACCCCCCACCATAATGTCGCAAAACGGATGTTCATAGCCCCCCCTTAAAATAACTAATCCATTAACTAATTTACTTGAGCGAAAAAATATTTTCTTTTGCTTTAAAGTTTAGAGAAATTTGAAACAATATTAATTTTATGAACTCTTGATACCATGACCTTCGAAATTCAACACCGGCTTGGAGCTTTGGCGACAGATATTTTGAGCATGCGCAGTTGTTTCCCTCTACGTTGGAACGCAGCGACTCCTGTTGCAGAGAAGTTTTCCTTTTTAACAATACATATTCTTTGATTCTATATTTATATATATTGATAGTTTTCCTTCTTAACAAAACATAACTATTCCGTAGTACCGTATACTAGGATTAAACCGATTTTGTTTTATACGAGAATAAGAATTTTGTTTAGTTCAACATGCACTGCATATGCGCTTGCGATTCTCGAGGTTACTGAAAACCAAATTTACGGGAAACGGAAACTTGCTTTGCCTTTCTAAAAGACAATCTAATTGAAGCTGCGAAAATTGGCTCTATGCCATCTGCCTGAATGGCGCTCACATGATATGTAATTTGCCAAGAAAGCGATCGCTTCCAACATCGAAGCAAAACTCGCTTTTTTTGTGGGGTATCGCCGTTTAAAATTCCTCGACTTTTCCAGATTTTGACTAAAATATTTAAAGTACCTGACTTTTCCCTAAATTTTTGGTCAATTTTCAAATTCCCTGACGTTTTCTGGTTTTCCAGGTAGCGTGGCAACCCTGTATTACAGAAGAGAGACAAAGGTATCCCTGATGCAGGACACATCTTATTTCAATCGAATCGTTTTGATAATTCTTTGTCCTTCTTTTGTCACAAAACGAGAAAACAGATGCATTCAATGAATTCAGTCCAAAAATCCCTTTTGGTTAGTTTCATTCGGTCTAGCTTAGAGTTATTCAAAAGAACTGGTTTTCCCATGGTTTTCCCCATGAGAAAAGGAAACTCTAATTGAACACACACACACATTACTGACAAATACAGTGCTACTGAATATACAAATCCACAAATATCCAATTATTATAGAGAAATATAACAATTATTATAGTTTTGTTTACAAAAATTTTTTGGTCCTTCTTTTGTATTTCAAGGGCAGTCAAAGTCAACAAACTGCATTTATTTTTTTTATAATATTCAAAATTATGAAAAGGATAAATGACAATTATACTACTAAAAGAATGCCAAAACTCATCAAACAAAGTAAGGCAGACATAAAATTGTGTTATTAAACATACATAACTTTAGAAAAGATATGAAAAAGCCCTGATATAAATTAAAATCGGTACCTTCCAGTTTTCATTCAAAACTAAAAGATAAAATATTCAGAATAAAATAAACAAATTTATGATTCTCCAATTTTTGAAGAGTATTTCATAATAGCAAATTCAGTTTGAATGCAGAAACACTAAACATTTTCAAACTGATATTCAGTATTCCATTTCGTATAGGATACAGCATTATCAGTAACATAAAAATTTAAAAAAAAAAAAAAAAAAAAAAAAAAAAAAACCTGAATTTGCGGCATCAGCCTCAAAAGCTACCCATTAATTCTTTATTTAAAAATCTAAAATTTCTACAAATATTTCAACATTATTCTAAAATGATGTCTTAATATTTGCAAACAAAATTCTATTTGTCATGTGCATACATATTGCATCAGCAATTTTAATATAAATATTACATCTTTATAATAGAAACAGAGGAATGAATGGAAGGTGTAATATCTTCTGAATTCTATTGGTTAAACATTATGCTAATTTTTTTATTAATCTTTGTTTGAAAATGCCCCTTATTTAAATTATAAAATTAAATACATTACCAACATATATCACTGCAATTTTTGATAGCTAAGACTTCCTTTTTTGTGTGTGGGAAGGGGAAGCAAGAGTTGTGTTCAACAAAATTACGAAAATAACTCCCTTAAACATTTGCAAAATTTTCCTAGTTAAACATATTTAGAAAATGTCAAATATATTATTCATTGGTTATCAAAATTAAACAGGAAAACCAATTTCCTTAAAATTTAACAAACTCGGAGGTTACAAATGTTAATCTTTGATTTAACATCATTAATACCTTAGAGCCAGGTTGCTGCAACTTTTGCTTAAATGATGAAATCACGTCTTTGCATACATCGCATTCCAGATCTTTCACTTCTTCAGAAACACCAATTCTTGCTAACTCTAAAAACATTTCATTAAGAAAATAAAATTCAATAAAAGTTCATCATGTGCAATCTCTAATTCAAAATTTAAAGATAACAATTATTTGAAGCATTAAATACAGAAATGAAAGCAAAAATAACAATGGGAGTAATAAATTTGATTTACACAATACAGTACAAAGTCTGAGCTCTGGAATCATCCAGACTCACGATTTTAGATCATCAGTTTTAAATCTAGTAAGATGTGTAAAAATTATAAAATTAAAAACATGAAATATTGAAGCATTTATGATCTTGATGGAAAAAAATTTACAAAAAAAAAAAAAAAAAAAAAAAAAAAAAAAAAAAAAGAGGGGGGGGGACTCAATATTTATTTGTTTGTTTCATTGAATACTTCTTTCAATGTAAGCTGTTCCTGTTTTTACATTAACACTTTCTCTTTAATTTTATAGACAGAAAGAAGTGAATTATATGTGTCAAGAATTCCTACTTAAGTGTCAATCAAAATGTTTTCTTTATCAAAAGCCTCTTTGACATTCAATAACACTTCATTATGTGCAATCTCTAGTTCAAATTTTAAAGATAACAATTATTTGAAATATTAAATATAGAAATGGGGCATTTTTTGAATTTATACCATACTACAGATTATACACCATCTGTTAGTTAATTGTTGAAAGGAGTACAATGAAAATCTCATATTATATCATCTTCATTTCTTATCACTTTTCCACATTCCTTCATAAATTCTATTAATTGAAAAATTTTGTCTTTTTCAAAATCTCTGCCAAAATAAGGTGGATCTTTAGCCTCATTTTGAAACTACACTTCCTCATTTTGAAACACAGCCCAAAGTGCGCTGCCATTTCCTCTTTCTTGGCAAGGCCACTATAGAAGGCAAGTTCTATATATGCTATAGCTTTGCAGATCATGCTACATTCCAGGATTAGAAACTTTTTGATTAAATCAAAAATCTAGATTTTAATTTTGGTAAAATAACTGTCATAATAATAGCCTGCAAAAAATAATAAACATGATCAAATTAAAAAGTTAAGATATGTGCAATTGGTTATTTTAACTGAACCTTAGTTTTTCGGAGTCTTATTCTTTCTCCATTCTCTGCTGCTACAGCAACAAAAGAAAACCAATGTGAACAGCGCTTCACTCCAAACAAATATCTTGAGGCTTCACTTACTGTTTATGTCAGACAGAAAAATGTTAACCCCTACCCAACATCCACTTCAGAATTGAAAACATGGTCATGGCTAACATCAGTCAACATATTGTGTCAGTGGATACAGCTTGATTCACTACAAGCAGGTGTTAGAAAGTGACATACAAGGAACTCGGTAGGAAAATTGATTTTATCGTTCATTTTCCCCCTTTTTCTTTCAGTATTATGTTTTCAATTTCTAAACTTGGTAAAAAAAAATTGCTGATGATTGAGAGATCTGGAAATTAGATGTACGGATTTTGAAATTCTTACTGAATTACAAATTAATTAGAGAATACATTAATTAATACAATTAATAATTTATCTTATTAATTACAGCAAAAAATTTTAAAGGCTTGAATTAAATCAAAAACTATAGAAAACAAGAGGAAAAATTTGTTGCTTCTATAATCAAATGCTCAAATTTTTAAAAGAACAAAACAGTATTAAAAAATTACGTGGGCAAAGTCCTAGTGCAGGGCAAATATTATCAGGTTTTAATTCTTGTTGGAGAATGCTGATTAGAGCTTCGACATTTTGGTTAATGAAATCGTTACAGTCATCTCTTAGGGATTTGGGTAAAATATTGCAGGCTTGATCCAAGAAATTTTCAACTTTTTCCTGCAATAAAAATTTAAATATATCAAAGTAAGCATTCTTAAATTCTTATATACAACAGTTCATGAAATGCAGAACATAAATGACTAAACTCAAAATAATGATAACAATCAAATTTCAGAATAAAAATTCAAATTACAGTTTAATACCTAAAATAGTATTGTCATGCACATACTCTATGCTACCTGCCGGAAGAACAGACTTATAGCTGAAAGCCAACAACTTATAGCTGAAAGGAGAGAGGAGAAAATCTGGCAACGAAAAGAAGAAACGTGCTTGATGCGAGAAGGACGGCATGCTCGTGTGAAAAAAAAATAGTTTATCTGAAAGGAGAGGGAAAAATATCTGGCAACGAGAAGAAGAAACGTGCTTGATGCGAGAAGAACGGCATGCTCGTGAGAAAAAATTTTGAAATAAGTTTGACTGTATTCCGAGAGTAGAGTTGGTCTTTCTTGTTTTTGTTAAGAGCTGAGAGATGCAATGTATTACTTGTGCGTTTGATGTAAATGTGAATAAAAGCAATACTTTGTGAAGTTAAACTGTATTTACAAAATTAAAATATAGCTCATGTTATTGCTAAACCTGCATAAATGTCCCAGTTTATTTCCTGCAAATAGAGTTGACTAATAACATTCATAAGTGGATAGAAACGAACCGACAAAGATGAATTGATCAAAGGATCGATTATATGACAAGTATATTAGTTGATTTTTTTTAATTAAAAGATATAAAAATTGCAAGATTAACAAGGAACCTGCAATCTTGATATACAGATTTCCAATTAAATTCTGGAACTAATTTTAAGCTAATGTATTTTTGATAAACTTATTACAGGGTTTGTACACATTTCTACACAATGAAATTAAGTACTTTTAAGGACGTTTTTAGGACCATTAATGAAAAAAATTAATGGCCTATGTGCAAATGGGAACTGAATAAATTAAATTAAAAATATTATCTATGCCTGAACTTTACTTTTATAATACCATCCTAAAAATAAAATAGATCCATAAGTACGATGCATTATTATTAAACATGATTTAATTAACATAATTATTAATAAGTTTGAAGTTTGAGAATAAAATAAACTTTATGAAATTTATCAAGTAGCATCAAATAATTTACACTTGTAATAATTGAACATATTTGAAAGAAGATAAGTGACATTTTATTTATGTTTTACTCACAGTTAGCTTTATGTTTTTTATTTTATTTTATTTATTTATTTATTTTTAAGTCTCATTTTGTTACATTTTTGCTCAGTCTAGAGGCAGTAAGTAAGCAGATTTTATTTCAAGCACCATAGGTGAAAATGAGAAGTAAAATCATAGCATGATTCATAACAAAAGATTGGCTATAGTCACCACTCCTGCTTGCATAGAGAGAGACCTGCTGATCAAAACAAACCTGAGAGGATTTCTGTAGGCATGGTTGGCAAGTTTTGAAAGTTAGCTGTGCTCTGCCTGACACAGTTAGTGTCTTAGCTTCGTGTAGAGTTCCAGGGGTTGTAACTCAGTTAATATACTTTAAGGTTCTAATCAGCCAATAAAATACCAGAAGTGATAAGTTGTTTTGCATTATTTTAACTCTCACTAGATGCGAAGAATAAGTTTTACATGAATTTTTTTCAGTTTTATGTTTTATCTTGTGACCACGGTAAAGGTTAATGAAAGGCAATAACTCGCTTTAACATGCAGAAAATTTTAAGGATAAGCAGTTAGTTATAAGTAATAAAATTAGATATTAGATAACCTAAGTCATTATGGATTTACATGGCCACTATTAGATTTTATTTATTTTTTCCCACTATTTGTTAAAAAAGCCCTATTAAAATCACAATATAATAAAATTTCACAGTTTAAAATACATGTAATTTACGATATCGATTCTTAAATGATATTAGGATATTTAAACATTAAAAGCTACAAAATGTGTCTTTTTAATTTGAACACTTTCCACATGTTTTGGCTAATTTATAGCAATTTCCTTCTCTTAAAGCATTTTTTCTAACAATTAGAAATTTGTCTCTACATGCAAAACTATGTTCTCACCAGCTTCTGCGTGTTTTATCTTCTAAAATGAGCTTCTTATTTAAAAAAAACTTAGAGCATAAAGGCATGTTCTTATGCTAACAAAATAAATTAATGTTCATGGTGATGTAACTAAACAAGATGAGTCACACTCAAACTAAAGATATGAACTAGTGGTTAAACACTGTACAATTTAATTTCATTTTAAGCTGGCTCAGCAACTATATCATTATAACAAATTCAAATGTTGGCAGGGGTTATGCAAAGGCGAATAATTACAAATTATCAGAGCTGGCAGGAACTAATGCAGGAAGCAAGTGGAGATCAGAAGTATACTCTTATCTTACACTCCGAAAACCTCAGTTTATAAGTGATTTTCATTCTGATGAGGAAATAAAAATGGGAAATTATAGTAAAGGCTGAAATTGTAAACAACTGGGTAATTTATGTAATAATAACTGTACATATCTTTGAAGATCTGTTTATACAGCTGGTGTGGCATAATTTTTAGAATTTAGAACAAGCATTGGAAGTAGAATTTAGAAAGGCACCAGGCAGCAAAATCTAGGATCCACAGAAATTGCATCAGGCGCGAAAACGCATAGCGCCAACTCTGTGTATGATGCATTAAGACATATTAGATGAATCACTTAAACTGTCAGTTTTCAATTTATTTATTAATAAAAAATTCCTTTCTATAATGCCTGTCCATATGATAATATTAGAAGCGTTTTTGATATTTTCCAAGCTTGTGTCTAGTGAAAAGTAAAGAAAATAAGGGGAAGATAGAAATGTTAAGAGAAAGATTCTAGGATCAGAAGTAAAACATTCAACTGTTATGTTTTCATTGTTCTTCCAGACGTTCTGCAGAAAGTAAGAAATTAGATATTAATATCATGGATACATTTTTCATTTTGCCACATTTTTCTGGAATCTTCTAGAATCGTGGGTCTATAAATCTTGCTTTTAAAACTTTCTAAACTTCTAAGCTGCATTGTCTAAAATCCTAAAGAAAAATGACTCACACCAATTTTGTAACAGCAAAAAGCCAGAAATATTTTGAAAAAAAAAAAAAAAAAAAAAAAAAAAACAGAGGGGAAAAAGTACAAAGTTAATTTTATACAGAAAACTGATGCATATTCCGAATATTCTGGAGAAAAACTCTTACCATGAAAAAAATATAAAAAGACATGTTAAATTAATTACACAACTATTTTGCTTTTGCTAAGAACTGTTTCACAAATTGTGCTTGATAGCATTATACCTTGCTCATTTTTTATATTCAAAATATTGTATACAAAGTAGCCAAAATGGAACTTTATAATATGACAGCGAAAAATAAAAATGCTTTATTTCAATGTTGTTTCCTCAATATAATTCCAATATATTACCATTATTTTAATGAAATTTATCAATGGTACAATGTTTAAAAAACATCACCGAAAAATTTCCAGATCTCGGAATTAAAAATTTTCAATAGAAACTGATCTTAAAATCGCCAAAATGTTGATAAGTCGCCAAATTTAGAGCCGTTTTATGAAAGAATTCACATACCCAAAAGCGAAAAGTTGTTTTAAGAGCTCTTTATTAGAAAAAGGGTAATAATTTTGAAATGCTTATGTTTCACTTCTTGCTTAGAAACTAGAGTATCCAATATTTATATTAGAAATAGGAACAAATTATAACCCATGAACATAATCACCCATTTAAAAGATAGCCATATTTGTCAGCAAATCGCCAAAATTATTCCTCCTATATGCTAATTCACCGTCAAAAGGGCAGTCATAAAAACAGACAGAAATTTCAGATGATTAAAATTAAGGACCTTCTGCCTGTTTTGGCTGAAATTAAGGACTTTTAAGAACCAAAAACCGATTCCAAAAAACTTAAGAACTCTTAAGGACCATACGAACTCTGTATTAAGTTTAAGAATTTATTCCCCATAGGTTAAAGCTATAAAATTAAAAATCTTATAATTAAAATGAGTCATTAAAAATTACATAGCCAAATAGCAGAAAAAAAAATTACTGTGATATTATTTCATCATGAATTAATGACATGTGGTGTGCTCTTATTTAACAAATAAAAGATGTTCAAAATGCAGCTTTACAATTATTCCACATGATCACTTGCACATGAGGTTCACAACAAATATTTTCTTCGAGAAGCAATGCTTTCTATTTTGCTACAAAAAGAAATCCAAAGAAAAAACAATACATATCTCAGATGTTTCTTTTGGGATATTTAGAAACAGCTTCAGAGAATAAAATAAACCAAATAATATCTTCAGAGAATATATTGTTGCTTCTTCTTTAATTTTATATGATTACAAAATTTGTTATTTGTTATGAATAACAGGTATTCACACTTGAAAAGAAAGAGAAAAAATTATGAGTGTGATTGTACTTCATTTTGCTATTTATTGATTCTTTTTGGTGACTATTAGTTTAATAATAATCAATTTTAATAACACAGTTTTGTATGATACATTAAACTATTCACAACTACTTTATAAAATTTTATAGTTTGGTAATAACAAATTGCAATATTTTGTGGCTTTACGATAAACTATCTGATACCATTATCTAGTTTTTGTCCACAACATTTTTACAATTACATTAACATATCTGATACATCTTTAAAATTGCATCTATTGGGTATGTTCAAAAGTTCAACCCGCTTGCAAAAGGTCACTGATGAAAGATGTTTTGACCAAAGAGATGGTGCTTCCAAGAGCTGGAATTAGTAGTCACATAATTGAGATAATAGTACAGTACGTGTGTATACTAGTGGCACACAACTGGAGAGAGTTGTGCCGATCAAATGAAGACCAATAAGAAATACATCAGATATTGTTTGCTGCATGAGTTCGATAAGGGCAGTAGTGCAGCCTTGGCCTGCTGCAACATTAAGCAACTGTATGGTGGGGATGCAATTGAAGAAAGCACATGTCATCAAAAATTCAGGGATGGCAACAAAAGTTGTCATGATCAACCACGGTCTCGGCGTCCATCAGCATTTTCGAAAGAGGATCTGGATCACACCATAACAGTAAGTCCAAGGCCAACTATAGAGGAATCACTGGCAACCTTCCAGGTAAACAGGACAACAGTGGAAAGAAGGCTTGTTTGTGGCTCTGGGTTTCATCACAAATTTTGATCGTTGGGTTCCACATCAGCTGAGCGAAAGTCAATGAAAGGGGTGAGTCATCATGTGTTGTACAGCTTCCCCAGTATGAAAGTTATCCCTTCCTGACACGGACTGTCACCAGCGATGAGAAACTGGTTATGAAACAGAACATGAAGCATCGCAGGACTGTGTGTCGCGTTTTTGAACCACCTCCATCGACAGCCAAACACGAACTTCATCCTAAGGAAATGTTGTTGAGTATCTGATTGGATGTTAAAGGAATCGTTTATTAGGAGGTCCTGAAACCTAACCAAACCATTAATATGGCCTTCCAAAGGCCTTAAAAGGGCTCGAAAGACTGCAGGAATCATTGTGGTCGAAGCAGCTAGGCCTTGTCAATCCCAAAAGGGTTATCATCCAACATGATAATGTTAAGCCACATACTGCTGCAATGACACATCAGAAGTTAATAGACCTCTGTTGAGAGGTTTTACCCCACCCACCCTACTTCCCTGACTTGGCGCCTACAGATTTCCACCTTTTTCGCACTGTGCAAAATGCCTTCACCAGGAAGGCCTTTGGTGTTGTGGATGCTGTTAAAAGTGCTTTACACGAGTTCTTCAATGCCAAACCAACAGAGTTTTATTGGCATGGGATTAACCTTCTACCAGAGAGATGGCAAGAAGTCATTGATCATGCTGGTGATTATACGCAGACCTAGGTGAGTTATACTTTGTGTTCTTCGCACATCCATATGCACACCAAAATCGGGTAAAACTTAAGCATGTACCCAAAAGAATATCAATATAAGGAATACAATTTTCTCTATTAGTTTAATCATTATAAAAGGGCCATAAAATTTTAACATTCATAAAATAGGTAATAAAAGTAAATTTAACAGAAAGTATTAATAAAATTAAATATATAGTTTGGGAACAAAATATAAATTAAATAAATATATAATCTTCACTTCAATTTATGACGCATTTAATAATATATAATTTTAATTCATTTAACAACACAGAGACAGCACAGAAAAAAACCCCAAAACAAAAGGTTTCAAACAATACACAACTCCATGACATCCGCAGAAAGCACAAAAACACAACTTTTCACTAATCTTTCTGAGATTTACTCAATTAAGACATAAACATGGTAAAAACTAATGGCAACATTTTGCATTAACATAATCCTTCTGGGAATTTTTAAATTTTCCTTACATTAGCAGTTATGCTTGTGATTATTTTGTAACTTAAAATATTACATGCATATAAGATACTTGAAACACAAAAAATTATTTTAGTACTTTTTATATTAATTATAAAATATCAAATGTCAAAAACAAATTTGTTTAAGTAGTCAACTAAAAGAGATGAAAAACAGTTTTTTATTATTATTATTACTATTTCTTTTGTTCTAAATCATATCATTCTCACCTTTGTAGCAGGATCATTCAACTGATTTTCGACTTCTATCATTGCATCTTTGCACAGATCACAAAATGCATTGTCCTGAGGTTTTGGAATAACTTTTACATTCAATTCTATAATTAAAATAATAATAATAATAAATAACTCATTAAAAAAATATATCCTATGCCAGAAGCAATTTCAACAGCTCGAAGATTCTTAAAATTTTTTCTGGAAAATACATCCTTTTTGATTTTAATAAACTTAAATTATACTAAAATAAAGCAGAAACTACTAGAATATACTTTTATTATACTAAAACAAAACAAAAAATAAATATTTATTGAGTTACCAGAAATTCCAAAAATATTTAAATTCACTTACAATTTATGTAAGCAAAATTAAATATTTTACAAGTATTTTTAATTCCTTTATGAAATAAGAAATTCCCTTTTAAATAAGAGACTATATATTATCTAATTTCTTGATTAAAATATGCCTAATAAAAACTTAAAACCATGCCTATTTTCTTACATCTTTATGATTCCTAATATGTGACGTTCAAAATTAAAAGATAATTAATTACAACCAAACTTAAAACAATACAGTACAAACGAACATCTAAAAATTATAACACATTAACATTTATAAACACCTTGTTTAGAAGCTGAATAACATTTAAAGCATTGCTCTAATGACAAAGTATACACAAAATTTTAAAATCAGGAAATTTATTATCACCACTCTCAGATATAACAGGGTATGTGATCTCTTCTTGCATCAAAAATACAATAACACTGAATGCATGAAATACAAAGTAACACTTCAGAAAGTATGGAATATTTTTGTACAACATCTATGTTTATTTCAAAATAACTTAAAGGTTTTTCAACAAAACCAAAATAACTTAAAAACTTAATAAAGTCAAAATAATTTACTACTTTTTTAAAAAGGTTTTGGTCTCAGTATTATATCAAATCATTACATTTAGCTATTTATTATATTAGGTGTTCTTAAGTTACTGTTCCATCAACTTTTAAATGTCAATCGTCCCTCTCAATGTCATATTGACTACTGAGGGTCTATATGAACCACTTTGAAGATCCTAGTATTGTGTCATCTATTTTACATCACATATACCTGCTTCAATATTAACAGTCTATATCAACATTTACACATACATTTTCTATGAAACTGATAAAACATGTTTCAAAGGTCTAAGGATAAATATGCCAAGACTCACTTGGCCTTCTCCAATCAATGATATAAATAATGTTGTTATATCATAAGGATTATTTACATTTAAATAAAATGTGAGCAAACTTAATCTTATTTAAATTTATAACTATATTTACATGAGTCTTATTTAATACGAATTCAGTTTTTAAAGTTAAAAGTTCAGCTCTTGATGGTTATAAAACCAAATATGAGCAATTTTATTTCAGACATACACAGCAGGGGAACAGGGAAGAACCAATTGTGAAAATTTTGGATTTTACACCTATTTTTTCCTTTATATATATTTTAATTTACCTATGCAATTTTTCAAATTTGTATATATCAGTAAACCAAATTTTAAACAAATTTTATTTTTGACTGCTGATCATTTGAATGTTTAGCAACAGAGAAAATTACAGAAATATATCAACACAATAGGCCAGAACATACAAAAATAGCAATGCATTAGAATTATTAATTTTTTAATCATCGTTCCCCTTTTTATTATTACTGCCAACTTGATAATTATTTGAAGACTGCATCTATACCATGATACTTTTTATAGCATATGCAAATTAACATTTGATAACAAAATATAATACATAAAAATGACCCGAAATTTTTAAACATAGAACATTAGTTAAAATTAAAAGAAAACATTTTAAAAGTGAAAGGTAAAGGACAAATTAGCTAAAATTTTATTTTCAGACACTTGTACTATTTATTATACTCATTTAACTAAGCTGAAGCAGACAGTGCAAAATATCTGACAGCAAAACCTACAGTTACAACTGGAATGTTTTAATCTCTTTAGCTCATAGCAAGGGTACCCAATCTAAGGTGCAAAACAGAATTTCAACGCTTATCATAAATGGCTTGATTTCTAGAGTAATGAATTACAAGTCATATGATATACTTCGTATGAATGAATATACTCTGTAGATGAGATATTATTTTTGTGTGAAGAGCAATTAGTAATAAAACATTTTACAGGAATGTGGGGTTTTGTTAAGATTCGGAATTACTGGCTTTACAGTAATAAAATTCCATCCATGATGGAAACAAAAATAAATGTCAAAACAAATGCATAATCAATTCTTGATTTGGAATAACTGGTTCTGAAATATTCCGTATATGTCAGCTGAAACAGATACTACCTTAACTTCAAAAGAAAATCAACTGTAATATTAAGTTTATATTAACAACTTTCATTCTTTCCTGCATGTCTTGTTTTGTCATATATTCAATCATTTTGTAAGTTTATGCAAATAGTACAGCAAGTGATACATGTGAAAACCAGAAGGAAATCTAAACTGGCATTCAGCAGAATTCTCATTGCTGGCTTGCTGCTTGCCTGAATCACACATCAGAATAGAAGGTGAATGCCTGATATTAGTCATATGCAAGTGGAATTAGATGCATGTTCCCGTATGATCCACACAGTGTTGTAGCTTTGCATAAGATTTTGCTGAAACTGTACAATAGCTAATACACAGTTGATTCACAGAGAGTTACAATCAAAAAGTCGAAAGAATTGTTTTGTATTATTTTAGTTCTAATATCACAAGACATAGAAAAAACACTTTATGTTAGATTTTATATTTTGTCTTGTGTCCATAGCGAGCACTAAAATGTGATGATAACTTAACAATCAGTAAACTTCTAAGCTTAACCATTCACACAAGGGCCAGTGCTAGGTTTTCCTGCTTCTGGTGCAATCTCTGTATTTCCTAAATTCTGAAGTACAGCGCCTTCCTAAATTTTAGAAATTTTGCTGACCCTAAATTCTGCTGCCCAGTGTGACCACACAGGATGCACCAGCCCTGGATGTGTAACAAGTGGTCCAGTTAAGTAGAGACTTATGCTATAAAACTTCAGCTGGTACGGCATAAGATTTTTTTTAATTGTTTGCCACGAAATAAATTTGGTTCATACAACATTTTTAATAAAAACAGCATTATTTAATATGGAAAACTGTTTATGATTATCTATTAATAACTGATTAAATATTTGAAAAGTGCTCACAAAACATATGATCATAGATAGGGAGGGGTCTAGGACTCAAGCAAGCCACAATGTTTTTTATCATACCAATCAGTTTGCAACATGTTAATAAAAAGATGCTAATGAAATGTAGAATGAAAATAATTTTTACTAACCTGAAATTTTTTTTTTTTTTTTTGTAATTAAATAAATTTATAATATTACTCAAAAACTTCTTTTTAAATGTAGAAATAAGCAATTATATTTAATTTTCTTTGTTTCCAACTCAGATAGAAAGGATATGAAATGTCAGCGCATAACAAAAGTACACATAACTGAATTTACATATATTGATGCATATTTATTTTTATAACATTTTAAATTCATTCAAACTGTTTTCATAATATAATATAGAGAAATGAAAACTTCACCTTTATGGGTTTCAATAGGACATGCTTTGACAGACTGGCATATATCTCCAAATTCAGTTCCCTTAGCAATAGCATACTGAACTTTCAATGAGTATGTTTTCAAAAAGTTTTGACAATGATCAGGAAAATCCTTCACCCATTTATTACAAACTGCATCGAGAGCTTCACGAACATTGACCTGAAAGTATGAAAGAAAGTATATTTGAAAAAAAAATTTTTAAATAATTTAAATTGCATAATGATCAGCATTTAAAATAAATAAATAAAACACATCAATGTCTTTTTTTAGATTTCGATCAATACAGTAACATCTTTGGTAAATATTAATCACCCAAAGCTATTATTATATATCATGGCATTCATTTGTTGCTACTGCAGCTTAAATGTAGTATAACCCCCCCTCCGGGACCACAGACTTTTAAGGCTATTCGTATCTTCTGGAAATATATTGCAGAAACAAACTTTGAATGATCCCTACTGTTATTTTTTTCAGTTCTTTTCCTTTTCTTTTTTTGTAATATATAATCTTTTTAAATAAAGATGTAGATATTCCATCACATTTAAAGAACGCATGGAATCTATTAACCTTCTCGAAAATGAAGCTAGATTCCAAATAAAATAGTAGCAAGCATCTAAAAAAGGGTTGAAGTATATTTTTCAATACTTTGTATCCCTTTGTCCTTATATGACCGAGAAAAGCAAGTTTCCCAATTCCTTGACAGCAGCTATACAACTCCAAACAATAAAAGTTTGGAATGACACAATGAGTGAGTTGAAATATGAACTTTCAATATATTTGATGAAATTGTTGTCATCCAGATGAGTTCCACATTGTTTTAAAATTTCATGTCACTTTTGTAAATGTTAGTTTATTTGTCTTAAATATGACCAAGTTCCAGCTGTTGTGGGATATGAGAAGATAAATCTGAGCAAATACGTAAGGTCTACCAGAAAATTCTGCCCATTTGGAAAGTGAAAGAAAATAACACATTTTTCATACCTTTAATAATATTTATTTTGCATAATGTAATTTTTTTCGTTAATGATCTCCTTTCAGCATAATAATTTGCAGATGTTATTTTTGAAAAATGTCTTGCCCTTATAAGGACTCAAGTAGAGCTTGGGTGACATCTGCTCCAATTTTGAATTTTTTTCCTTCAAAAAATTTTGCAAGGAAAGAAACAAGTAATAATCGGAGGCCTCTGCGATTTTCTGATGAATAACCAGAGCAGCACATGGTCTTGCATTATCATGATGCAGTATGATGTACTTCCAATTGAACATTGCCAGCTGCTTTTCTTTGACTGTTTTGTTTAAATCATCTATTTGCTGACAGTAGATGCATTTATGATTTTATTCAATTAAAGAAGATACACAATTTGCCTTCATATGATCATTTTAATGACTACATTTTATTCCTTAACTTTGAATGTATACTAAAAAATAATAAACATTATTTTTTAAAGTAAAATTAAGCTCTGTTAATGGTACCAATATTCTTAAAAAGTACACAAACACATAAAACTGGTTTAAGCATGAGCTAGTTATTCCATGCTCATAATGGTCTCCACTTGAAAATACTGTTTCACATTTGAGCTCAATGAGAGATGTCATCTAATAATAATAACTATTTCTCTTATTGTATCTGCATGAAGGATTCAAAATTGTTCATGAGACATCTGAATATTTCATCTATTAGCACACGATGAAGCTGTTTCACCTACCTACAAGAATGCTATCATAAACACATAAGTAACTTATAATCACAACAGCTTTTTCGAATGTTGCTTTGATGATCGAGAATCAATAACATACATCAATGTTCTTCATTCAATATCTGGATTTATCAATGAAGAGTATGATCTCCACTGTTTATCAGTCCACTTTACATAAGAGAGTACCAAATTTAGATGCTTTTTCTTTGACTTGAAGTGAAAGGCATGTCAATTACTGGCCACTGAAGCTACATACCATCCTCATGAATTTTTATATATTTAACAAAAACTGTTAACTGTTACTTACAATAGCTGTTATGAAATATAATCATAGTTGAATCTAAGTAGATCTTCAATTGCATATTGTATTTAATGAAAATATCAATCTTATATGTATGTAACATCTCCAAACTTTAGGTTTTATTTGATTGAACCTTTTGGAGTGAGAAGATTATGCTTGGTAACTGATTCCAGAAAGCAAAAACAAAAGAAAATCTCGCAGAATCGTTGCACCATATCTGAAAGGCTAAAATGCTTAGCTAGCAAAAGGCACCCCCCCCAGTTCATTAAGCAAATGACATATAGAGACTCTTTTTAAATTACTATTTCGACTGTATTTATAATTATTTATATTTAGAAAATGAAATGGCCCACCAACACCCAAATACTTGTTGCCACATTATCATTTAGGTTTTAAAAATAGGTGAGTAATGTACAAACAGAAATTTTCACATGACATAGTTCTGAGGCATCTCTTTACTGGGTACATGACCCAATTCAGAAATGATTGCATAAATTTAGGCAAGTTATGAATTTTTGTGTCAAACATTTCAGTCCACCAAACTTTAAAATTCTTTATTGTCAATTACTATTATTATTATTATTCTCTGCTCAGATTAAGTAGAGTTCCAACATATTTATTCAAATGAAAATCAAATACAATTCTAAACTTTTTAAATCACCACATCAAAGATATATCATTACATAAATGTACTGTAAATAATTACATAAATTAATAATTACATGAATGTATTGCCTATTAGCAACAGGAAATGAGTGCATGTGCAATTAAAGATTGAAAAGAGTCAAGAAATCCTAAACATGAAATATTATGCAAATCATCTGCTCAATGAAGAAAAAACTAAATTTGTTCACCCACCCCCTTCACTCCAAGTAAAACAAGATTCTACTTGTGCATATTGCGACAGCTTTGTTAGAAATAATCTGAATGATTTACTTATATCTAAAAATATATTGCTTATAAATCACAGATGTGTCCTTAATATTTGCTTATGTGGCATCTCTGTGACATGTGTGCTGTACTACATAATCCTTTCTCTTTGTTCCATTTTAATCTGAACTAACCAAGCAAATGCAGGCAGTCTTAAGCAAATGCAGGCATATGATAAATTAGTTATAAATATTACATGAAATTTCACTTTTATCTATCATATTTTTGGGGGTCAGTGATGTATGCTTTCTGACAGCTAGCTGTGCTTCAGCAAATTAAGACAGAATTTCACTCTGCACCCTAACTCTTCACACTTTATGCTAACATGCACACAATATAAATACGTTTTAAATATAATAAAACAATACAAAAGAAAAGATATGATTATCCATTATATTTGTGAAAAATACACTTTAATGTCTTTTTCAATAAATATGGTCATGATGTTTAAATCTGATCTCATACTGCTTTTAAGACACTTATAATAATGTGCCCTTCTTCCCAAAAATGGTAAGCAACTCATCAGTCTTAATGACTTACCTTGCTCCTGTCTCCATTCAGATCTTGTTCTAAATAAAATGAAATTGCTTTACAAAATGCACATTCAGTATCCTTTTCAAATATAGAAAGTGGATGGGTCAACCTTTCCAAAGGCAACTGATGTGCTAAAAATTAAATATATATATATATATATATAAAACACACATGCAGCAACTTTATTGACTTACATAATTTGAAGGAAAAAAATAAAAGACAACCATTTGCATAAATGGATGGTAAATAAGAATAAATACAACTCTGATAATTATTGAATACATTTGCTGATTACTGCAAACATATCAAATATCAATCACAAAGTTCAATGCTTCACATGCTTATTCTTCAGTTAACAAAAGAATCCTTATCAATTAAGTGTATTAATCAGTTTTAACTTTATACAGGGGGAGTTTATAAGAACAATTCATTTAATTGTGATCTTTAAACTGGGGTAGTTTACGATTAAAAGTAGGTCAAGGTCAACATTTTAAAGAGTTAGGCATTTACTTATTAAAGATTATCTCTTCATATGCTTTTCTTCTTTACAATTAATCAAAACACATTTCAGTATACGTAAACATTGTAGGACTGCTCAAAATATAAATTTCAGACAACAAGCTATTGTCTTATTAGAAGTAGGAGGAAATACACAATAGATAAATGCCTAAGTTTTCCTAAAATTTTGTAACATCTACCAAAAACATCATTTTGAAACATCTTGGGAGAATTAACATTAAACTTCGTGCTAGTTTTCAATATTTATTCCCATTTAATTAATCATTTAAAAAAATAAGAATTTCAGTCTTTAAAAGTAGTTTAAAATTTTATTATTAAAAGATATGTAATTTTTGTTTAAATAAATAAAAATGCTTTTGATTTCAATATCGTGTAGAGAACTTTGTCATCTTAATCATATAAAAATATGAAAATGCATCTTAAAAAAAAATTAATTAGCTTAAATTCATTAAAAAACATAGATGTATTTTTAAGCAGTTAAAAACAGAAAATCTTCAAATTATTTTAATTCTGAAATTTAAAACTCATTTTCTGAGAAAGGGCTTTGATTGCCTAAAATATACATTCAAGGTAATTTGAGCCAGTCTACAAAACCGCTGTAATGTTTTTTTAAAAATCATTTTGATTTTACAACTTTTATTCTTCGGTGTATATTTCTCGATAAGGAGATTTTCTTGACATGATCAAATGTTATTAATCAATAATTCGGTAACTGTAACAGTTTTTTCCAATTTTATGACCATTTTATAATACTAAAATATTTTAAATATACTTTCCTTTCTTTCTCTTAACCCTTTTTTTAATGTTAAAAACATGTTTCTCAAAGTCTTTCTGAAATTTTTTTGTGTGTTTTGTTACATTATTTTACCATGCACTTATCTACGCAACTCAACAATACTATTTTATGAAACATAGGATCATTAATTTACCTGCCATGTGGTCTTCCAAACAAAAGTTCTTAAAAGGATTGCCATTTCGTAACATTTTACTTAATTTAAAAAATATAATCTTTTACTATCTAAATATCTAATTTTTTTTTTTTTTTTATTAATACAGTAAATCCTCTATAGTGATCACCTCCCTAATATGGCTACTTCTGACCTTTATAAGTGTTTTTGAGAACATAAATAAATGAAAACAGGGAACTTCATCTTTTTAAGATGAATGCTTCCACAAAAGGCCAAATCATATGGAGCTATGGCTAGCCATCTCCTTGGGCTGTTTTTTAATTTAATAATAATTTATTGCACTGCAAGTGCAAGTCTGTTTTTCTATTAAAATATAATTTTAATTGTTCCCCATTTTTTTTTTTTTTTTTTTAATTTAGAAAAATACTATGTACGTATGAATTTCATAAAATTTGTATGCTCAAAAATGCAAATACAAAATAAAATTAACTTTTCTGTTTTTATTAAAAAATTTATAAAAGTCACAGCATTTTTAATCGTTGAACAATATATATGAACATTTTAGGACACAACAGTAAACTATTAGCAGATGTACAAATCAGAATTAATAAAAATAAGTATTTGCACTTCAAAATCATGTCCTCTTAAAATTATTTAACATTTAACACAACTCAATTAGTTGTAATAAACAGAATATTTTAATAATATAGCGTACGGAAAATTTCATTCGATTCCACCAACTGTTTTTTAGATAATACATCAGCAGGAATAAGTTTAACAAGTGGATATACATCAATGCCTTTAGATATTGATTCAACAGGATGAAGTTTTATTAAAGGTATTTGTTTTCTTGATTTAATAGCAGGCACAACTTTAACCAGAGAGACTTTTGAGCACTTTTCATTGTTACACAGTTGCATAAGAGTGCACATTCCTTTGGTGTCCTAAAAAGAAATATATGTTTAAATACATATGTTTAATAAAAGATTTTACGAAGTATTAACACACAGATCATCTTTCAATATGATAACAAATGTTTTTCTAAGACACTATCATATATGAAATAATTCATAAATAGCAAATTAAGCTTTTTTTTTTTTTTTTTTAACAATTCTTATAGTTGAATTTTCCATGACCTGAAACCTTATGTTTAAAAAATTATAATATGTTTCATATAATTCAGAAAAGAAATGACTAGTCTTGAAATAACTACTGAAGAACTCTGCATCGATGATGCAAACATATCTACTTATTTAATTTCATGCATAGCGCATGAAAAAACAAAACTATCAATACTCTATCCCAGTTCTGATCAATTACATTCCAAGAGGATAAAATTTAGGGACCTTAAGCCCTTTTCCTTTACAATCAACCTTCAGATTTCTCCATCCACAAAATACTAGAGTTTGAAGCTTTGTCTGGGATTTAAACATAAGCCCAATAGCAATGCAATTCCTACTAATTCCAGCTACACAAAAATAGCCTACAAATACAGCATTTTGTAATATGTCTGGAGGTCGGGCTCGGCTTTACTTTCATTTTCATCATTAAAATAATAAAACACTTGGATTCATATCAGTTTACATAAAAAATGATATCAGCATGAGGTCCTTTTCTTTTAGACTTTCTACCATTTCCTTTATCATATTAACAGATCATACAAATCTTTAAATAGCTAAGTAATGCAATTTCTTTCCCCACCACTTCATACTTTAACATTGAGAAAAAGTTGTAAAAAGGTAATTATATCTGAATTATGAAACCAACCTTAAATAGGATTACAATTTTAAAGTGGTAATTTTTTTCTTTCACGTATCTTTAATATCTGGCTTTTTTATTATTATTATTGTTATATCATTCTAATAGCTAAGGTACTTTTCATTAAATGCGCATGTGAAATTCAGTAATTTTTTATCTGAAAATTGCTGCAGGATGTAAATTTTTAATGCATTTATACTAAAGTTATATTATATGCAGTATTCAAAAAAGTCCTTCGGCAGCTTGTATTTTCGCAATCGTTGATCTTAAATCCAATTACAAAAGCGCTTTTTACGTGAAGAAAAGATTTATAATTCAGCCTTTTTAAATTTTAAAAATCAATTCCATAAAAAGTATGAAGTGTAACTATTCATATGGTCCCCCACCTCAGTTCATATAAATATATTTATAAAAAGTCTATACTCGATATAAAAGTATAAAACATTTGAATCCTGTACAAAAAATTGACCAAGATGTTTAATTTCAAAATTTGACATTTCAGTGATCTTTCAGCTTTCCTTGTGTAGTACGTGAAAAAATATATTAGCTTAATTTGATGTTGATTTTTTCCCTTTTAATGTTGCTCAGTGATATTTCTTTATGATTTACTAGTGTGCAATATTCTTTAATTCATACATTTGGCATGCCAAAAGTATTTTCACATATACAGTTTATAAATTTGTAAATGAATAAAAATGCATCAATAATATTGAAATGCAGTTTCAGTACTTAAAGTAATCTAGAAACATTCTTCACTCTTAATTTATGCAAATCATATTATGAATTGACTGTTATAATCTGAAGACTGCCTCTTCTTCCTAGAACCCAAATTTTAATAGATTCTACAAGTGCATCTTTCTTTTGGATAAATCTATATAATGATCAAAACATTTCATTAGAGTCTGTAAAGCAATATTCATCACGTGAGCTTTTAACATCAGAAACCTTTTCCTAAACTGATATTTAATTTTTTTTCTATATACAAATTTTAACATTTTGTTCTTTCATTTACGTATGACCCCTAAAATCATCTGAAAATTGAAAGTGAAATATTCTGATCATTTGGGGGTAGGGGGTAAATGAAATGCAAGAGACAAACTTTTTGTATTTCATTTCTTCTAATCTATCTCTCTTACTACACATAGCTAGAGAGACTGAGGGACATGTAAAAAAAATCAGATTTTATAAATTATATGAAAATAAAGTCATAATTTTTGTGATTGGAAAAATAAATATACATATATACGTGTATGAGTACCGGCTGGTTAAAAAAAGGAGGGGAGGCAGTTGCACAAAGACTGGATACAGTGTTAACCATTAATTATATAATATTAAATACAACTAAACCATAAAACTTACCAATTTCTTTATGTAATCAAAAAGCATGTCGTAATAATCATTTACCAATGCTGTACACTGAAACAAGAAAATAGAGATGTGTATAAAATGCATACGAGCATAATAAATCTGCATAAGAGCTGTAGTACAAACTGTATAAGAGCATCTAAAAAGTAAAGGAAGGAAACACAAAGGAAAAGGAATATTTACTTTGTCAGAGAACTTTCCAGTATGCTTGCAGAAATTCAATAATGCTGTTTTAAATTCTTCCTAAAATGAAAAAATAATGAACTGATATTGCAATAAAGTATGAACTTCTTAATAAGGATATTACAGAATAATTTGTAATACAAAAATTATAAAAATTCTCATGCTCAGATTTTCATTTATTATATCTAGTTACTTAGATTACATCTTATTGTAAGGAAAATTCTTCTCCTCAATAATACCTGTTACATTTATATTGCTTCTACCTTTCAAATATTTACAGGGGTGTTTGTGGGACCCAAAAAAATCCCCTGAAACTTTTACGGACTTACTACCAACATTTTGGAGTTTCGAGAAGGGGGAGGGGAGAGAAATGAAAAATTACAATTATGAAGTATTGAATGACCTAATTATAAAAGTTCAATGAATTACTTTTTTTGCAAAATTAATAACCATAAATTTTCAAACATATAAACTACTACATTTTATGTAAATATTTTAAATTACCTGAATTAATTCTTTAAAAAAAAATTATCTAATTTCTGCTGCTTTTTTTTTATTTTCTGATGTTTGTGGGCTTGTCTTTTCTTTTGTGGTGAACTTCATAATTGCAGGAAGGTTGACTTTTATTTTCCTCATTTACAGTTGAAGAAATTTCCTCGAGAACTGCACATGCAGAGGTAGAAGCAGTTTGCTTTTCTGCTAATGTAGAAGGTTTTTTCAGAGACTTTTATAGGTGACTCATCTGAAATACATGTTTTTAAGTCCTCTTGATATGTTTCCCAACTTCTGTTCATATTCAGTAAGAGATCTTTGTGAATTGGATCAGTCACTGGATTTTTTTAGCCATATTTTTCACATGAGGTTTCTTTAGAAGCCATTAAATCATATTTAATAGTCTGCACTGCATCTAGGGAATCAATCTTAAGAGAGGTTCTATAGTCAGTGACAAGTGTATCCATTAAGTTGAATGCACTTTCCACTAATGGGTCATGGAAGCAGCTAAGGCAGGCTTTGACCAATTTAGCCAATGTAGGATACTTATAATCATTTGTGAAATCATCTTTTAAATTAAAAACTTTAGACCAATATTTATCAATTGTACACTTGACTTGATTTCCACTTTCATCAGATGTGTAGAGCATTTCTTTGGTGATACCAATATCACTCTGGTATAACCAAACCTTATTTCAGCTTCTACTTTTGACCTTTCATTATCACTAAAAATATGGGACATGAAAGATGATAATTTTTCAAAAGCTAATATTGTACTGGTTTTACCTCTTAGCTATGGATCTAATGTTGTAAAACTAATTAGATATGAATTTTTAAGGGGTAATTTCTGTTTCATATGCTGTGCTGTATTAGTATAAGCTTTTATCAGAGAAATTTGGAATTCTTTTGCTATTGGATGATTTTTTGATAATTCCTTTAGGAGAGTGGAAGCTTCTGCACCAGTAAATATTACCTTGCTAGGTAGATGGAATTCTGGATTTGTGACATCAACCTTTAATAAATCATTATAAGATGCACACTCTATAATTTCTGGCTTCATAAAAAAAGAGAAAAATTTTGCCATCAATTTATAAATACTGGAATGTATTAAATGAAGCATTGGTTTTTTTGTTTCAAATAATTTAATATATGTGTTGAACTCTGGTAATACTGCTGAATATAATGCCATATGCAATAAAGTTTTGTTTTGCATAACAAATAACCCATTTAGTATTCTTTTTTTCCGAGCTAAAGCATCCTTTGTGAGTAGTTGGGAATGCAAGCAAGAATACACCCCTTCAACAATTTTTTTCTGAGCTGCAGAATATTTCTTTTATTGTATACAGTTTCAACATAAGAAAAAATAATCCCCTTTATCAGTTTTATCCAAGTAATGAAAATAAAATGCAATAAGAGCATCCCACAGATCTTCGATTCTTTCTAAAACACATAAAATGTACACCCACCTATGGTCTGGTCTCTTCAAGGGCTTAAGTTTTTTTAATGGCAAGGGATTCACAGATTTTGAAAAAATTTTCTCTTTTACTGCAGCTTTTCATATCAAAATAGATGTCATCAAACAAATCTTCTAAGTATCTATCTATCAAAACATGAAGCAAATTTTTTTGCACAGTTATTAGCTGTGTGACATGTGTCACCATCAATATCTAATAAATAAGTGGGGTGCTTTGTTTGATCGTAGTCTGGTTTCAACACCCTTTTTTTTTTTCCATGCATGGTGTTACATGAGTCCATTAATACACTAATTAAGTTTGCCCATGGAATATTATTATCTTCAATAGTATTAACAACTGCTTTAAAAACAGCTTCTGAATTGCAAGATTCCATCTTTAGAGATGCAAAATGATGTACAACTTCATTTTGATTGTTGTCATAAAACTGCACCAATATTGCCAGTATACTTTCTTGAGCATTGCTAGTACTTTCATCCAAATTTAGAGAAAAATGGAGTCTCCTTTAAAGTTTTAATGATATTTTCCTTAATAGTTTTTGCGAGCCCCATATTTCATCTTATAACATGCAGTAGTCCTGGACATTTCCAATGAGTTTAGTGCCGTCTGATCGCAGCTCAACTGTTTGCAGAGTTCAATTAAACTGGGAGCTACATTGAAAGAAAGAGAATTCTCGGCGATAAATGAAGTTATTAATACCTCTTGGCGTGCTTTTCTTGTCACTATATCCAATGGCCGAGCATCAGTCTCCAGTAAGTCATCAGTATTTTTTGAATTAGCATAATTACTAAAGTCATTGAATGTCTAATGCACTTTGAATATTTTATGTGCGTCACAGTTTTAGAATGATTTGTGAAAGCCTTGAATCCTTCCCCACCATACTTCAGCAGTGAGTTACAAAAAACACAATATGCTTGTCCAGCAACATTTATTTTCTTGCACCATGTGCCGATGGTATCCCCATTACCATCTCTCCGTTCAATCCAATTCCACCTAAATGCATTCCGGACACCTTCTTCTAATTGTATAATATCACTATTTATATCGAGAAATTTCATAGTGAAATTCTCTTGTGTACATAAATAAAAAAATATATCAATAAACGAAACGAGAAATTTACACGTGCATCAATAAATAAAACGAAAATTTTACACAGCGGAGAAAAAAAAAGTTGAGAAGCGATCAATGACAAATAGCTAATACGGCGAAAAATCCCCCTTCTCTACTTATTGGTACCACACCAGGAGAGATAAGACCTTTGAACCCAGAGTCACGTGATCCCACATCTGGCCGAACGAAGTCTCTCCCTTTTTTTCTGCCGCGCCTACTTGCCGAAAGAATCCAGAAGAGAATGTCCGGAACGGGGGAATGAGTCATAACTCGCAATAAGGAAAGAACAAAAAAGAAGTTTTTTCCCCATTTTCACGCATTATCACTGCCTTTGGAGAAAGAAAGAAAAAGTTTTCACCACACACACTGACCTTACGTTTTCTGCTTTCAAAGCAAACAAAATTACCCAGATCAAAATAAATAATTCATTATTATTCCTACTTCCTTTTGAACGACGATTTATATATTTATCATTTGTAACATCAACAACTATTTTACATTATTACGAAAACTTTTTATTTATTACTTGCTGATATATAACTGATAGACAAAAGTATCAAAGGATGGGAAAAAATGTGAGATTATAGAATACTTATGTAGTCTTCTACAACAATCAAAGCATATAAATGATTACTTTTAATCAAACGGCATCAAAGTATTTCTAAAAAAGTACTTTTTAATTTCTACCTGGTCAAATTTCTTATCATTCAAGGACTAAAGACTGCCCTACGCATTCATTCTATTAATATAAATCAATTGTTAAACAGAAATCAGGATATTAAAAACAGCACAGCATGTTTTTTCCTCTTAAAGAGATTTTAAAATTTTAAACATAAAACACATTCCCACAAAAGTTTGATACATTTAATTTGGGATATTAGGAAAAAAAAAATTATAACTCTACAAACCAATTTAAATTTAACTTCTTCCTCAAGCCATAGAGCTTGACGAAGATTTCTGAAAATATATCAATTGAGAAAAGCATCAAAATGCCATCAGATATAGTGAATACATGATCTAAATAGTTATGTGAATCAGTATTTTTCATCATTTTCTATGTATTAATCCCAACAAAGGAAATTTAGTACCATTATCTTTGTTTAGTTATCCAACAAAGAATGAATGCTAGGTTGAAGACACACAGGTGCAGACTTCTCATTAATAATAAGATTATAAAATTTATTTTGATCTGTACTTCTGACTACTTTTTCATTATTAAATATTATTAATACAGCATCATGTTGGTTTAATACCCTTTCCCCTATTGTCACATACTGGTACTCAAAACATAAGTTTGAATGTATTAAATTTCAAGATTCTAGTAGAAAGATCACAACACATTTTTAAGAACAAAAAGTCAATCGTATATGTATAGAATTAGATCATCCCTACTCTACATCTGGCCAGGCATACCACATATGATTTTTTAGGTAAAACATTTCATTACCCATTTTTGTTGCCACTAGATGCCGCTGTACGTCTGTTGTACTGAAATTTATTGAAAGTGAAGTATGTTGACCTTCATTCCTTTGTAAAGTTTTTTTATTTTTGGTATTTTGTTTTGGAATGAAAGAGGGAGATTCATGGATGTCCAGCAAGGTGGCTCTTTACCTGGGTCAGCTGATCTAAATAAATGCTTCTCGAAGCTTTAGAATAGTTTTATATTTTTTTCAAGGGGGGATTTAGCAGGGTAGATGCTCTATCATTTAGAGGTTTTAAATTTTTTTTTCTAGGGTTAAGAGCAAATTTTGTAAAGTTTGGTGAAATATAAATATTTTTGACACCTAAATGGAAAATGAAAATGAAATTTAATAGAAGAGAAGTATACATGAATGATGAAATCTTTTCGTGATTCTGATGAAAGTGATACTATTTATGCAGAACTGGAAAATGATAGTTATAAGGATTCTAATAGGGACATATTTATTTGTTTATAAGTTTTTATTTCAGATAGTCAAAAATTATACATGCTGCTTTTTATGAGAGATTTCTAATAATTTCCATTTTTATTAATGTGTTGTTTTAAATAAAAATGTGACTGTTGGATATATTTTACATATATATTAATTTGAAGTATGTAAAAAGTTACATTACTACTCTAAAACTGATTACTTTATAAAAATTTTAAGGAAAATATAATGATAAAAAGTTTAAAATGAATTATGATAAATACCTGAATGCTCCTCTCAAAATGTACCAAAAACTGGAACAATTAGACCACATATTAAATGAATTTTTTTGCCAAAGTTCGGCTTAGTAGCACAAATTGCCCATTCCCACAAGACAGTGCATCCTGTCAAAGCACCATCCCAACAAACTGGTTTGGTGACTGACAGGCCTAATGAGAAAGGATTAAATGGGAGAATACTGGTCCTCTACTTTGAAGGCCCAGGATTCAGAAACTGTCTGCATATTTAAATTTCATAATACACGTTATAATGTATATTTAAAACTCAAAATGTCAAAACATCATTTTTAAATAATTTCATTCCAAAAATGTTTTTTCCTCCTTTCCAGAAATATATAAATATTTAACTTCTTTAAGTTTTCATTGAAAAAATACTTCTATTTAACTCATTATGCCTTTTTTTATTAAATATAAGAAATTAATTTCAGAACAACAGAAAGTCGTATACTTTTGTCCTTTGCAAGATATATAAGTTTCTCAGTTCAGAAACATATTTCAACATAATTAAAATTATATATAAATATACATAGGTAAGATAAAAAAATGTAAAGCAAAATATCATTTTTAATTTAACTACAGTCCCTTAATTCTTTGCTTTATTTTGAATATTTCCCCTCTCTATCTTTTATGTAACTCTGCTGATGAAGATAATTTGCAAACTGAAATTCAAATACCAATGCCGAAACTTTAAATAGAGGATGATGAGATAAATGAGAGGACTGCAAACCCAAAATTTTCTATTTTTCAACTAGGCCTCCATCTTATATGTCACTTTTTTCTCATGCTTATCATGCTAACAAGCCTGCTGCTTCTGCTCTCGTCAAAATTATATATTTAAAATGTAACAGTAATCATGAAAAATGTTTAGCTAACAAAGAATAAAAGTAGTATTTTAATCTAGCCATGACTGCAAATTTTATCATTCTATTATGCATCTACAATACACCTACATTACATCAATTACTTTACATATTATTAAACACACAAACACGATTTTTTAAATAAAAGCATAACATACCGCTGTGGTATTCGCAGTAATCAGATCTTTAATATGCTGGAGTACATGTTCACAGAATTCACAAGTTAACTCATCCTTGAGATGTGAAGGCTTGTCTTCCTATCATTTAAATAAATAAACATAAAAATAAATTTGTTAATTTTTTTATTTATTTTATGTTTAAGAAAGTAGTGAAAGTTGAAATAACTAAGTAATAAAATGTAATGAAGACTTTTTTAAATAAATTTATAATTAGAGGAGAAAAATTCTTGTTGCAAGATATAGAATACACTATATGAATACATTTTACAAAAGATATTCAAAAAATAAATTCTATTTGGCAACTAAAAAGGTTTTGAAATTATTTCATTTTCATTGATTCAATTTATCTAAAATTACTTAGTTTCCATCATTATCAAGACATCATAATGGGATCCCAGTTATTATATATCTTCAAGAACAATGTCACTTGTTCTGGAACCCAATTGTACACAGTTGACTGTATTCCCAGGATAACTGATTGAGCCAAATGCTCTGATAAGCTCTCTGTAACACATTCACATACTACACAAGCCTGAATACAAGTGTATTTACATGCTTTATATTTAACAAACATTTTGCCAATTGCCATTGACTATATAAAAATTTTAAATATTGACTATATTAATTATTGTTTCTTTCTCATAAATTTCTTGTTTCATATTTTTTTATTATTATCATTCTTATTTATGAACAGAATAGTACATAAAGGCTGTACACATAGCCAGAGAAATGTTTTTCACCAATTTACAAAGATGTCAATGAGTTGATGATTTTTGTCAAGGGTGTTGTTATTGAATTTAAACGGCGAATATTTTCTGTGTTAATTATTAAAACTTAGCACACACTTTGATATAAAAGGAAAGATATTTACAGAAGATGAGCACTGAATTTAAATGTATTAAAAAATTTTGAGACTGTCACAAAGCTAGAAAAAGAAGAATAAATGTAACGTGAACACTTACAATCAATTCACACTTTTGTGCACAAATTCCAACAGAGTTACACAGTGTTTTTGCATCCTAAAAGAATAAAATGTTGTACTTTAAAAAATACTAATTATAAATATATTAAATATAAATTAATAAACTAATAGGTCAAGTGAATGTGATAGAAATTAATTTAAAAAAAGAGGTCTTAGGTTTGGGATGCTTCTGTGAAGACTATTTAGAAAATTTTCAATATGCCATGGTACTGAAAGAAATATGACATCATATGCACATTATTTATACTTAAGATGAATTTTTCTTTACTCAACATAATATCCCTGCAGTCAACCATTTTCCTAACAATATGGCAAACAATCAATTATGCTTTTGTATCTTTTCTTGTTTCTAAGCCTTTATGTCATCTTTATGCCAGACATGACTTCCACTATAAACAGAACTGCTAAAAATTTCCTTCTGTATGCACAGAAAAATTGAATGAAAAAGGCTTTAAAGGTTACTATAGGTTACTCTGAACCTTCCTTATTTATAGTAGATAATAGCTCAACACAAATCAGTCCCTATATTTTAGCCATGTTTAGTTTTTTTAAGACTCATTTTTCAAAGAAATCTTCCAGATTTTTTTAGGGTATAAAAGAAATTGTTTGAAAAGAAATTTGTATGTTATTTTTTTGGCTGTATGCTAATCTCCTTATTCTATATTAGTTTTAAATTTTTACTTTGAAATCTTGCCTACAATCGAACGGCGAACCGAGGTGTTCCTAGATTGGGCTCACTGCGAGTCTAGGTCACTGAGAGGCAGCTGTATCTTTGTTTCCCTGCAGCTCATCAGTCAGCTCAATAACATAGAAAGGTGAGTCCACATCTGTGTTTCATTTCCTGTTTTTCTCTCTCTCTCTCTCTTTTTTTTTTTTTTTTTTTTTTTTTTTTTTTTAAGGGGGAGGTTTGGTTATCAACTAAGAAATTAAAGGTCAGGAATGATTTTATCAGTTAGCTGTTTGGTTTTTCACTAGAGCAGTTCTCTTTTTTTTTTTCTTTCACTTTGGTTCAAAGAAGTTTTCTTAGTGCTATGTTTAATAGGTTTGAGTTGTAGACATTTATATTTTTATTTTATAGTTTATAATTTCAAACTGTAGATATAATATTAGTTTATCAAATAATATGCAGATATCTTTCAAATTAATATTGTATTATTGGTATCAATAATATGATGTAAAATTATCAATAATATGATATAAAATTGATATGCAAATTAATTATCAATATGTCCAAATTCAGATTTACAAACTAAAAAATATCCACATTTAAAAAAATTAATAACTCTTTAAGAGTATATTCATGTAATTTAATTTGCTAATCATGATTTAATTAATTTAGCTGAATCATCAGAGTCTAAAGCTTTGTTTAAAGATTTTACTTATTAATTTTCATCCTTTAAAAAAAAAAAAAAAATTTATTTTTATTATCTATTTTCAGATATATAGGGTGTCAAAGGAGCAATTTTAAAAAAGAATTCTGAGTTGCATTCCTACACGTATAAAAAATAATAATGGCTAATATTTTCTGCTGAGAACAGCAACTACGCAAATACAAGCAGATCAGTATAAAAAGATCCATAAAAGAGCATTCAATACTCAAACATTCAGATTACTTTAAAAATTACAGCCATAATAAAATTTATGGATTCATACAATTTGAGAACTATTTTAAAGCTTCTCAACCACAGCAAAATTTTGAAAAAGAAAGATCTAGTCTTTTTTTTTTTAAATGCAAACTTTAAAAACAAATGCCTTAAATTTTCAGATCAAATTTTAAAAAATGCTAATATGTTAAAATCTACTGCTTAAAAAAAAAACTGAAAGCAAGTTTGATACCTTCAATCTGTGTCCACTTGTGTATTTTCTTGAATTAATGATTTTTATTGTATAGAAACTGTCCAAACACTTCCATATCAAAAGTTTAGTTTCTGAGCATATTTTTGTTTCATTTGATGAAAACACACATAAAAATAACATTTGTTCACATTTATCAAATTAAACAAAATATGATCTTAAATGACTAAGGAAAAAAAGTTTAAAGAAACAAACTACTTACAATGCTCACAATGTATGAATAGATTTTAGGAAAATAATTGTCAACCAAGATATCACACTAATTAAAAAAAGAGAAAACAGCATTAATACAGTCAAACTTTAAAGTACTTTTATTTATAACATTAGTTACATTAAAATAGTTACATAATAAAATAATTTAATCACCTGTTCTTGAATTTAAAAAAAATAAAGAATAGTATGCATAATGCATATTTTCGTATTAAGAATAGTACACATAATGCATACTATCGTATTATCTGCCCAACTGTAACAAGAATCACCAGGAACAGTGCGATCTCGCCAATGTAGGCAACCCAGAATTTTATGAAAATGCATTTTAGCTGACAACCCACTACACATACCCGATTTTGGAATTCCAAGGGTTATGTTTGTGGTTTCTGCTTGTGATCAGTATGTGCCCTCTTCTTTCTTATAACAAATCATAATGCGATAGTGAAATTTGCATGCTAATAAAAAAAGAAAGTGCTGCATTTTGTTAGAAATAAGGCATTTTGCCTAGTAGCAGAAACTGTAGGAATGCACAGCTCATGAAGTTGCATTTTACAAACAATTGAATTTTCTGAGTTATCTTGGTTCTTCCGAGTTATCACCTGGAGAAAATGGAAGGAAGGAAGGAAGGAAAAAAAAAAAAGACTATTTTGAAGAGATTTTAAAGCAGTTATCCAAACTGTATCCACTGGTTTTAAAAATCTAAATACTCTCTGAACTGATTTTCATGACTATTGTTAAAGTAATAAAATGCATTTAAATGATGCATTTGGCTAGCTTTTACTTACTTCCTATATTACATTACTATGGAAATCTTGCAGTTCAAAAGTAGGTTATGAACAGTTCTTAGGTGATTGTTATAATAGTTTTCTCTAAATAAATGCAATTCACTGAATTTTTTTAATGTTAAAACAGGTTGATGTGTATATGGAGGGAAAGGGCAGTTTGCTCAACAGTGCTTAAAATTCTGCAATTCTCCATTAAAACAGATCACTGTGCACACAGACAGGAGAACAAGAAAAGAGATACTTTAGTGTTTTATTATAGGTGTTTGTTGTGTTTTCAATTAAGCTGCTACTGTTTTATGAAATTTTGAGTGCTTTGTAATGGATGGTTGCTTCACGTGATTCTTACTGTTTTATGTATGTTTTTTTGCATTTTAAATTTCTTTAATTTGTAGCTGTTTCATGTAATTTCCAAGGCACCGCCATTTTTTTAAATGTGCTACCGTTTTTCATGTGTTAGGGTAGTGAAAAATTAGTGCGAATAATTGAAGACTTCGCTGGACAGCTGGCAGATAATACGATAGTACCTACATAATATATGATCACATTTCCTTATTTTTAAATTAAATCTACAATATAAAATAATGAACACAATAGAAGTATATTACACAAGTAAAGAATGTAATACTTAATTAAATTGTAATTTCTGATTATCTGCATCTCTCTGAAAGAGTAATATTTATATATCTCATATATTACTATAGAAATCTTGCAGTTCAAAAGTAGTTTATGAACAGTTGCTAGGTGATTGTTATAATAGTTTTCTCCATATAAATACAATTCACTGATTTTTTTAATGTTAAAACAGGTCGATGTGTATAAGGAGAGAAAGGCCAGTTTGCTCAACAGTGCTGAAAAAAGAAAAGAGTTACTTAAGTGTTTTATTATAGGTGTTTGTTGTGTTTTCAATTAAGTTGCCACTGTTTTATGAAATTTTGAGTGCTTTGTAATGGATGTTTGCTTCATGTAATTTTTTGCTGTTTTATGTATGTTTTTTGCATTTTTAATTTCTTTAATTTGTAGCTGTTTCATGTAATTTCTAAGGCACTGCCATTTTTTAAATGTGCTACTCTTTTTCATGTGTTAGAGTAGTGAACAATTAGTGCCAACAACTGATGACTTTGTTGGTCAGTAGAGCAGATAATGTGATAGTACCTACACAACATATTATCACATTTCCTTATTTTTAAATTAAATCTACAATATAAAATAATGAACACAATAGAATTATATTACACAAGTAAACAAAGAATGTAATACTTAATGAAATGGGAATTTCTGATTATCTGCATCCCTCTGAAAGATATTCACAAGTCTAATAGGCAATCCAGGATGGTGCCAAAATGCATTTATGTGGCAACTGAAGTATGCATGCACATGCAGCAAATGAGTCATGATTCCACCTTCAAATTTGATGGTCATTAATGTTCGTTTTTCCTGAATGAAGTGTACTCCCCCCTCCCTTGTAAGCAACTGTAATAAAAATATGACGCTTGCTGGCCAATAATAAAAAAAAGAAAGCATTGCATTGCATTTCATCAGAAACAATAAAAAATGTAAAATTTCACATTCCATGAAGCTATACTTCATAAATATTCACATTTTATGGATCAAAATTTCTGCAATTCCCTGATTTCTTTTTTAAAGCAAAAACAGATTGTCGTGTACTCATGAAAACGATATGAGCAATGCCAAGTTGTGCACGATTCTGAGTTTCCACAATTTTCTGATGCTTTCCAAAGCTGCAAATTGCTGCAAACATGGGGCAAACAGGAGGGGCAAAAGATAAGTGTTTTGTTACGGATGCTTCTTGCATTTATAACTTTGTTAATTGTTTGTTGCTTCATACAATTCTCAATCACTGCATACATGGGGCAGATGGGGTAGGTGCTTTGTTACAGGTTTTTCTTGAATTTATAATTTTGTTAACTGTTTGCCATTTTAAGTCATTCTTAGTAAGCCAACATTTTTTTGAAAATGGCTGTTGGCTTTCATGTCTTAGCTGGGTAAAAAATTAGTCACTAACAATTGGACACTTTTCAGAAAAAGGTGCAGAAGATCAGAAAGTGTCAATCAAACTACTGACAACAATTAAAATATGAATTTTCAATTAGTTGCTTTTGCCTTTTTTTAACATCTTGTAAATAAAATTACGAAATGCTCTATTAAAAAAATCAAGACTAAGAATAAATCCCATTAAACATGGAACTCTTTTACAAATAATCCATATAACACAGACTTAATTAAAATATTATAAAAGATATTTTTAAAAAAATTCGAAAACAAATAAAGGCAAGATTCTTATGGCTTAGTTAAAAATTGTAGATCTTATGCCTTAGTTAGATTCCTTTTCTGAATATAATATCTAATATACTAGATGTTCTATCAGAGAATGTGGATTATGTAACATTTTTAGGGAAGAGAAAAATGAGAAAAAGACAAATTGGATCACGTAATATTCTTGGAAGAAGTCAAAAGCACCCCCCCTCTTGAAATTACTACATTCCACCCGCATGAGCTTAACACACAGAACATAGTTATTTGTATCAAATAGTCCTAAACATCTAGCCGATATTTTAAATACAGAAGTTAATTACTGCAAAGTGAAACATATAGGATTAATAGAAATATAATAATCATAAGAAATATTTACTTCATTTTAAAGGGCCACCAGCGGCCGAACGGTCGCTGAACCCTGGTAGTTCGGTCCGAGGTTTGAATCCCGCGAACTGCATGGGTGTTTTCCCCATGTGTAATGTGTATACCAGCCAGTTTTTCTTAGAAAGTCCCCCACGAAAGCATCCCTTCCCTTAGGCAGATAGCCCTAGTGTGCTTTGCCATAATTAAATACACCACCACCACACCACTTCATTTTAAAATTCTTATATTTTTCTCTCCTCTTCTCTCAGAAAAGATAAAATTATGATTCTAAATCATAATTACTATCTTTTTTTTCATATGCAAAATTTTTTACCAATTAACTTATTCAAAAAACATTACCAAGTAAGATGGAGCTTCCTTATCACAGAACTTTTCAATGTATTTTTCAACATCAGCCTAAAAAATAAATTCCATATAATTATATGTTCTACATATATATTATCTTATTTGATAATTAATATCAGCATTAGAAATTTATATATTTCATTTCCAGCCACAATCAACTAGTAATTAAAGTACAGCATAAAAGTCTTTGATAAAATTGTATTTATTTTACTAAATTAACATAACAAATACACTACTTACCTCTGTTTCTGATTTCAAGAATGTCTTCACATCTGTCATCATTTTAGTGCACTGATCACACTGGCTGTCTTTATGAGGTGTAAGTACCATCCTTAAGAACTTCAAGATATGGTTCTAGTACAATGATACAATAATTTTAGCAATACTTAAAAACACAAATTAAGAACAATACTACAGAAAAGATGACAGATACTGTAAAATGAGGGTGCAGTTTTTAAAATTTAATTTTGCCAAGAGGTGCATCCCCAAATTACAAAAATTTCGTCTTCCCTAAATTCTGCCGTTCGGTGACGACATATTCTGCCGCCGCTTCTGGGTTTATGGTGAATAACATATTAGTTATTCTTAATTAAAACAGCACTAAATGTAATCTTTCAGCCTCCGAGTTTCATTAACAAAAATCTATTTTTAGCATATTAAAAGAAATTTTTGTTGAAATTTTCCTCGTCAACATTTTTTACAGTATTTAAAAATCTATAATCATTGCCAAGCGTAATGTTAGCATAAAAGGTGTCCATACTCTTGTTATTCAATTACGAATATATACAAAAGTTTAGACATCACTGCATGAGTTATTACTGAAGCTGTCATGTTGTGATAAGCATGCAGTGATGAAAGCAAAATATAATAAATAATGACTTGCCAGGGATATAAAATAGGTGAATGTTTTGGTAAGCGCGGTAAACAGCGGTACTCGGAATGGAACTTTTGAGATGTATACCAAGCAGATACTCAGCTACGGAGCCAAATTATTAATCTCACAAATTTATGCTTACATGATTGTTTTCCCATGACAAGGTATTTTATTTAGTGCCTAAGTGAATTTAAGAATCGGAACTTTTAATTGAAAATCTTCAGATGTTTTATTATGGAAGGAAAAATCAAATGCACATGCATAAAGCATAAAAAAAAAAAAAAAAAAAAAAAGCTTGTGGCTTTGAGGTCCAGATTTTAGATCATTCTGGATAATGGACGTCTGGATTTTGGACTTTGCACTGTACTATATTTATTTTATATACACAGAGCTAACATGTACACAGCTACATCTTTAATATCCTTTAAAACACATTTAGGAAATTATATAATGCATAAGAATTCTTACACAATATATTATATATTATTCTTAACTGTCTGAATATGTAACAAAACTTCCTCATTCATTAAGAATTAAATCAGCCACAAAAAGCGCATCTTATTTATTAATTATTAAAAAAGAATAATTAATCTATGCATTATCAAAGATATCGCTAAACTATAAAAACTGGACGATTTTACAAGAGATTTTCAAATTATGATTTGTAACTTCCAAAATTTTTATTTATGTAAGGATACCCAAATATAATCAAAATGACAATAATGCTAATAAGCAGTTTGTTGATCATAGAGTTTAGTTTTACTATCTTTCAATTTCCTGTGCCCATTTGCCATGTATCATCAATCTGAGCAGAATGTAACCTGTTTTGGCTATATCCCTGTTGAGAACATTATACCACTTTTTTGATGTGGAACCACAAAGAAAAAAAGGCCACATATGATAACTATTATTTATTTATTTATTGAGCTAAAGCTGAAACCATTGCTATGCTTTGGCAAATTTTTAAAAATAATACTTTGTGTAAATCCCAAGTATACAAATGATTTCCTAGATTGCAAAATGGCAAACGACAACTGCTACAACTTGAATACATGAGCAGAAACATGGGAAAAGATTCAGAAAGCATGGTGGGCTACCAATACAGATTGTTGAAACACCGTTCACCAGCTTTCTGAAAATATTCTCTCTGTGCAACAATTCTTAAGTATGAACCATATGGTGCTAATGTCATACACACGGTACTCACCTAATATCATACTCACACTAATGTTGTTTAGTGTGACTTTTTTTCTTCTCCACAAATAAAAAGAGCTCTCAAAAAGTAATTCAGTAGCACGGATAAAGTGAAAGAAAATATGATAACTTGCCTTTGAATATTATTCTGTGATAAAAGTTCTAAAACTGTTTTGCATGCTCCCAGTAGAGGAAAAAATGTTGGGGAAAATGTACTCAAACTTTGAAAAGTACTAAAATATGTTAAGTGCGAAAAGAATAATATAATTGCCTTAGATTAATTCTAGCTATTCTGAAGTACTCCCTCATACTTTCATGAATTAGATAACTAAAATTTTTTAATAAAGATTTAGAAATTATATTTCTTTATAAAGCTTACATAATATAAAATGTTGCTCTTGTTTACTAATTTTTTAATTTAGTTTTTTATAAGGTTTTAATAAACTCCATGTAATTTATCACATGTAGCAATTTTTGATAAAGCACATTTTTAATCATATGTGGAATAGGATATGAAATAATTTGTGCAGTCAAATAAGGGCACGGAAAAAAAAAGAGAGAGAGAAAGGAAACTGAGAGGCTCTGAATTACAAAATATTAATGCATTTATCCAGTATCCCCCTCCCCCCAAAAAAGGTTGGAAATTTACACTATAAATACATACTTCTACTGGTAAGTGAGCCATATTGCATAAACCAGAGACTGTGCAGACCATATTAGGGTCCTAAAAGATAAATTTATTAAATAACAAAGATTTTAAAAGCTACAATTACATATTTTTTAAATAAAAAATTAAGACTTTAAATGAATGTACTAATTACCATATTTGTCAGCATATAAGATCCACCTTTTTCCTTTGGAAATAGGTCTGAAAAACGGGGTGCGTCTTATACTTCGATACTCAGTTTTTGATTACATTCATTTCTGGAAATTTCCTCTATTCAGAGTTATGCAATTTTTTTCTTGTTTCCTTGCAGAGTGTGGGAATATTACAATTACGTAGAGTTCCGTGAATGCTCATGTGCTGTAATCAACGATCACAGTTGGTTTCGTTTTTAAACTTTCCAATTTTTGTTTATGACTTTTAAGTGTGTGAAATTTCTATTGTTTAAATTTGTTCGCAAGTTATAGCTCAAAAACAACATCGGCATTGCTATAACATAGCATACAAGCTATGTGTGATTGCGTATGCTAAAGAACATGGGAACAGTGCTGCAGAGAGACATTTTGAGCTTCTCCCAACTGAGAAAATGATAAGAACTTGGCAGAATTATAATGATCAGTAATAAAGTTTTATCCTTCAAAAATATATATAAAAAATGGAGTGTGTCTTATACGCCGGCATATACGTTACATTTATCATTAAGCATTTGCAAGACTATATGCATATAAACCAGAAGATTCACTTCATAGAATTTTCGATAGTATTCTGTTCTATAAATTGACAAATTAGCAAGATACAGCCATACAGTAACAGCAACAAAAATATTAACTTGTAATATATTAATATCTATACAAAAAAAATTGCAACCTTAATAACTTCAGCTAACTACAGTAATAAAGATCTAAATCGTATTTAATTATGATTCTAAGATTTCTCAGTTATTATTTTGTAATTCAATAGATAACGGAAGTTTTTCCTAACATATAATCATTCAACAAAACAGATAATGTCATATAAAAATGGCAAATAAAAGAATTAAAATTATATTGAAGTAAAATTTTTGCTAACTGGATACAGATTGTTAAAGCAATAAAACTTTACATTCACAAACATTAACTATTTTGGCTGATCTTTGGAATATGGTAACTGGTAGTTTGGCGACATTTTGAGGCGATAAAGGTTACTACCTAGGACTTTGGTAATAATGTGAGAAGCACTCACTTCCGATTATGCATTATTTTGTGTGAGGGAAATGAGAGATCATGAGATATGTCATGTGACATTAATGGACTAATTACGGTTGTTTAATCGGAAAAGGGGGGAAATCTGGAAATTTCGTATTTAGCTATATTCTGTGTTGTGTGAAACGTGACATTAATGGACGAATTACAGTTGTTTAATCGGAAAAGGGGGGAAATCTGGAAATTTCGTATTTAGCTATATTCTGTGTTGTGTGAAACGTGACATTAATGGATGAATTACAGTTCTTTAATCGGAAAAGGGGGTTAATTTGGAAAAGCTTCATCGTGTGTTGTGTGAAATAGTGTAGATTAATTTTCGGATTGCATGGCGCTATGTAAAGTGAATTCTAAATTTTTAATGCGTTTATCTGATAATAATAAGTTGAAATTGTGTGAAAGGAAGGATATTAGAAGTTTAAATGGCTGTGCAAGAAATATGGTGAAAATGGACATTTTGTGAAAAGGAGTGTAAAGAAGGGTACGTAGTTTGCTGAAAGTAGTTTGAGTATAGGTGAAATTTTATTAATTTCTTATTACTTGGTGAATAGACTTCCAGTTGACTACAGGATTTAGGATTTAGAAATTTGCAGTAGTACTGCAGCGACGTAATGAAGATTCTGAAGAAGATTAGGTAAGTTAGTATTTTTAATCATTTGAGGATATTATTTTTATGCATTGTTCTAAATGTAAGGAGTAAATAAATTAAAATGGTATTATTTGAAAATTGTTATTAGCAATGATTTAGTTTAAAGTAATTAGGATTGTAATCTAATTTTTATTAATTTAATGTATGTGCTTATTTATATTTTAAGTAGTGTTTTTTAATTTAATTATATTTTAATTTAATGCTCGTGATTTTGTGAGTTATATGTTTGTAGTATTTTGGAATATGTTTAAGTAGTAGTCGCTGAGTATTCTCATGCATTTTCGTGAAATTTTTCTAATTTATGAGAAAAAAGCAGTGTACATGGATATAGTGAAGAGTGTGCGCAATGCCATTTTTGTGCAATTCTGGGATGTTTTTTTAAGTAAAAATAAGTCGACGTGTACATGGTTTAGTGATATTTTAATTAAATGATAGTTATTTTGTGAATTTTATGTTTGTAGGAATTTGGTATACGTTTTTAGTTGAAGTAAACGTGCATGGAAATAATTTAAATATTTGACACTAAGTATTTGTAATGTTTGCGGTATGAATTCGTTGGTGACGTTTATAATATAATAGATAATTTAGAGGTAAAAGTTTTTAGATATTTTATTTATTTTATACGTGGAAATGTTCATATTTGGAAAGGGTATATACTTTTTCGCGATAAGGTAGGTAATTTCATATAGTTCTTTTTACCGGGTTTAAAGATTCAGAAAATTGTCATGCATTTTCGTGCAATTTTTCTAATTTATGAGAAAAGAGCAGTGTACATGGATATAGTGAAGAGTGTGCGCAATGCCATTTTTGTGCAATTCTGGGATGTTTCTTTAAGTAAAAATAAGTCGACGTGTGCATGGTTTATGTGTATGTGTTATTGTGAAAAACGTGCAAGGAGTTTCCGATTGTGCACTTTTTCCCAATTTTGCAGTGAATATTTGTCATGATTAAGTAGTTTTGTTAGATAAAAATGAAGACAAAATGGCGGCGGAAAAAAAAAAATAGAGGGTTGCTGTAGTAGAGTTGGTCGCCAAATTTTCTCCAAAAAATCGCCAAGTTACCATAATCCAAAGATCAACCACTATTTTTTAGGCATATGGGAATGTGATACCTTACAGCTCACACTGACATCCCAGACTATCTGAGAAATGAAATGTCTAATAAAATAACATTTGCTTTTAAGAACGTTTTTTAAAAATTTTGTTCCTAAACATCTATACATTGAACATTCTTTGTTTAAAATGAATAAACTAAATAAACAAATTTACATGTTTTTATATGCAGTTTAATTCATTCTGAACCAGCATTTAATCTGATGCTTTTACTTTATAAAAGTTCACAATTAATCTATAATAGTGTTTCAAGCATTGGTATTATTTGCTAATACAAGACCTCCTGTCAACCACCAAATATACTGTAAAGATGTTGCAAATTGTAATTTAATGTATTATACTGAAGCATATACACTAATTTGCAAGATCGTAATAAACTTGTTTTACCTTAATCATTATTAAAAATTTGTTATGCACTACAGTATTGATATCAGATTATATGAGATAATATATGCATAAAATTCTAAATTTCTAAACCATTAATTTACTTACCATGCGTGAGGCTAACATTTCAACAAGTTCAGGGATTATTTCATCAACAATTTTGATGCACTAAAAAAAAAAAAAAAAAAAAAAAAAAAAACTAACTCATATTTTAGAATTTGCATATAATTCTTAAATACGTAGTAGAGTCAACTGAAAACCATAAAAGTAGAAATAAAAATCCGCATACGGCGCCAGTGAGCTGTAAGTTGGCATGCCTGTTTGCGATAGTATGCCGGATGTCTCCTAGGTGGCAGCAGCCGGCAGATGCACAAAAAACTGCACAACAGTTCCAAAATGGCAGCCCCACTAGCCACATGCACCAGCGAGGAGCAGCGTTCTGTGATTCGGTTTTTGCGAAGTGAAGGTGTGAAACCGATTGACATTTTTAGGCGAATGCAGGTTCAGTATGGAGATGCGTGTTTGTCACAGCCACAAATCTATGAATGATGCCAGAAATTTGCAAATGGTGTTACGTCCGTGGGCGATGCTCCACGCCCCGGAGAGGCTCGGCGCGTAGTGACTCCAGAGACCATTTCGGCCGTTGAAGCCATCGTTTTGGAAAACCGCCGTGTGACAATAGACGAAATTGCAGCATGTGTACACATGAGTCATGGATCGGCACATCACATTGTGCATGATGTTCTCCAGTTTCATAAGGTGTCTGCAAGATGGGTGCCCCGACATCTGACGCCTGAACTGAAACAGTGATGTGTTGATGCGTGCGAAGTCCTTTTGTGGCGTGCTGGACGTGACGGTAATGCCTTCCTGTCACGAATTGTCACTGGTGATGAAACATGGGTGCATTACCATCAGCCTGAAACAAAGCGAGCGAGCAAGGAGTGGCACCACTCCTCATCACCGAAACCCAAAAATTTTCGGACACAGCCATCTGCAGGGAAGGTTATGCTGACCCTCTTTTGGGACGAAAAGAGCATCATCTTGGAACACTACACGCCACGAGGAACCTCTGTGACAAGTACTCGGACCTCCTAAAAATTCATCTCCGGCCTGCCATCAAAACGAAACGACGTGGATTGCTGTCAGCCAGTGTGCTGCTGCAACACGACAATGCACGGCCCCATACGGCACGTGCAATGGTAGCGACCATCACAGACCTAAAATTTGAGTACCTCCCACACCCCCCTTACTCGCCAGACCTTGCACCAAGCGATTTTCATCTGTTTGGTCCGCTCAAAGAAGCAACGGCAGGAAGGTTCACTCCGATGAAGAGGTACGCAACGCGGTGCACGATTGGTTGCGCCATCACCCAAAATACTTTTTTCTGCGAGTATTCAGGCTCTTCCGAAGTGCTGGCGGACTTGCATTGAACGAGGAGGGGACTATGTTGAAAAGTGATTTATTTCCAAGTGACCAATAAATAATATTTAAAAAAGTAATTATGGTTTTCATTTGACTCCCCCTCGTATTAAAGCTAAATATGGCATGCATAAACTATTTCAAAAATAAGATAAAACTTACAGCATCAGCAACAAGCTTAACTGGTAACAATTTACAACTTCCTTCAAATACTTCTTTAATTTCTTCCTAAAACAGTAATAAATATCAAAGCACATGAGAAACATTTTTATTTAATAATCAATCTGAATATAAAATATCATGATAAAACGAAGTACAGCCGAGATTTGATTATCCTTTACTTTTCTCGCATAATGAATTCGCATATTTCTCATGAATGAATGTAATGAACAAATTTCATTTCTGTAACATCTGCCCATGGACAAACCAATGCACACAATAGACACACCAAACAAAAAGGGGGGAATACAAAAATTAATATGAATTCAAAAGCAAAATTGTAATTTAAAAGAGGATATACAACTATGTGCCTGTAATCTAACAAGACATTAAAATGTGTTTGTTCTGTCATTACATCAGCAATGAAATGTCAAAATGCTGTTTATAAAATAGTTTTTATAGTACTAAATTTCCCATTAAAAATACTGTAAATGTTTAGCAGTCACAGAATATCATGCTCTTCATAGAAGTACAATTCTTAATTTGGAAAGGCAGTTACCATAAACTAATTTATGTGTTTAGCGAAATGTTTAAACAACCTGCGATATCAACTGCATACTGTTAATATAACCATATTTTACTTTAAATAATAAGGAATCATTTTGTTACCCGAGACAGTACACTGCATTTCGAAGGGAAGAGAAACACTTTAAGAAAATTAAAGATCTGTCGTATTTATCATGTTTTGTTTGATTAGAAATAATTTTGGCTTTATTATAAATATTTTATTTTTACTCCACAAGCTAAGGATCTATAACATGATCAATCCATATTACACAAACTAATTATGGTACAAATCAAGTTTTGTGATTGACTGCTCATTTCTGACACTGGAACTACAATGAGTTCTTATTACTAAACTACTTTTAATCATCATAACAATGTTCCCAAAACTTACAGACAAAAATCAAGGTTATACTATGCTTTCTAAAAAAATGGAATGCATCGAAGAAACATATAAAAAAATATTTATTCATTTGTTTTTATTATCCCTAGAATATGAAAGATATTTGAGGGAAAAAAAAACAACAGAAGAATGAACGTAACTTTACCTGAGTCATATTGCTAAGTAGTTGGTCCCTGGCTTCTTTTACCATTTCTTTGCAGATATCACAGATTTCATCCTGTTAAAAAAATAACAGTTACAAGCATCAATACAAAACAGAGATGCTAAAAGCCTGCATATTCGATAAAGGCTTCAGTGAAAGCTTGTATTTAATAATTACAATAATCTGAAAATGTATGATACTTACATAAACAAATATAACAAGCTTATAAGGTACTTATGGAAAATCCCATTGACCACAAGAGACGGCGCCAATTGCGCCAAACCAAAAAAAAAAACATTTACTAAATAAATAAAAAAAAACACTTTCTTTCAAATTTATTATATTATCATTATCATTTATTTATATTTAATTTTTGAAATAAAAAATTGCAGAAAACATAAATAAACATAGAAATCAAAGGCAGGTGGTCAGTTTCCCATCCACTGGCTGCTTTGATTGCTATTTCAATTTTGATAAAAATCAATTATTTTGCCACAGGGTTAAGTTAAAAGTTACAAATTATTACAAAAAGTAGTATTACTGTCTGAGAGTGGTTCTGAGCCTTTTTCTATTTTCTTCACTGAAGATATCACAATTGAGTTGCAGGATAATATGACTTTAATACTGATGTGCTTACTGTCTGAGAGTGGTTCAGAGCCTTTTTCTATTTTCTTCACTGAAGATATCACAATTGAGTTGCAGGATAATATGACTTTAATACTGATGTGCTATAAAATAATAGGGGGACTGGAAAGTAATTTCGTTTCTGTGTATGTCGACAACAACATGTTAAGGGCAGAAGTGGAAGCAAATCCATGTCAAACGCTCTTAACCAACCTTGGTCGACCATCCAGGAGCATTTAAAGCAGAATGAAAAAATAAGCAAAGCAGGTTTTTGAGTCCCCCATAATCTGTCCGAAAAGAACAAAGCTAACCTATCCATCACATGCAAAGTATTGCTTCAACGGCACCATACAGAACCGTTTTTTGATTGTTTGATTAGTGAAGACAAAAAAATAAGTCCTATATGATAATCCAAAACTCAAAAGGCAGTTTTAATAGGGGCTACTAAAGGTTTACATCCCGAAAAGGCGCTTCTGGGTGTTTGATGGAGTATTCGCGGAATTCTTCATTTTGAATAGCTGAAACCTGAAAAAACTATTAATATAGACCTTTATTGTGAACAATTGGATCTAGTGAACCAATCTTAAATATCTGGCGATTGCAAACGAAAAAAGCGTCATTCTGCAACATGGCAATGCAAGATCGCATTGTGCAAGACGAACGCTGGGAAAATATAATGAATTGGGGTGGGAGATACCGCCTCACCCACTATATTCGCTCAATATCACACCCTCGGATTTCCATTTATTCCGATTCCTACAACATTTTCTTAGTGACAAAAAATTTGAAAATTTGGATGATGTCCAAAATGCCATCTCGAGATATTTTAGTCAAAAACCAATTGATTTTTATTGGTCTGGGATTGAAATCGGCATACTAGATGGCAAAAGATTGCTGATAACAAGGGTGATTATATTATTGATTAAAAATAAAAACTTGTTACAAATTTATTTGTTTGAATTTAATGTAAGAAAGCGACATTACTTTCCGGTCTCCCTATTATTTACATAATAGCAAATAAAGGGAAAAAAACGTGATTCCTTTTCCATATATTTAAAAAAAAAAAAAAATTACTTACATTATCATCAGGGGCACTCATTGTAGCCCAAATATCATGAACACATGATTTTACAACATCACACAACCTAGCATTTTCCAGATCTTGACATGCAAATGTGGGGTCAGCACACTGTTGAGGAACCTCCTTCCTAGGTTTGGGAAAGGCTGAAACTGCTGATGCTATAGGAAGAAAAAGGGAAAATTCTTTTTATAAAATTGTCTTTTCAGTATAAGAAACCTAGAAGTATTTAAAAAGAATAGGTTTTCAACTTTGCCACATACTGGCATAAAATAACAAAAATTTTAATTATCCATATGTTGAATGAACAACACTTGTGGGTGATTTGCACATATGTGATATAGGTATCTCATTTTTAATTTGCAATATTCATGTTCATTTATTCTAGCTTTCTTACAGATAATATCAATCAATCATGGAACAAACTCTCCTTTCTCTTTCTTTCATCTTTAATAGCTTGTTTTAGTGTGAAATACGTATTTTCTTTTAAATACTATGCACTACAATTCATGAAGCAAGTTCCACTAAAAACTACTTCCAATAATTTTTAAATGCTAATACTAGAAATTAAAGATACTGAAATTAATACACTAGAAACTGACTTCAATACTTGTAAAAATTTAATTATACTGAAGCTCTGCAGAATTTTTTAAATATTTTTTGTTTATTATCAATGAATGAATACGCAAAGTTGTAATATATAATCTACATCAGTACTTGTCATTAAGCATGCTCTGGCAACCACATCATTTGCAGGTTTAATACAAGATTTCAAAGTGGGCCAAAGAGTAAATGCTGATAATAATCTGTATAAATAAACTATCAAGATATTAATTATTATAATAATTTTATGCAACTTAAAAAAATAGCAACAAAGGTACTTGAAATGCTTCAACAAACATATAGAAATGGGAAAAAAAAAAAAAAGTCAACAAGGTACGAGGGCCATCCAGGAAGTAGATTACGTTTCCGTCTGTGTCCGCTAGGGGCGGGGCTAGCGCGGCCATCTTGGGGTCAGAGCGTTGCGCAGCAGTCTGCATCTAGCCGTGCTAGTGAGAGGTTCGTGCTGTGCTCCGTTCAGATACTGTGACGGTTTGAAATGTCTGCGTTAATTGAAAATCCTGCGAGGTGCGCTCAGTAATAAGGTTTCTGACTGCAAAAAAACTGTAAACCGATAGAAATCTATCGGCAGCAGCTTCGTGAAGTGTATGGGGACAACATTATCACTGAAGGTGGAGTGCGTCAGTGGGTCATAAGATTTCAAAATGGCCGAACCAATGTTCACGACGAAGATCGAAGTGGGAGACCCAGCATAGTGACCGCCGAACTTCTCGAAAAAGTCGATGCTAAAGTCCGTGAAAATCGAAATTTCACAATAACGGAACTTTCTTTGAGTTTTCCACAAATTTCGCGAAGTTTGTTGCACGAAATCATCAGCGAAAAGCTTGGTTACCACAAGTTTTGTGCAAGATGGAAGGCAAGAAGAGGTAACGAAGAAGTGGTTGAAGGCGCAGGCGGCCGAATTTTTCGACGAAGGAATTTCCAAGCTCGTACATCGCTACGATAAATGCCTTAATTTGTATGGTGACTATGTAGAAAAGTAGTATTTGAGTGTGGCTTTCATCTGTATATAATAAAATTTGTTTCCTATACTTTGTTTATTTTTTTATTCCAAAACGTAATCTACTTTCTGGATAGCCCTCGTATTTCAACCACTCTCTTGATAGATAAATGACTCAACTTCATCAAGAATCCATGTGGGGTCAAACTGGTGAACATGAAAATAACCTCAAATGTCAAAGAACCATTTAATAAAAATCATCACATGTTCTAAATTCATTAGGCTGATAAGACAGAATCATGGTTTACAAAACTCATGATTAAAACATTCTAAATTTAGCAAATTTTTGCAAACATGGCTAAATCTAAGAAACTGATCATTTTATATTTTAAAAAGGGTAAATCTATTACAAAGCATCTCAAATCATTAAATGGCATTTAATTAAATTTTATGCAGGATTTAATGTTGCAAATAGGAATAAATGACACAATACTGGGAACAAAGCATTATGGCTACATATATTCTATATCTGTTATTACAAGACAAATTATTTCTTTGAAAAGAACTAAGCAAACTTTTTATTGCACTGTGTTTAGAAAACTGCTGTGTACAGTTTAAAGCAGGAGTTCTCAGCTAGGGAAGATTTCATAGTTACAGGGGGAATGTTATCAGATTTAATTTAATTGTTAATTATTTAGTTTATGAGCAAGGCCTCGAAATAACAGTCACCAGGTCAGCATTTGCAACTAAGAAACTGAGTGGGATATGATAACCTTGGAAATTGCATGGTTAATACTTCCCATGATTTATTTTCATGATTTCAAAGCCACAAACTTACACATGTGCATAATGCGTTTACGCATGCATGTTTGATGCAGTAAAGCCAATAAAGCGTTTACCCATGCGCGCTTCCGATAGTGAAGAAAGTAACAGAGAACGTTATTGAAAACGAAAAAATTTCGATTGGCACGTTAGTCAGTATTCTTGACACAATTACAGGACTTGAACAGTGTCCTGTAATTGCTGTGTCGAGAACAGGAACTTTGTAACTGAACAAGAAATTATGTCTGTTTGTAGAATTAAAGAAAAGAGAAAGTATTAGCACAAAAAATGCGAAGCAACTTAAACAACTTACATTGAAAGAAATGTTTAATAAAGTAAATAAATAAATATTAAGCTTTTTTTTTTTTGCAAATTTCGATACCCTTTAAATCATAATTGCTCTTTATTTTATAAATTACGGTTTCATATTTTTAATTGCATAATTTCTGCATGCCATCTTACCAGATTTAAATTGATGATCTATAATACGAAAAAATCCCTAATCTGGAATCGCGGAAGTTCCGACAAGTGCGAATTACGGACTTTGTACTGTAGTTGGAAACATACAAAAAGGTTACTTTGCCATTCCATTGTTTTGAGCTCGTTACTGCGAAGTATTTTATAAAATTCTAAAATACCTTATCGAATCTTGAAGTAGCCATTTACTGAAATTGCATTTGTGTATTTTGCTACACGATACAAATGCTGAAATGTACATGTGTGTAAACTTCCAACATGGTCATTATGACTGATATACCACATGATACTTCACTGACCATGTTGTGATAAGCGTACTTGCTAATGACTTCATGCAAATTTTTCTCCACTGTGAATCAGGCCTCAAGAAATCAAAAAAGCGTTCTTGTTATTTTTCAAGAAAACAAATTTGCCACATGAGTATTCTGTGTGATATGGCTGTAAATCATCTAAACAGACTGTGTTAAGGGAACAAATTAAATGTAAAGGAGTTATACCGATAGTGACTGTGATGGTGCTAAAACGGGTTAAAAAAAGAGGCAATTCAGAAAGCAGTGGAATGATGAATTTCAGTGGCTATATGAAAATGGTATCGCTCGATGCAGAATGTGTGCAGAGTACTTGGAAACAGTAAATAAATGCTCTCGGGTTGTGCAAGGTTTCAGTGGACCATTCAAATCAAAAACTCAATCACAAAGATTTCTTGTTCAAAAATACAGCTGTAGAAACTCCAGAGTCTACATCAGCAGCAGCACACCAAAGAAAAATGAATGAAAGAACTATTTCAGCACTTACAAAGATTATTAAAAACAGCTTATTATAAGAAAAATGAATGAAATACTTATTTCAGCACTTACGCAGATTATTAAACACAGCTTATTATATTGCAAAGTACAATAAGCCATTTTATGATTTTAAAGATTTGGTTAAGCTGCTTAATAAATCTGAAGTCGGCAAATATCAAAATGACAAATGACATAGGAATTAATTTCTCATATTGCAGCTGTTATCATCCATAAGGAGGTTACTGCAGAAATTTTAGATTATAGCCCTGTTTAGCATTCTTTTGGATGCATCAAATGATAAATACACAGAGGAAGAACTAATAATATATGTGAGGTTCATAAGAGGTAAAAAAGACACAAAATATCTTAATGAAGTGAAAAATATTTTTAAGAAACTGCATAAATTTTACAGTTCTCCAAAAAGACTAATGAAAATAGATTAAGTTAATCAGCTATTGCAATTAAAACTTCTGAAATTCAAATATTTACATCAAATTAGATGGGTATCAAGCAAAATTAACACTCCTTGCTCTGTTAAAACAATTATGATGTAGTGGTTGTTCATTTAAAAGTGTCAAATGAAAAGGAAAAAGATGCTGCTCTGGACAGAGGAAAACTTTCAATTTGTCTTAACGTTACAGATCTTGCTAGATTTTCTTTTCATATTCATACAATATTTCTTTTACATTCATTTCTTTTCTTTCAACTCATTTCATATTTTTGTTTTCTTTTTATTTATATTGATAGAGGGCTTCAAGGAACTTTCTCTGATTTTTCAAGCAGAGATCATGATTTTAAGCAAGGTTCGTATTAATAGGGCAATCTGAAGAGTTGAATGATTCAGGATCTAAATCAGGCACATATGAACACCAGCTTGTCAATTCAACTAAGATTAGTGGTAAGTTTAGAAACATACAGCTTACAAATATTGATCGTCAAATTTTTTATTCAGAAAAGCTTAAAATACTCTCACATAGAATAAAGAATCTTAAGAGCTGTTTCCTAGGCTGGAATGTGGGTGTTTTAAAGGCAAGAGCTGTCTTTGACACTTTCATGTGGACAATACGGTTAGTTACAGAAAGGATAAAATTGTGACTTTGTAGAATAATTTCAAAGGCTATCTGTCATTTCAAAATAAAAAAAAAAAAGCTGTCAATAGCTGCAGTTTTGCCATCTTCCACAGCATCTTGTGAATGAGGTTTCAACCTAATGAATCTCATTAAGACTGATCTCAGTACATGCATAGACAATGTGACATTCAATGACCTTAAATGATTAAACTCAATAGATTTTCACCAATAGACTTTTAGCCATAAAGACATTTGGTTTTTGAAATGAAAACATTCATAAGCATTATAATTGCAGCCAAAGAGTGCCTGAAGCATAAGCTGGATGAAGACAAAGCAGTTCAGAGAATTTTTTGTTATAATTTTGAGCCCTGTTTATGAATATAATATATATTTTTACTCAAGTTTGGTACTTATAAACAATTTTTATACTTTGTGCTGTTTAACTCATAAAACATGTTAAAAAACAATTTAAATCTAAGTAAACAATTTTTTTCTTCGAATTGTGGGATAGAGATTGTAAGGGAATGATCTTCTAGCAATGGTGAAAAGTTTGCATAGAGCAAAACAGGTTGAGAAACAGTCTAGAGATTAACGGAAGCTGACTAGTCAGAACTCCTCTATGCACATTCAAATCCCGCACAAAGCTTGGTTGTTGGTGTGTGTTCTCTGCTTCCCTCTCACGGGTTAATACCAATTGCCTCCTGTGGTTCAGCCATTCTTGTTGAACACACTGAAGTTACAGGAAAAAATGCACAATCACCCACTGCTTGGCATGTTTTTAAGAATTGCACATACTTGGTATCCATGTACACACATCGACCTATTTTCACTTAAAAAAACATCGCAGAATTGCACAAAAATGGCATTGCACACTCCCTTGACTTTAGCCATGTACACGTCGACCTATTTTCACTTAAAAAGTCAAAGAAAATTGACAAAAATCCAATTCTTCTTACTCTTGTAAAAAGTGCCAAACAAAAAAGTCGGCCATTCTGTACTTTACACAAAGTTACAAGTGTTTGGCCATACAAGCCATGTTTACAAGTGTTTGGTTTAAAAAAAAAAAAAAAAAAAAAAAAAAAAAAAAAAAAATGAAAATATTAAAAGGTTTTAGAAGTTTTTTAATGGAAAAAATTTAAACTTGTTAAAGAGTTATGAGATTAAATATTGCAGCAGAAATTTAATGTGAGAGAGATAAATAGTTATGATGGATATTAAATTCTTCTCCGCCAAATATATTTTGGCTGAAAAGTAGAAAATGTAATTTCATCCAATGAACTTACTTGAACATTTTTTTATATTAAAACATGTGTAGAATACTGAATATTACAAAATATTCATTTCCCTCCTATAATATTATTCAAGAAAACTACATATTTGTGCTTTTTAGAAAAAAAAATTATCGCAATACACAAGAACTCATAGACAGATGGACAAATAATTAATCAAAACAATTAGCCAGAAGTAAATATAAAGTTTTTAATTTTCTACATGCTTCCATAATTAACAAAACCTTTTCCTTTCATTCCAAGATCTTGACATTATAAACAAACATATTTATTTACACATTCACAATAAATGAGAAACCACTTAAGAAGTAGGACAGGTTTCAAAACACTGTCTTGGTAATAAATGTTCTAACACAAGATGCAAGAGATGAAATTTATATTTACTTCAAGTTAAAGGTTTAAGGACATGAATTGGCAGAAGGTTCAGTTATAAATTTCCACAAATTTGCAGGACAAGTTTTACATCAACAATGAATTTCATATATGCCTGGTTCAAAACTATCATCAGTTTTATCATGAAGTTGGGTGAATAATCACTGTCTCAATAATTTCATTAATATATTTAACCACTCAGATATTGGTGGGGTTATATCTAAATCCTATACAGAAAGCTGACAAAATGGAAAAAGATTATAAAAACACATATTTTTCCAAAAGCAAACTTCAAACTGTCATGTCAGAAAAATCTGAAACAATGGCACCACAATAACCAATAAATATATTAAATCACTGTCAAAATGAATTAAGAAAATTATCATCTAATTAAATATTAAAATTTTATGCATACTTTTTTTATTGTATTCATTATTTGCTTTAATTCTCCCTTCATTTTTCTTATTATTTCAGCCTAGTGTAACTATTTTACTTCCTACTAATAATTAAATTAAAAAGCAAGGTAAAATCCAAGAAAATTTGGTGAGTTCTTTATGTCACTTTTAATAACTCGTATTGACAGAAATTTCTATTCCTTCAGAAGCCACTAGAAGTCTATTTTGATTTCAATTAACAGCGACAGATGCAAAAACATTAATTCAACATATGCTTTTTCAGCAATTCAATATTTAGCGTTCACTTTCAAATCAGGATTTAAATGGTTAGAAATATAAGTTATATGATAAACAATTTTTCTTTTACATACACCATCTGCCTATATTTAAATACATCTTTTCAAGGAATTTTTTCTTCCACTAATCCCTTCATTCCCAAAAATCTTTGTTCACTTATTACACTTAAAAAATTTTAGTAATCACCATGAATTAAAAAAGAGAAGTCAAGTTTCATAAAACCTGTTCCAAACTTAGAGCGTGTTAACAAATGGCCTGCAAAAATCAGGAAATTAAAAATTACAAACAAAATGAGTACCAGTTTAAATATTCAATGATATTTTAATGATCAAAGCAGTAAAAGCAAAAATCCTAACAAATTTATAAACTGAATATTTATAGTCCAATAAAAACAAACACTTTCCCCACTTTCATTTTTTACGCCAGCAGTTTCCTTGCTTTCACTTTTTAAAAAGTAAAATCATGACTTATTTTCAACTAATAACTTATTTTTTTCACTCATCTACAAAGGTACAATAGAATAACGACGTGGGACAACTGTAAAATTTAAGTGTATTAAGAAGAGAAAGCATTTTCTAAAAATAAACACAGTTTCGATCGGTAAATTGAAAAATAAATTTTCACATACCACAAAGAAGTGCACCAAGCACAAATAATACACCTCTCATTTCAAAATAAATTCAGCTGTTCAGATCTAGTAAACACTAATATGTCCAGCTAATTGAGTAAAAAATATCTTAAATGGGTCCGCTTTACATAGAATCGGTAGTTGTTATAATCAGCACTTCGTTATCCCACTATCGCAAAACAGATGATCATCATGTGACATGTTATGTTGCCATACAAGGTTTACTAAACATTTCAATGGAATAATCACTTCCGTTTAAAGGTATGCTTTCCGCCAAATCCAACGGAAGAGTCATTATCACGGAATGCTGATGTCAATATTTCGTTTTAATCTAATCTACAGTACTCGCAATCGGGTAAACAAGATAAAACGATAATAATAGCAGAAAATTGAAAGCATTAAGATTTTAGAGTTTGATTGGAGGGTTTTCAAACTTCTATAACAATTTTCTAAAATATATGTATATCTTATATTATAATATAAGCATTATAAGCGATATACGTTATCGTCCGAAACGACAATATTCTACGTGATATTTTTTATTGTTATAAGCAATTAACGTCTTAGTTTGAAAAGTGATACATGACAAAAGCAAGAATGCATTCTTGGCGATTGTAATGACCGACAAGATGACCGACCGTTCTCTGCGACGTTGAATAGACCTGAAGCTCAAGAGTTGTTTATACTAATGGTCTGTAAACTGATGGCTCCTGAAGCAATTTTATGCAGCCCGCGAATACATTTCAATTATGCATTTGCAGCAAAGATTTCAAGATTTTAGTCATATCAAATACGAGTTTACGCTAAAGACAAACACGAATAACACGCCATAAAACCTATAGTTGGAGCAAAAGTAATATAAATCTTTTTAAAGATACAGATTTAATTTTCATTTATTGGTACTTATCAAAGGGAAAATATGATCAGCTGCGAATTTTTGTTCATTTCTGGGGGAATACATTCGCTGATATCAGGGGCGTAGCTAGAGGGGGCAAGGGGGGCATCTGTCCCCGGGCGCAGAATCCAAGGGGCGCCAAACTGATGTTACGACATTTTAGAATTAAATGTTTTCCATCTTTGGCAAGCAGTAGAGGGCGCGAAATCTTCAGTTGTCCCTGGGCGCTGAAAACCCTAGCTACGACTCTGGCTGATGTATTCCCTGATGCAGCGTCTATGATTCCCTGATGTTGTGTTTATATAATTCTCGCGAATTCGCTGATTTCACTTATCAAACTATCTCAATAAAAGTTTCCAGTCTCCGAATTATTATGTGAGTAACAGACTAATACGTTTTGAATAAATTATTTTATTGCAAGGAATATTTTGATGATAATATTGGACTTAAAATAGAGGGTAAAAAGCAATACACTTGGAAAAAGTATGGATAAAACTACAAGATCTAAGCAATAAATTTCAAAAGCAAAAACGTCCAAAAACAAATGTAAGCCACTGTATATGAGCTGCTTTTGATCTGACAAGTGATACAGACACAAAAGTGAGACAACGCACAAGTGAGAATGAAAACCATGAGCTCCCCTTTGGTCTAACAATACACATGATGCCTCTGCTTTTGTGTGGATAATAAATATAGCGATATTTATACTCTTCTCCTTAATTATACGAAATAACTAAAATAGATTCATAATTAAAACACGGCTCAAAAGATATGCATGATGAATTTTTTGAAGATAACCATCAAGGATCCAAATGATCCACTTCTGTGGAAGTGGTTATTTTAGAAGGAAAGTGTTAGCATAAATTTAGGTATTTTGCATAATGAAACTCGAAAGGCATACGAAACGAACGTGCGCCAAGGTATATATTGGCGAGAGAAAGTAAAGCTCCTGTGCAATGCAGTATACTTGATTTTCACCCTAGCTACTTGTACCTGGCCAAAGGTCTAATCCAGTAGTACTTTCTTCTCTTTCAGGTACGATGGCAAAGTATGTTCCTGTTTATTTTTCTTATTGCATAATATAGGTAAGCCTGCTGATATTTGGTACTGATGATGATTCTATGTAAGTTATTCTTTTGAATACTTCAATTTAAATGTCCTTGAACATTACTACTTTTTGTTATGCTTAAGTTAAGCAAAATTATCCTATTTTATTAAATAAAGATTTCGTAGTTAATCTTTTGACTTATGATTCTTTAATTCTGTGCTTGAGGAAACGTACTCATTACGCCTTCAGTGCTAATGCACAACCAACAAAAGATTATGAGACTAAGAAATTGAAATTTTGTAATGTTGTAAGATTCCAGGGGCATAAAGTGTTAAAAACTCTTTCTTGGAAAAAAAAAAAACTAGTTACAAAGTTTATAAGAATAATTGTAACAAGTAATAATGTCTATTCTAAAAGAATCAATTTGTATAGAAAAATTAACAGATGAAAATTATTCAGTGTGGAAATTTAAAATAAAACAACTTCTAATAAAAGAAGGTTTAGATGATGTTGTATTCGAAGAAAAACCGGAAACTGATACTGATATTTGGTTAAAGAATGATCGTAAAGCTAAAGCTTTAATATGTCTAAACATTTCGGATTCGCAAATTATCCATGTTTTACATAGTAAATCTGCAAAAGAAGTTTGGCAGAAGTTAAAATGTGTCCATGAACGTGTAAATTTAACAAATAAGTTATTTCTTCTTAGAAAACTATATTCCATTAGATATAATGAAAGTTCTAAAATGCAGGAACATATCAAAGGAGTACTAGAGTTGGCTGAAAAGCTGCGTAGTATAGGTGAAGAAATTAAAGAAAATAACTTAATAGCAATACTACTATGTTCTTTACCAAATTCATACAACTCCTTAATAACTGCAATAGAAAGTAAATCGGAAGCTGAATTGTCGCTAGAATATGTTAAAAACAAACTAACAGATGAGTACTGTAGACGTGTAGAAACTAAGAAAGTTCAAAAGTACGAATCAGTTGCTTTAAAAAGTAAAAGCGAAAATAAACCAAAGTATGTTACACAATTTTGTACTTATTGTAAGAGAAATAACCATACGATAAATGACTGTTTTCATTTAAAACGCAACGCTAGAACTTCCCCGAAAACAGATGTAAATAACAGTAAAGTAAGAAATTATTCTCAAAATTATAAAAGTAATGCATGCCAAATAGCAAATACGCAAAGTGTAGAAAACATAACAAAACTTAAAGAAAATAAGTATCTTAAAAGTATTGAAACTGAAAATTCGCAGATTCAGTTTAATCAAGTTCTAAAAGTGGAAAATAAACATGAAAACACGCAAACGCAAGAATGGGTTATCGACTCGGGAGCCTCAACTCATATGACGAGTGATAAAAAATTTTTCTCTCAGTTAAATGACTCTAATAAACAAATAGTAACTGTAGCCAATGGTGCTAAATTAAATTCTTATGGTATTGGTGAAGGCTATTTTAAAGTTCAAAACTTAAAGGGTCAGGTTACACAAATAAAATTGGAAAATGTATTGTATGTACCAGGTTTAGATAGTAATTTACTTTCTGTTCAATCTGTTACCAATAAAGGTTGCATTGTTACATTTGATAGTAATAAGTGTTACATAAAGCGTAACAATATACTCGTAGCCGACGGCAACGCTCAGCAAGGTTTATATAATTGATCGTAAACCCAATTGATGAGAAAGCATACTTAGCTAATAATGTTTTTCATGTTCAAATACGAACTGTATACTAAAATGGCATCAAAGATTAGGCCACAGAAATATAGATGCCATAAAAACACTTGAGAAAAATGATTTGGCAGACGGCATTAAACTTGGCAAATGCACTCATAGTGTGGAATGTTCTACTTGTGTAAAAGCGAAACTAACTGAAACACCTTATCCCAAAACTAGTTTTAGATCTAAAAATCCACTGGATTTAGTGCACACAGATGTGTGTGGGCCAATTGAAGTCACAGCTTGAAGTCAACAGCTTAGGAGGGAAAAGATATTTCGTAACTTTCATTGATGACTATTCGCGTTATACTCAAATTTATTTTATTACTTCAAAAGATGAAGTATTCGACAAACTTAAACAGTATGTTGCATCGACAACAAATAAATTTAGAAAGAAAATAAAGGTTCTCAGATCCGACAACGGTACAGAATACTGTAACGAAAGTACTGAAAATTATTTAAAGAAACTCGGCATTTTTCACCAAACTTCGGTTCCTTATTGTCCGGCACAGAACGGCGGCGTCGCAGAAAGGAAAAATCGCTCTTTAATAGAAATGACAAAAGCTATGCTAATAAACTCTAAATTACCGAAAGGATTCTGGGCTGAAGCAGCAGCTACTGCTGCATATCTTCAAAATAGGTTACCAACTAAAGCCACAGATAGAACACCATATGAATTGTGGAATGGTAGAAAACCAAACTTAAGTCACTTACGAGTATTTGGCTGTACAGCATTTTATTATGTGAACAAACAAAAACGGCGTAAATTCGACAACAGAGCCGAAGAAGGAATATTCGTAGGATACGATTTACGAAGTAAGGGATACAGGATTTATGTAGGTGGAAGAAAAATAATAGTAAGTAGAACTGTTAAATTTTCAGAAAACGCGTCTTTACCTGACAAACTTGCAGAAAATAATGCTGAAGATTTAGAATTAATTCACTTCAATAACTCGCAAGAAGATGAAGAAAATAATGAAGAAACATCTCTTGGCGATGATTTTACAGAAGATTCAAAAAGTTCCGAAGAGTTAATTAAATGTGAAGAAAATGTAGAAAGAAGGGTTTCTAGCAGATCAACCAAAGGGGTCCCACCGGAAAGATTCTCTTATAAAGCAGAAGACGAAGAATCAATCTTACTTAAAATTAAAGATCCAGAAAGCTTTGAAGAAATTCTAAACTTACCAAAACGTGAACAAGAAGCTTGGATCAAGGCTATGCAAGAAGAAATACATTCTCTAAAAGAAAATGAAACCTATAAACTTACAGAATTACCACCAGGAAAACATGCAGTAGGCAGCAAATGGGTGTTTAAGACAAAATATGATGAAACTGGTAAAAATATAAAATACAAAGCACACGCTTAGTAGCCAAAGGATTTACTCAAAAATACGGCAGTGATTATGATGAAACTTTTTCACCAGTAGTGAAACACACTACGATAAGAGTTTTTTTCTTAGCATGGGCAGCGTATAATAATGCCAAGGTACATCAACTAGA